GCCCTGGCTTATCTTGCAGGGCACTGGGAATTTGTGAGAACTCAAGATACGGAAGCTTGAACCCTGTATTTCTACTTTCAACCCAGGTGCGGGGCTGTCTCTCTTCCTAGCCTCAGAGACTGGCACCCCCTAGTGGTCAGAGTGCCCCACCTGTCCCTCCCAGGGAGCAGCAGCTGGGTAGCCATGAGGGCCCTGTGATCCCTCAAGCCAGGAGGCCACGTCCCAAAGCTCCATTCCGGCTCTGCCAAATTGTTTTCCTCTTTACATTTTCATCAGCTACATGCAAGAAATAGGAACAAGGGCTCCTATTTCTCCACAACCTTGTGATCACTTGCTATTTTCCGTTTATGGTGTGTTTCATTTTACTGGTGCTACCCTGATGGCTATGAAGTGATCTCTCATTGTAGTTTTCATTCTGCTCTGTGGCTGACCTCCTCTTAGCAGCACTATAGCACCCCCTGCTGCCCATTCCTGGGAGCACACCCTGACTCTGTGGCTTGAAGAAAAAAGCAAAGCTGGCATCCCCTTTGACAAGGTCTCAGCACCCAGAGCTATTTGCTGACCACAGTCTCCAAAATGTTAACTCAACACATGTTCTCTTATGACTTTGAAATGTGTCCAACATGCTCGCCATCACGGGCCCTTGCAGCAAACGTGAAGGTGTCTCTAAACCCACGCCGCAGGGGGCAACTGAGCTCATCTTTCACTCATGAAGTCCTGGGGTCCCACACACTCAGTCTCATGCTCATAAAGCTCAGGGCTTTATCCCCTCATTCACAGAGGCCCGCCACATACTCAGGGTAGCATTCAGACACACGCATGCATGCACGTGATCACACATGTATGCACATTTGTGCAGGTCACAGAGAAAAGGAGACACAGCTGGTCAGTAAAGGCAGAAATAGAGATGAGTGCACTTGCTGTCACCATGGTAGGAACCCAGACCAAGTAGGGAATGGCAGCCACCCAGAGCTGAGGAAGAGGCAGCAGGTCCAAATTGGTAGTGCACCTTAAATTCCCAGCATCTCCCTATTATCTCCAGGGGGCAGCCTATCTTTTTCTCCTTACCCCAGCCCTACTCGGGGAGTCTGGGGTGTCTGCTCTCATTACCTGGTGGAGAGGTCGAAGGTCCTGGTGAGCAGAAGGGGGTCACTCCCAGGGAGACTTGGAGGGATGGCAGCCAGGCATTCCCACCACTGGGCCACATTGTCCCCAACAGCATAGCACGTCAGAAAGATGCCTGTTGAGTAAGGAGTTCCCTTGGGAATGTTCCCTTACCAATGGGAATCTCAGGAGTGTGCCAAGTGCTGCTCATCACTCACACAGTTCTGGTAAGAGCTAGGAAAAATAGCGGGGATTAAAAAAAAAAATAGTCTGTGCTTCGTTCCTTTTTATGGCTGCATAATATTCCATTGTGCAGTTTTCACAATTTGTCTATTTTTGTTGACAGACATTTGGTTTGTTTCCACTCTTTGGCTATCGTGAACAGTGCTACCACCAACACCTACCTACCTGTTTGAGTATGTGTTTTCAGTTCTTTAGCATCTGCACCTAGGAGTGAAATTGCTGAGCCCTCTAATAAATTTATGTTTAACTTTTTAAGGACTTGCAAATTATTTTCCTGTTTACATTTCCATCATCTGTATATAAGAAATAGGAACAAGGGATCCTATTTCTCCACAACCTTGCAAGCACTTGCTGCTTTCCATTTATGGTGTGCTTCACTTTATTGGAGCTACCCTGATGGACTTGAAGTGATCTCTCATTGTAGTTTTGATGTTGAGCATCTTTTCATGCCTACTGGCCAGTCTATTCTCTTCCTTGAAGAAATGTGCATTTAAATCCTTTGCCCATTTTTTAATTGGGTTATTTGTCTTTTGGGTGTTGATTTTAAGAGCTCACTCTTAATACAAATTGTGAAACACAAAGAAACTAAAAGTCAGATGGACACAGTCTTTTGCCCATGGTCTGGGAGCCAAGGTAGACCATTGATCTCCACTTCTCTACCCCATTCCCTGCCTTAGCTGCAATTAGATTATTCTTCTGGCTGGAACTGTTGGCTTAGGCTGACTTGCAGATGCCTCAGAGAAGCTATTAGGGAAGGAGAAGATGGGGCAGAACAGAAGTCTTCTGAAAGGACGTCCCAAAGACAAGAATGCTTCTGTTCTAGAAGGGGCTGAATATTCTAGAAGCTGATTCCTTGTAGGCTGCTCCTCTTGTGTGAGTAGAGCATCCATGTGTTGTGCACCTGTGTGCACAGGTGTGTGCATATCTGCAAGAGCCACAGCTTCCAGGGCCTGTGCCATCTGTGTCGTCTCTGTTCCCTGTGCTGCCCAAGGGCCAGGGACTGGCAGGAGGCAGCAGGAAGCAAAGCTGGACAGGGCTGTCACCTGCTGGCCACACTGGGCATAGCAGGCGGATGCTTAGGGCAAAAGCCCAGCCAGGTCTCCTGGGTCAGAGGCCAAAACAGCGAACTTTAGGGTCTCAGGTAGGATCCTTTCCTCTGGCCTGAAGAAAGTAGTGCCCCCAGTGCCCCCATGTCCCTGTGGACCTCTCTGGAGAACAATTACAGGAGCCTCACAGCCTTCCTGACAGGCTTTCTCTCCAGTCAAATCAAGCCCTCATCTCAGAGTAATGTTTTTCAAAGCATGATATGGAATAACAATATGGCAAAGGTAACCAATAATACTGAAATACAAAAGAGTGATTGTAACATGTGTGCTTAGAGAAACAGATCCAGCGGCAATCTAATAGCTGTCATGTTAAAGACACGATCAGCATCGATGACATTTGAGAAACCCGTAATACCTAGAACGTGGTGTGAAAATGTCTGGGTTCTACTGATGGTGAAGTCACAGGAACTAACAACCCTACTGGGTTTTGCCTATATTTACAGTGGGTGGAAATGCCACAATTTGATTACGAGTTTGCAACAATGAAGATGCAAATTCTCCCACCCAAGTACACAACTCACTCCATGGATCCCCTGGACCATCTGGGGAAACAAGTCCTTTCCTTGGAATCTTCTCTTTTCTTCCCTCAATTCCAGGCATTGTGAAATCATGAATGGGGAGTGGAGGGGGGAGCATTTTCCTTCCTTTCTCCCTTCTTCAGTAATATGGCACTTTTCCAGGGGCTGGAAAAAGAAACAGTGAACACAGCAGACAAAAGCCCTTCCTTCTGGCAGTTTTAGTCTAAGGTGTGAGACAGATAAATTCATCAGTAAAACAAAGAGTGTGTTAGAAGCTGATAATGCTTTCTAAGGGGGCAAAGGGCACGGGAGGCGAGCACTCTGGGGTTGACCCCACCTTGAAGGCAAGTTTGAAAAGGGCAAGGGAGCCCCTATGTCTAGCAAAGAATGACCTGCAGGAGCCAAGCCTTTGGGGGCAGGGAGGGGGTAAGGACAGCAGGTCTCAAGAGGCCTCCAGGGCCACTAGAAGGGCTGAATGGGGAGACCAGGGACTGTGGGTAGAGGAGGACACGGTCCCGGTGTGGTTCTGGGAACGGACTTGGCAGGTGTAGGCAAAGAAGAAACCTTAGGGGTAGGAGGGCTTTGGGAAGGGGTGGGCAGCAGAGATGGGGGGACAAAATTGAATTCCAGATCTGTTTTGAAGTTCCTGTTGGGTGAACACAGAATGTGAGAGACAGCTGCCAAAACGGACGTGGGGAAGGGTGTTTGTTTCCAGGGCTATGAAGACACATATCACAACTGGGTAGCTGGAAACCCCAAAAATCTGTTCTCTCCCTGTTCCAGAAGCCAGAAGTCTGACATCAGAAATCTGACAGTTTGATGGGTCAAACTGTGTCCTGCCAAAATCCATGTATGGGCATCCAAACTCCCAGCACTTCAAAATGTGCCTCTGTAAAGAGAGGACCTTTACACAGGTGACTGAGGCGAGATGAGGCTAGCAGGATGGGTTCCAACCCCAGGTGGCTGGTGTCCTGATGAGAAGAGATGAGGACATGCGAGGAGACCACGTGGGCACTCATGCCACTGATGCTTCAGGAACATTCCCTAGAGGACTGGGCTCATCAAAGTGGGGCTCCCTTGGGCAGTACAGCAGAGGTGGGGGCAGGGTCCTTTCCCACCCAGGTCCAGCTTGGGGCCCATCCCCTAAGTGGGTGGTGGGAGGAGAGCAGAGGCAATGAAGAAAGAGATCCCAAACCCCTTACAGAAGAAATGGAGCTTGGGGAGGGTGTAGGCTTGGAGTTCCCTAACTCAAGGCATGACCCCCTGACCAGCAGCATCTGCAGCATCTGGGATCTTGTTAGAGACTTGTGATCCCAGGCCCCACTCCTCACCTCCTGAATGAAGATCCCCAGCAATTCTCATGTGTGTCAAAGCTCAAGAAATCCTGCTGGAGACCGGGAGCTGTCACACGGGGTGGTGCAGAACCCCTGAGGGCTGGCGCAAACAGGTGGCTGCCTCAGGTATGGGTGGGGCTACAGTAGGTGTGGGTGGGCCTGCATTTCCAACAAGTTCCAGGGGTGCCTCCCTCTCCTTCTGATGAGTCTCCCCTGGGGTCACAGAAGTGACTGCCGTTGAAGTCATGTGGGAAGACCTGACCCACCGTGAGAATCCCTCCCAGCGGCTGATCAGCTGAGCATCGGCCACGCAGCCCAAGGTGCAGCATGAGGACAGCCAGTCCACTGTGGCCGACGAGAGCAAGGTGCCACGCATCCATGGGGTAGAGAACAAGACGCCGTTGCTCCCTGGGCCTGAGATCTGCTCTGGCTGCCTGCGAGGCCCACACGCCCATGTGTGGGAAAGAAAGACTCCACCACGGCACATGCTTGGCTATATTCAGAGCACACGAGCTTTATTTGGCTACAATGATGGCGGTGCGTGAGGATGGGCTGCACAACAGTGGAGATGCTGATTTCCGCACAAAGTCTAAGAGCAAAGATGGCAGCAACAGAGCCCCCCCCATCCCCACACCCCTCCACTCCCTTCCCAGACAGGACAGGGTTGCTCCTGGCATCCCTATATGGTTGGATGGGGCCCCAGTGATGGTCTCTTTCTGCACCCATAACCCCTTCTGCACCTGCCCCCCACTCCCAGGTGCCTGGATCAGAGGGGAAAGGAGCTCCTTCCCCTTTTTACCCCCTCCCCGGGCTTTGTCAAGCCTGCTTCGCTCTCAAGACCACCCTGAGAGCAGCTGAGTGACAACACACAGCCCCTCTGGCTTGACTCATGCTGCCAGGTCTTTTTCTCAAGGAAGTTTAATATATTCTCAATAAAAGATGCTATTTATAAACAGGCACCTGGCAGCAAGTGGGCAGGGGACAGGGTGTCCATAGCAGGGAGCAAGTAGCCACACAGATGACACACAGGGAGGAGCCAGGGCAAGAAACTGTGGGAGCCAAGAGGGGAAGGTCAGGTTTCATTCTGCTTCCAATTCAGAGTATGTCCCAGAAAGTCACTTAGCAACACAGAGGAGCCAAGTAAGAGGCCGGGGACACATGGGTGCTTCTGGGTGCGAGGGTGCATGTTTGTCCTCTCCTAAGAGCCCTTCGTGATGCATCCTTAATCACTTGTGACTTTCCTCCCAGCTTTCTGACCTCGCAGGGCAGCCTAGGGGAGGGAAACTTGGAACCCAGATGGAGGGCAAACTTGAGAACCGGGGAAGAATGGATGAGAGGCAGCCAGGTGTACCTGGAGACCACAGGGGCCATGGGAGTCCTACTTGGGGCCTCTACAAAGGCGAGAGGTGGGCTGGGGCTGACAGAGAAGGGCTCACAGCAGTGGCTGGACAGTACAGATGACCATAGCTAGAAGGTGTGACTGAGGGGGGCTTGGGGTGGCAGCTGGAACTATAGACACAAGGATGGCCAGGGCAAAGGGCCTTCCCCCACTGTGGCCCCCGCCAGCTCGGTGGAAAGACCACCCTGCCTGAAGTGGCAAGTGGACAGTCAGTTAACACTGAGGTGGCGTGGGGGGTGCTCACACGGTGTACATTTTGACAGACTTGTAGAGGGGCGGGAGCAGGCCCTGGTTCTCTCGGACGACCTCCAGGTACTCAGATGGAGACTCCAACGTAAAGGGCCCACAGCACATCTGGCAGCAGCACCTGGGCCCAGAGGACGGCTCCGGGTTCTTGTCAGACATGGGGGAAAAGTCAAAATCAGCCACCTACAGTGAACAAAACCCCACGGGTCAATCACCCGCCTGCCCGCCCAGAGCCCCCATGAGGTGGCCTCAGGCGCTCGGCTGTCGAGCAGCAGAGTGCACAGGAATACCCTCTGGAGCCACACAGTGAGTGCTTCACTGTGCCTTTGCTTTTTCTGCTTTCTGGGCTTCTCTCCCGGTTAATCTCCCCTGGCCAGCTCATGGCGCACATGCCAGGCTACGGGCAAGCACAGGAGGAGGAAGACAGGAAGAAGCCAACTCAACAGTCTGACCTGGCCTACAAATGCATCTTGGACACATGGCCCCAGCCCCAGGGCCTTGCTCTCACATACAGACCCTCTCTGGGTCCTGTGACCTGGCCCCATGGCCTCCCCAGAGCCCCTCTCCTGTCAGACCTGGCGGCACGAGCACCCACCTCCACCATGTCCTTCTGCTGGGCGCTGTTCCGCATGCCCATGTACAGGAGGAAGGCTAGCATCATGGTGATGAGCGTGGCGCAGGGGAAGGCAAAGACAGCTGGCTGGAGGCCTGGGAGGAAGAGAGAGGGATGCTGTGGGCCTGGGTGGCTGGTGTAAGCACTAGTCAAACCCCACCAGAGAGGTTTTGTACATGCAACCACTGGGCAACCCCAATAGGGACACTTGGGGTTTTAGGAAAATAGAGCTGGGGTATGTGAGGGTTTTAATATACGCCCACAGTAACTTTCAAGAGGTACCACTAAATTCCCTGACCACCGGCCTCCTGAGTGTGGCTGGACAGAGTGATTTGTTCTCAATGAACAGCGCATGACAGGAGTTCCTTTCCGCTTCTGAGTCTCTGTTATAGACGACATCACAGCTCCGTCCTTGCTTCTCCTGGGTGATTTGTATTGGGGAAGCCATGCTGAGGACACCCAAGAAGCCCTGTGAATGCTGTCATAGCTCTCCACCCTCACTCACTGGCTGTGTTGTCAGGAAGCCATATGGGGGATCAGGAAGAGCCCAGTGTCAGTTAGGTGGTTCTGGGTTCGAATCCTGACTCTGACCAGGTTGCCAGGTACTAAAGCTACCCCAAGAGGCTGACATGAGGATGTGACAAAGTGAGGCCTGTCACTGTGCCCGGCGCACAGCAGTGATGAGGTGAGGGCTCCCTCTCCCTCTCTGCTCACCCCCTTCCTGACACAGACCCCGTCACACCGCGAGGATGTGTCTCCCAAGAAAAGGCAGCACTGATTACCTCTGGCATCATCTTCTTTGCAGTCAAGAGCATTCCCAGGCACTCTGCTCAGAAGGTGCTGGGAGCCAGGGCCCAGTGTCCCCAGAGATGCCCATCGGTCAGAGAATCTTTCTAACCCACAAGGCCAACCAGGGCACTGTCTGCTCTGGAGCTCAGAGAGCATGGGTTGGGGGAGCTTCTGGGGACAGTGACAGAGGGTCACTTGCAGGGCCATGTGAGGACAAGTGCAGCCAGCAGGGTTTCCCCTTTGTACCATGAAGGGTGGACTGGGCTACACAGCTGAGAGACTCTGCCCTCGGTTCTGGGGTCTGACTTTCTACTCTACACAAGGAAGCACTTCTCTGGGCTCCCAGAAGAGTACCCCCAGGAAATGAAGGGTAGAGTCTAATGTTATCATCAGTTAACCCTGTGGCTGGACCTGATGATGCCTTGGAGAAGGCACAATGTCCTTACGAATGAGAGATCAGAGATTATCCTTCCCAGCAGTCCACACTCCTGGAGAATCACAGCAGCCCTAAAAGGCATACAGTCGGTGTTGGGGATACTGGTTTTAGTGGTGCCAATGGTGCTGTGATGGAGGCCATGACACTGGAGTGGGGACCAGCGTGGTGAAAGAGGGGGTTGCTGGCATTGGGGGTATGGATCACACTGGCAACATGTAGGAGAGACGCCAACAACCATGATGGTGGTGATGAGAAGTGATTTTAGGTGAGGCTGGGGCAGTTCAGCAATGACAGCATTGGTCCGGGTGGTTCAGGCAGGGGTTGGCAGTAATTAAAGAGTTGGCTGCTGGCTGTGGATGGTGCTAGAACTGTCATATGTGTCATGTGGCATTAGGGTTGGTCAAATTCAATGGGGTGGCTGAATTGGCTGTTGTTATACTTAGGGGTGCTGGTGTTGACATGGTGTTGAGAGAACAGCTTGCATCAAGATGAATGCTGGTTTTGGGGTTTTCGAAGGTACTGGTAGAGTTTGGTGGTGGTGGTATGGGCAGTTGGTCAATGGTGGTGGTGGGACAAGAGAGTTACTGGCAGTGTTAGTGTCATTGGGGTTGGTTATGATGGCATGGGGAGAGTTGACTGGTGGCAGCACCTTGTGCGGTGGTTGGCTTGACTGGCTTTTGGTGGTTGGCTTGCTGCATGGTGGCATTGGAGCAGAAAGCCAGGTGTCACTTACTGGAGGGCCACACCTGGATCCTGTGGTACTGGTGTGTCTTGCTGATGGCGTTCTCAGCCCGGATGCTGAAGCAGTAGTCCCCAGGGTCCCTGAAGATGTGGGTCAGATTGTAGGCAGTGTTGGCCACAGACACAGAGTGGCATTCCCCTTCTTCTAGTGGGAGGCACTCGGGCTTGAGCCTCCAGCACACAGTCAGAGGAGGGCTGTAAGCAGAAGAGGGCCATTTTTTCAGACATGTCTCAGCATACAGTGTGAGCACAGACCAAGTCTGAAAAAGAACAGGTAGCTGTGAACTTTAGTCTCCTTTCCAAGGGACACCAGCTGTTCTGGCCTCTACTTTATATCTTCTAGTCTGGGGAACACTACGGTATATATGAGATGCCCCCAGGCCCTAAGAGGGGGGCAGGCCAATGAGGCAGGGACTTGCACAGATACAAGGCCCGAGGCTGAGATTGCTCCAACGGCACACTGTGTGCTGTTGTGGGAGCACAGGGGACAGGTTAATGCATTTTTAATGAGGGAATCAGAGAAGTCTTCCTGGAGAAGGTGGCATTTGCGTGGGCTTTTGATCAGTTTGAAGGGGGTGAGGGATTACAGATTATGCACCTGCCACAACACAGGCTCCAAAGTTGGAAAATGCAGGAACCTTAGTAATGCCAAAAAAGTACTCCCACCTCACACAACCCCTTGCCCATGTAAACCCAAGCCACTCCAACAAACATGGCTGCCAGCCCAAGGGGTTTCTCATCGACCCTCCAAGTACTAAGGTCCTACTTCCAAAGCCTCCTGAAAACTCTAAAACCACCCCCAGCTCATGGCTCTTCATCCTCGCTGATATGTCCCCATGTGTGTCAGAGTCTTCCTTCTCACAAGAGTCTTTGGAGGGCTGGGTCCTGACCGCTGACCTCTGTAGCTTCATCCACTCTTGTGGGAGAACCAACCCAGCATCTCCATGTCTCGTCGCTGATATAAACTTAGCCTAATGCCATTCCCGTCAGGAGTCAGGCCTGGCCTAACCAAGACAGTTTGCTTTCCAGAGAGCTAGAAGTAGGTTGAAATCACATACAGAGGCCTCTTCAGAGGAGTGGTCCCTCACCAGCCTTTGACGCCAACAGCCCCCAAGACCAGCGTGCCTTCCCACTGACCCCCAGGAGAGCTGCGCCTAGGGCTGCCGCATGGCAGGTTGTTCCACCAGAGCCCAGACCTGGGGTCTATCAGGGGATGTAGCAGGCTCAGTGGTCTGTGGGAGAGTGTGGGCAGGGCCACAGTGCACTGAGCTTCACTCACCTCCCCAGGAAGTTCAAGGTCACTGTCATCTTTTGGAAGGTCTGTATTAAGGTGGGCCCCAAGACTTGGATGCCTTGAAGGGTTTCTGGAAGGCAGAGAGGACCCTATTAAACCTGGTGACTGAGGACAGCTAACCCAGGGCTCCAGGGCCCGGGCTGTGCAATGACTATACTGCTCCCCCACCAAAGATGGGGAGCAGGTCTGTCGGGAGCACGCTGGAGTCCTCCCAGGCAGCAGCAGGTGCTGGGCAGGTTGAAGCCAACTCAAAGGAGGAAGCCAGAGGCAGCAGGCAGGGCTCAAATTCCAGGACCCAGGGCTCAGGAGAGCCACCCCTCCCCCATCATCTCTGCACATGTGGAAAGCACCAACCTATTAGCCTGAGTCACAGCATAACCTGAAGTCTGCAGCGGCCCAAGCACCACCTCTGCCAAAGTCAAAGAGTGGGGCTGGTCATTCCCACCTGCATAGTGTGTGCAGGACACCCCAGCTTAGAACAGTCCTTGCCCTATCAGGGCCGATGGGAAGCAAGACAGAGCAAAGCAGAGAAACCAGCTACAGCAGAGCGCCTGGTCACAGACCAGCTCTGGCATTGGCAGGCCTGGTTTCAAACCCCAGTGACTGCCCCTTGGTGATCTCGGAAGTAGGTGTAATGACAGACTGTTCAGGGAGCTGCTATGGGGCACAACAAGAGAGATGTGTGCACATCTGAGCACAGATCAGCACCCCAGTGGAGTTACTCTGACCTGTGCATGCACTAGTCCTGGAAGCAGCAGTGTCTGGGACTACCCGAGGGGCCAGAAGTTGAACTGACAGTAGCAACCCCAACCAGAGACCTACCCTGCAGCTTCATGGTGGTGGAGAAGTCGCCTGTCTTCTGAAGAATGCCCGTGCCCCCGTCTGGCTTGGCCTGCTCCCACTCCGCCACCACTTTCAGCTTCACAGTGAAGGTTCCAGTGATGGAATAGTTATAATAAACCACAGGGTCTGTAGTCACCATCTGGGTGCTGTAAGGGGACAGGGAGGAGAGAGGACAAGGACAGAAGTGACTCATGCTATGCAGTGACATATCCTGCCACCAATGCCTAAAAGCAAACCTGTCCTCAAAGTAGCACCCCCCAGAGCCAGGCAGGGCTCAAGATCAGCTGTTGAGAGCAAACATGACTGCAGTCTTTGTGAGTTACAGGTGCAACACCTCCGGAGAACAGAGACAGGGTCCCTCACCTCCCAGGAAAGTGTTCTACTCCCTCCCCCCAGCTCCCCCAGCTAGGAACCTGGGCAAGGCAGGATGCTGGAGGTAGACACAGCCCAGGGATGGGGAGAGGGGTGAACACCGCAGTTAAGATGCATCTGGTTTTGAATCTCCATGCCAGATTGCCTATCTACATAACCTTGAATCTTATTTTCTCATCCATAAAATGGAGAGGATCATACAGGTTATGACACAACATATAAAGTGCATAGCATCATGCTCTTTCTTTGCAATAAATCAGCTAAATTTCCTCAAAAGGAAGTCTTCTATAGAAATTTTGTATTGATGTTTTTTATATGAAATTTACCAAATCTTTACCTATCCTACATCTTTCAAATGTTTTTATTCCCAGTTTAACCTTTGTCTTTGATATGATTTACTTTCATAGTCAAATTTCAAATTTGATGATGCCAAATTCATCTTTTTTTTCCTTTACAGTTTCTGCATTTTATTTTTATTATTAGACACGGCTTCCCCTTTGCAAAATTTTCCAACTGCAGGTAACCATCTACAATTTCAATATAGTCCTGGTTCATTATGTTTATATTTTTTAATCTGGAATTCCTTTTGTTAGGAATCAGATTACTTTTCTCTCTGGTAGTTAACCAACTACCTTAGTATCATTTACCAAATAATCTATCTTCACTTGTTGGCTAGAAATACTACTGTTATCAGGTACAAAATATGTATATAGGCTTCAGTGTGTATCGGCATCCTCTATTCTATTCGTTGAATTATCTTCTGTTGCTGCAAGTTACTTGTAGCTTTTAAAGTACAAGCCACCGATGGCTTTCCTGACATCTGTTTTGGAGAAGCAACAGGGCATGGTGGTTGGAGCCCTGGCCTAGGAGCCAGCAGCCCTATCTTTGAATGTCAATTCTATGCATCCCCTGAGTCACATATTACTGGTCCCATTTCTCAGAGGAGCATGACAATACCCAAGTTGCTGACGTCTATTGCCTCCATTTGATCGTGACATTTGCATGAGGTTGTGTGTGTGTGCGTGTGTGTGTGCGTGTGTGTGTACGTGCGCGCACCCTCCCTGGAGGAAGTGCTCCCCACTGCTAGGAGCTTAGCAGGGTGCTGCAAGAGGGACAAGCATGTCTCCCAAAGCAAAGGGGCTGGCCCAACATGCTTCTCTCAATTCCTTCCCACTCCATCCCATATTTTCTACATTCCAAATTTTGGATTCCTTTCAACCAGAAGTTTCTTAGGCTTCCAGAGAAACACCTGAACCTCGAGCTCACAAACCAGTTTCTCAAGCTCATGAAAGGCTCAGTAATCTTTCCCGTGTACCCTCCTTGCCCAGATGGGCTCCTAGGGTCAGCCATGAGAGCAATGAGAGCAGCAGTCAAGAGGATGGGGGGAACCCAAGTGGAGAGAGGGGGCTCCACTGAGCACTACTGTTGCATAACCTTGGGGTGTCTGTGGGCTGTCTGGGCTCTGTGCAAACCCCCTTCCCAAGGTGAAAGGAGGCCAGGACACTTGCGCTCTACCTGCCACCTACCATCAGGTGGCTGAGTGCCTCCAGAGTCAGATGGAGAACAATCCCACCTACCTCCATCTCCTCTGCTGTATGTCCCCATGCACCCAAAGTCTGGCACACAGCAGGCATTCAACAACAGTTTAGAGCAAGCAAGAGAGCCAGTGAAGGTGGGAAAGCACTGAGCAGTGTGCGTGAATGATGGAGCCATCAGCCACAACCAAGGCTTTAAGGCGCAAAGGGAATAAGAAGAACATACCCATCCCCGAAGTCCCAGCTGTAGAGAAACGAAGCAGTCTTGAAAAAGTTGCTCGGGTCGTGGAGGAGGAAGGAGACCTTAAGAACTGTTTTGGTGAGGTAGGAGCTGGGCCAGGGCAGGGAGGTGTTCTGGGTGACCACAAGTTTCCCTACCAGGAACTCTGGGAGAGAGAGAGAGAGACCAAGGGAGGTGAGTCCTCCAAGGGGCAGAGTCCAGGAGTGGCCTTGTGTGCCAGCTGGCAGAGCAGCCACTTTCCACCTGACCTGGTTGGCAGAGCTGGGTGGGGGCCCAAGGCACCTCAGGTCACTGAACATGCAGGTGCAGTCTCCCAAAGTGTCACCCACTTCATGGACACTGGTAAAGATTCATCATGGCGTCACTCCTGCCCGCCTCTTACTAGGACACTGAACTTTCTGACCAAAAGATTCCTAGGACCAGCAGGAAATGCACAGCTTTGAAAGTAACTCTTGGGAAATATACCAAAGTATTAGGCGAGTATTAGCAGTTCTGATACATCTCATCAATATGACAGGCTGGGTAAGGACCACCATCCTGTGGTCCTTATAAATTTATTTTTTTTAAATATTTACTTTATTTATTTATGCATACAAGAACTGGGTTGTAGGCCAGAGGTGCAGGGGCTGAGATGATTCACCAGAGACAGAGTAGGAAGCAGAACAGGCAGATGTACTGAAATATACTGCTGAGGGGAGCAGCGGGCAAGATAGGAGAGGTCTGCTGTGCCAGGTGGGTTAATTCCCTTGCCGGGGATCAAACTCATGCTGCAGTGGCTGTCTATAGCTTGACAGTGCTGAGACTTAACCCTTTGTGTCACCAGGGAGGCCCCTCCTCTAAAATTTAAATGCAGATTTTTTTTTTTTCCACAACAAAAGCAGAAAGTTAAGCATGTTCAGCAAAGCTCATTTGGAAAATGTTGAAAAGGAGAATGACAAGAAAAGAAATTTCCCATCCTTCAGACACATTCACTGTTGACGTTTTGTAGAATTGCACACTAGTTTGTGGGTGTTGATGTATAAGTATATTAAACACAATTGATAGAATTGATGATAGAATTTTGTGTTTTACTTTTTGAAATTTTACAGGGATGAGTAGTCCCCCAAGACTAACAAATCCCTTATAAAGGTCATTATTATTCATTACATAAACTATATCAAAATATGCAGCCAGTCCTTTTATAGTTGCGTACTTAGCTTTTTCAAATTTTCTTCTGTTATTATAAACACCACTGCAATGAACATCCCTGTGCAGATAATATTACCCAAATGGATGTTTATTTCCTCAAGATAAACTCAGAATTATTGTGCAAACTTCAAGAGAGCAAGAAATTCTTGGAAAAGGTGAGAGGGAGAGGAAGAGAAAAAGGGTGGGTGGGGGGACAGAGAACTAATAGACCAAATACTACACTAATTTATAACCACTGACACATGTATCGTCTGTTCTCCAAGGACCATATTTATAGCCCCAGTAGCAATAATATGCTTAGAATGCGCATTTCAGCACAAGCCTGCCAGATGTGGGTATTATGGCTTTTCTGATCCATTGTTAACTTGACACCAGAAAAGGAACCATGTGTCTAATTTGCATTTATGTGATTACTAGCCAGGCTAGAAGTTTTTCTCTGCACCATGAGTCTGAAGCAAAGGACCAAAAGAGAAAGATCCTCACCTGTAAAGGGGAGGACAAGAAAGCTCCTGGCCACAGGCCGGCACATCCAGCAGTTAGCAGCAGTGACCCAGACGGACACTGGAAAGTCCCCGGGCACATTCCCCACAGCACGGATGGTCGAGCTGAGAGCCTCGTCAGTCTTCCCAGTGAGCAGCAGTGGCGTGTGAATCCAATGGAAGTGGTAGAAGTGGGTGTCTGAGGGCAGGACCACGCTGCCGTTGTCGTTGGCCACCAGGCTGGCTGTTATGGAAACCTCTGTCCCCGTGGTGGCAGGGCCATCAGTGGTGAGGTGGAGTTCATACAGGCCTAGGGGCCCAGAAACAAAGGCTGTATTTTATCAGGGGGCGTGGCAAGGAGCCACCTCACAGGCTGGCTGGCTCCTATTTCTCTCTTTTACAGTTATTGTGATCATAGAACAGACTCAGGAGGGAGCCCAGGTATACACATCTGTACTGTGGCTGGCCACTTTAACTCCTATATTTCCCCCACACACATGCCTCAGGGCCTTTGCACATGTGGTCAGTTCCCACTGCCCTTTCTACCTACCTGTCCATGCATGTAACCTCTTTCAGGAAGCCTTCCTGGAACTCCTCTCCCAGCAGCCGGAACATACAGTTGTCACATCTCTACATTGGGATCAAGATTTCCCAGGCTCTTTCACTGCACTGCAAGCTCTTTTGCTAGCAGAGTGCTTGACACCAGAAAAGGAACCATGTGTCTAACTTGCATTTAAATGATTTCTAGCCAAGCTAGAAGTTTTTCTCTGCACCATGAGTCTGAAGCAAAGGAGCAAAAGGTGTTCAACACAGCAACTGCTGAGTGGCACTCAGAGAGAAGGATGTGCAGAGGTACCAGCCCACCTGGGGCTGCCCATGTAACCACTCCCCTGGTGGTACTGATGGCGCATCTTCCTTGGACCCCACCCCACAGATGCTGAGGAGACCAAGAAATGCAGGACATGCCTCCTGCCTCAGGGAGTTCAGGAGAGACCTGCTGGACTCAGCAATACTGGGAGCCAAGCAGGTATGTCCTCAGTGTGCAACACTGCTGACCCCACTGGGGACTCGGGCCCCAACCCTTCCTGCCACCCTGTCACATATTCCCATTCTGAATCCGTTTCCTTGGGGCCATATTTGGGATATGCTCCATCTAGTATTGGAAAAGGTACTTTTCTAGACACTTTGGCAGAAGCTTCCCCAAGATACATAAAATATGTAACGTGTATTTTGCATTGAAGAACCTGAGATTCCTAAGTCCCCTTTGGAAAATATTGCTGGCTGAACCCTGAGCAAATCTGCAAGACAGGGTTGAGCTCTGTCCTCCCTCCCTATGGCTGGGAGGCAGCATTTGGCCAGTGTGAGGAAAGAGGTGCTAGCTGGGAAGCCATCTTCTCCCTTCTCCCACTCCCTCCTGCCCACCCCCCACCCCCCCAGGCCAGGAGCTCTGGCCTGAGGCAAGCCAGCAGGTGGCTGCATGCTAATGGCCACCCCTGCATCTGCAGTGAGAAAGACAGGGGCCCATGTCTGCAAGAAGGTCTGTTGCCAGGGGAATGGAATCAGGAGGGCAGCAGGGCTGGGCTGGGAGGAGGGATAAAGTGGGTGTGGGGAGAGAGTCTGCTTGCACCAGATTTGTGCAGACACTGACCCAGCCCTAGGGAGAATACAGGGTCCACACACAAGGAGGTGCCCAGGGCACTTTTTCTCAATTTTTTTTTTTTTTTTTTTGATAGCAGATTTGCAATCCCATGGTGATATTGCCCCTCCTACTCAGGTTTCTCCAAGTGCCCAGGGTATCAGGTTTGAAATGGACCATGAAGTAAACAAACCAAGGTTCTAGTGCCCCTCCCCTCCAAATCCATCTTTATAGGTTTGGGAGATCAGGTGACATGGCCTTGGAGAATAAGAGCAAGCCAAGGCTTAGGGGTTCCACAGGCGACCAGAGCTGAAAGGGCCAAAGCAAAGAATGAAGTGGCAACTGTCACAAAACTTGACCCATGAAAGGAACCTCCCCCTGACCATGGTAGGAACCCCCACTTAGCAGGCCTCCAGCACTTCTGCTTGGGGTGAAAGGGAGCTGTTAAGAAAAAGAAATCTTTCCCGGTTAAAGAGTCATAGACTTGGAAATGTAAAGTAAATAATAAGTTTGCTTCCTTAATAAGCATATCTAAACAAGGTCTGGCAGCGTATGAAAGAAACTCTTTGTCTCAAGAAAACTATAAAACACTGTTAAAAGAAATAGAAGAAGACACAAAGAAATGGAAAGACATCCCCTGCTCATGGATTGGAAGAATAAACATTATTAAAATGGCCATCCTACCAAAAGCGATATACAGATTCAATGCTATTCCAATCAAAATCTCAATGGCATTCTTCAAAGAAATAGAACAATTATTGATGAAATTCATATGGAATCACCAAAAACCCCGAATAGCCAAAGCTCTACTGAAAAAAAAAGAAGGAAATGGAGGCATCAAACTCCCAGACTTCAAACTATACTACAAAGCCATAATCATCAAAACTGCATGGTATTGGAACAAGAACAGACATACAGACCAATGGAATCGAATAGAAAATCCAGAAATAAACCCACAGATTTATGGTCAACTAATCTTTGACAAAGGAGCAAAGACTATGCATTGGAGCAAAGAAAGTTTGTTCAATAAATGGTGCTGGGAAAACTGGGTCGCTACATGCAAAAGAATGAAGCTTGACCACTACCTCACACCATACACAAAAATCAACTCAAAATGGATTAAAGAACTAGACATAAGACCTGAAACCATAAAATACATAGAAGGAAATATAGGCGAAACACTACGGGATTTGCACATCAAAGACATCTTTACAGACACATCACCCAAAGCAGTGATAGTGAAGACAAAGATAAACAGCTGGGACTACATCAAATTAAAGAGCTTCTGCACAGCAAAAGAGACAATAACAAAAACAAAGAGAAACCCCACCAACTGGGAGAACATTTTTGCACCCAACACTAATGATAAAGGACTGATCACAAAAATCTGCAAAGAGCTGATGAGACTCAGCAACAACAAAGAAAATAATCCAGTCAAAAAATGGGCAGAAGAGCTAAAAAGAAACTTCTCTGAAGAGGAAATGCAAATGGCCAACAGACATATGAAAAAATGTTCAACATCACTTGCAATCAGGGAAATGCAAATCAAAACTACCATGAGATACCATCTCACACCAGTGAGAATGGCACATATTAAAAAAACTAGCAACAACAAATGTTGGCGAGGATGTGGAGAAAAAGGAACTCTTCTGCACTGTTGGTGGGAGTGCAAACTGGTCCAACCACTATGGAGAGCTGTGTGGAGATTTCTGGACCTACTAAACATAGAGCTTCCATATGATCCAGCAATTCCACTCCTAGGTATTTACCCAAAGGACACAGAAACATCAATTCCAAAGAGCACCTGCACCCCTATGTTTATAGCAGCACTGTTTACAATAGCTAAGCTTTGGAAACAACCCAAATGCCCAAAAGTAGATGACTGGATCAAGAAGATGTGGTACATATATACCATGGAATATTACTCAGCATTCAAAAAAGATAAACACATGCAATTTGCAGCAACATGGATGGCGCTGGAAGGGATCATGCTCAGCGAAATAAGCCAAAAAGAAAAAGAAAAATACCGGATGGTCTCACTCATAGCAGGAATCTAGAAAACTTAAATAAGGGACCAGGAAAATGAATATAAGAAAGTGAAAATCAAAATCAACAAAAAACTATGAACCAGAGACACTTTTTGGGGGTGGGGGGCGGGAGGGGAAGGATTGGGGTCAGAATGGGGCGTTTGCAATTGTATGGGGGAATATAAAAATAAAATTTAAGATTAAAAAAAAAAAAAAAAAAAAGAAACTCTTTGTCTCTAGACCAGTGCTCAAACCTTATAGGTCTACCCAGGTCTGAGACCTCATGCATCAGTAATAAAGCTTTCCTGACCTCACCGTTCCTGAAGTACCGCTTGTTCTTCCCCTGCCTGGGTAAAGGCTAGAATTTATTTCTGCAACAGGGGCATGCACATTTTCCATGACAACAGAGCAGGCAGGGCCATGGACATTCTAGAAAATGGCTACATCAGCCTTTTCACACTGCACACTTTGCCCAAAACACTTCCCAAGGGTACCGCTGACGTCTGGAATAAAGCCACCTGGTGTTAATTAATGTTCCAGCGTGTAGACTTTTCACTTCAACCCCTAGTGCAGGGGGCAGTGAGGACCCACCCAGACCTCAGGAAGTAGGTAAGGAAAAAAACACCTTCCCCAACCTACCTTCCAGCTAGTTTGCCCATATCATAGGTACAAGAGGCCAAACTGGGAACTACACGACTTCCCAAAAATTAATTCATTTTGGGGGGATAATTTAGGCCACTTAATGAACAAGAGATCCTGTTTTTATATTAATTTCCAGGGGGAAACATGTGACCCTGATCAAACACAATTCCCATAAAATTCTCCTTATTGATCCCTAAGGGGCAGATCTTCATTTCACCCAGCGCCTTTTATATCACAAATTCGCGATCCCTCTCTCTCTACCGTTCTTCCCCGGGAGTGAGGAGATGGTAATGAAAATTGGTGGATGTTTAAGCCCTCCTTCCTATTACTGTCCAACTGTCCCCCAGCAAATCTCTAATCTGGGTCCTGGTGATGTCGCCAAAATGAACTAGCTCGATGGCGGTGGCCTTGGCGCTGGGAAGGCGGGGAGCGCCAGAGGGTGGAGAAACGCAGGACCTGGCGGGCACAAGGCGAGAAACCTTGTGCCCAGGGTCCATTTTGGAAATCACTCCCCGAGAGGAAATGGCAGGCTGGGCTGTAAATCCGCATCTTCCCCTAAGCCCACGCAAGAGGAGGGTGGGGGAAACTCTCCAAATAAGGTGCTATTTTAAGACGAAAACGCTGCTTCGCGGGGAACCTCACCGTGACCCCTGGGGGGACCGTGGCGAGATGCCCGACACCACCGCTCCTCACCTTCCCCCCTCCCGCCCCGCCCGCGCACGGCCCTGGTCTCCCCGGAGCTCCCCCACACCCCCGGGGTCCCCAGGCGGCGGGATGGATGCCCTGGTCGCCGCGCGCGGCTCCAAGGGGAGGGCGGGTCTGGCGATAGAAACAGGAGCCCCGGAGGAGGGGGGACACCCCTCTAGCGGCAAGGCGACTTCCAGGAGAGGGGTGACGGGAGCGGGGACAGGGCTTCGCAGGGCTCCGCGTGCCCCGATTCCCCTCCGCGGCGCGCCGCTGAGGTCTGGGGGCGGAAGGAGGGGTGCGCCCGGGCGCGCGGCGTCCCCCCGGGAGCTGGGCCCCACCTGCCCCGGAGCGCTGCGGCAGGGGGAGGGCGGCGGGTCGGCCCGCGCGGCGCCTTACCTGCGGCCACCCTCGCCGGGGCTAAGGGCAGGAGGCAGGCGAGCCAGAGGATGCCGCCGAGGCGCGGCCACACCGCCCCGGCCATCGCGGCGCCGGACACTGCAGGAGCCGGGGGCCGACCACAGCTCGGCTCGGGGGCTGCGCTCCTCCGGCGCGCGGCTCGGGCTGTCAGGGACGGTGCGGGCGCGGCGCTGCTCGTCCTCGCTGGGGACGCGGGGTCGCGCGCCGCCGCTGCCCACAGCCCGCCGCGCCGACCCCGGCCCACGTCAGCCGCGCCGCACCCCCTCCCCGCGCGGCCCCCGCCGCCCGCGCGCCGCGCCCTCCTCCAGCGCCCCCTCCCCGAGGCGCCGCCGCACGCCCCGGCCCCCCACGATCCTCTTTCCCCGGTCCTCTTCCCTTCTGCGCCCCCTCCAGGTGCCGTGCCCTCCCCTCCCCTCATCCACCTCCTGTTCTCCCGCCTCCGGCTCGGATCAGCGCTCCCCCAGCCTGCGCCCCTCGCCGCGCGCCAGCCCGCCGGCCCTGACTCAGCACACCCAGAAGCCTGCCTGCCGCGGCCAGAACGCGCGCAGGCCCCTTCGGGTTGTGCTCCAGGTGCCTTCTCGGGTCTTGACGCAAATGGTTGGAGGACACCGTTATTTGTTCAAGAGTCGTTGTGTGCCGGATGCTGCGGGGCTTGAGCACATGGACCCTGCACTAGGACTGACATGGTTCCTCAGCTTACCGGGCCCAAGGCTACATCGCTGTCAGGATGGCCTTGCGAGTCAGACTACCACACTGAGTGACCAGGCCACTCCGTGCACACAACTTGGCCTACACGGGTGCTTCCATCTGCCATAACAGAACAGAGCGCACCTTCCTTCTAGGTGACCAGGCCTGGCTGGCCTTAAAGATGGAAACAGCAGCCTGGGTCCTGGTCCCAGGTCCACCTCTGCTCTACTCTGTAGCTTGGCCAAGGGATTCCCTCCCAGAGGAAGAATGTTAGATGGCCCCTCTGGCATGGTGGACAGACCACCACGATTGCATGTTTTGTTGCCTGGAAGGGAAGTGGAAGCATCTAAAGGATATGGCCCTGTCTCCAGGCCCATTATGGGATCCCCTGAGGATGGGCCCCACTGAACCCACTGTCTTCTCACCCTAATGAAGGGAGAACAGATTTGAGCACCCTTAGAAGTCAAAAGTGCTAGACAGATGTCACCCCCAGTGGCATTAGTCACTAGGGACAGTAGGAGGTTGAGAATTTTATGACCTTGGGAAAGTCACTTTCGATTTTCTTTACAATGGAAACACTAATAGTACCTTCCCCATGAGACTGATGTAAGTATAAAATGAGTCAGCACAGAGAACTCTGTTTTGGTCATAGGAAGCACTTGATCAGTGTTGAGTGTTATCATTGGAATTGCTTAAGGACTTGGGAGAATTTTGCTTGTCCATCAGGAATTTGGAAGTGTTTGAGAAAATAGTATGTTAAGGTTATAAATTGAGATTCAAATAGTTAACTCTTTTTTTTTTAAATAAATTTTATTTTTATATTCCCCATACAATTGCAACCCCCCCATTTTGACCCCAATCCCTCCCCTCCCGCCCCCCCCCCAAAAGTGTCTCTGGTTCATAGTTTTTTGTTGATTTTGATTTTCACTTTCTTATAGTTATTCATTTTCCTGGTCCCTTATTTAAGTTTTCTAGATTCCTGCTATGAGTGAGACCATCCGGTATTTTTCTTTTTCTTTCTGGCTTATTTCGCTGAGCATGATCCCTTCCAGCGCCATCCATGTTGCTGCAAATTGCATGTGTTTATCTTTTTTGAATGCTGAGTAATATTCCATGGTGTATATGTACCACATCTTCTTGATCCAGTCATCTATTTTTGGGCATTTGGGTTGTTTCCAAAGCTTAGCTATTGTAAACAGTGCTGCTATAAACATAGGGGTGCAGGTGCTCTTTGGAATTGATGTTTCTGTGTCCTTTGGGTAAATACCTAGGAGTGGAATTGCTGGATCATATGGAAGCTCTATGTTTAGTAGGTCCAGAAATCTCCACAGCTCTCCATAGTGGGTGGACCAGTTTGCACTCCCACCAACAGTGCAGAAGAGTTCCTTTTTCTCCACATCCTCGCCAACATTTGTTGTTGCTAGTTTTTTTAATATGTGCCATTCTCACTGGTGTAAGATGGTATCTCATGGTAGTTTTGATTTGCATTTCCCTGATGACAAGTGATGTTGAACATTTTTTCATATGCCTGTTGGCCATCAAATAGTTAACTCTTTAACCTTATCCTAAGCAGATTTTAAAATGTACTAAATACAGACAGAGAAGAATAAGATTTAGTTTTTTTAATGTGTAACTTTATTACATTGACTAATTTTATAATAGTTACAGCTAGTCTATCTGTCACAGAAGCCACCTTCAAGGCCACCCTGAAGGTTACGTTGATGTAATCTGTTTTGCCTAACTCCTTCTGTTGGCCAGGGTTCCCCACAGGCGTCAGCTCCCCCAGGATCCTATCTTCCTCTGGGCTCTCACAGCATATGCCCAGGTTCTACTCCCGAAGAGGCTGAAGGAGGTCTCCTGATGAAGAAGGGGCCTCAGCATTATGGTCCTACCCAGAGCAGAAAATTCTCTCAGAAAGTCAGCTCTTCTAAGTTAGTGTTACTGACTAGAAACATAGTGTGAGCTGTGTGCATAATTTAAAAAATTCTAGTAGTCACATTTTAAAAAGAAACAAGTGTTAATTGTAATGATGTATTTACTTAACCCAACATATTAAAAATATAATTTCAACATAATACCTCCACACTAAGTCTTCAACACCAGTCATGTTTCACACGGAGTTAATGACTATTGACTTGGAAAGCACACTTAAAATTGTCTGCATACAAATGTATCTTGCCAATCCAATTATTTACCATTTTCACAAATTCTCACAATCTTGCCCATTCCTCTTCCTCTATCCCCGCATCCTTGCCTATGCCTACGTCATGTGTTTGCATGCTTGCTGCTAAGCATAGAGCTTGGTGCAAAGTAAACTTTTGATGAAAGGTTGAAAGAATAAGAATCCCCTTTTTGATAAGTCACTCAAGGCCTTGAATAAGGCTCAGTAAAAGCTCTTTTAGACAAGGAGAGTAGGCCCCCTATGATGGCAGTAGTGCCCTTAAAAGAAGAGGAAAAGAACAGAGTTAACCCTCTCTCTAACATGGAATGATACAGCAAGAAGGCAGCCATGTGTGAACCAGCAAGAGGGTCTTCACCTCTTCACCTGAGTGTGCTGGCTCCCTGATTTCAGACTTCCCAGCCTCCAGACTTGTAGAAACAAATTTCTGTTTAAGCCACACAGGCAATGGCATTTTGTTCTAGCAGCCAGAGCTGACTGATACCGTGTAATGATAAGTTTGCACTTGATGCTAATTCTTGTTACAGAAAATTTCTCTAATGCAGATTAGTTGATACATTGATCCTGGCAAGGTAGTATAATTAGGTCTGCCTTTGGTGACAGAAGGGAAGCAGCCCTAGAGTCAAAATTGCTACCACAAGTTCTCATTATCCTGCACTGGAAATGTAACTTTGATGTGGGGGGCCACTGAGTCAATAACAATCACCCCAGATCAGCTATGGAAGACTGAAGGAGGATTATTAATTCATCACGGGTTATTAATTTGTCACAAGGGCAGGTTATTAGCTAGAATGAAACCCTTACAGCCAGTCCAACAGGTGAGGCTAAGGGAAGCAGGGACTACAGCATGTCAGGGGACACTAGAGCAAGGACAGTCGTGGTGGCTCTCAAATGGCCAGGCTGAGTCCCCGTGACTGGATCCAGTCTATGGAGACCACGTGTGCTCATTGCGTATGCCCACGCTAGGGGGTCTTTGGAGAATCCTTTTCAGATCCAAACAGTCTCCTTTTAGGTGTTCCAGCTGACTGCGCCTTCATGCCATATTATTCCCAACAGGGTACAAATTTATACTCTTATTAAACACCTGTTATGGACTGAATCATGTTTTTCCCCAATACTGATTATGAATAACCCTTCCCCACAACGTGACTGGACTGGAGACAGGGTCTTCAAAGACTTAACCTCACTCGACCTTGGTTAACTTAACCTCACTTAACTTAAGGGAAGGGCCAAATCCCATAGCACTTGGTAAAGAAGAACCGATACCATGTGCTTCTGAGTACAGGCAGGCACAAGAGGTCAAGTGAGCTCAAAGCAAGAGCTCACATCCCCTACAAGCCAAGAGAAGGAATCTCAGAATGAAACCTACCTTGGTAGCACCTCCAGCTCAGATTTACAGCCTCCACAACTGTGAGGAACACATTTCTGTTGTTTAAGTCACCCAGACTATGGTATTTTATTATGGCAGCCCAAGCCCATGCGACGAGCAGTGGGAAAATATTGGGAGGGAAAGACAGAAACAGAGCTTACTGTCTAGGAGGAGAAATAGATGATAAATGAGTAAATAAATAATTTCATATTGTGACTTACTGAAAGAAAAGAGTATTATAAGTTGGTGAGTGCAGTGGTTTTTTTGTATTGAGCCTTAGGAAAGGCCTGTCTGAGGTGACATTTTTGTTACTCAAAGGTGACAAGGATTCAGCTTTGTGTCTCTGAAGGACACATATTCCAAACAGGAGATTCAGCTGCAAAGGTCTTAGGTGGGCATAAGGCACAACAAGATCACCATGGCTGGAACATGATGAAAGCGGTTTGGCAGTAACAGGGTCAGGTAAGGAGACTGAGCTGAAAAGTCTCTGGAGGATTTAAGGAGAGGAGGGATGACCCAATTTACATGAGAAGGATGAAACTGACACTGTATCTGACCTCTAATTCAGTAGACAGACAAGAAAACAGGCAAAACTCATAGCAGTGTAAAGTGTACTCTGTTAAGAGAAGCTAGGTCCATGGGGAAACCATAGCAGATTTCACCAATGTCAGAGCTAAGATGAGTCAGCAGAAACTTATCAAAGGACTTATCTACAACTGCCCCGCTTCCCCATCCCAACCATACTAAACAATGGTCAGCACACTGATTTTGGTCCTCTGATTTCTCAACCTTCCTCAACTTTGGATCTTTTATTGGGAGGTCCTGTGGTGATAGGAGCAGAGAGGATTTTGCTTGCAAGTGGGCAGCTTGCCAGTGCGTCGGGGAATGGGTGTTCTGGTCCATTTTATTTTTCCTGGAGCAGAAATAATTGGCACCCATCCCCTAATCATTCTAAAACTTTGGTGGTGTCTTTGTTTTTGAGTGACAACATTAACAAGCAAGGAGCATGTTTCCAAACAGGGCAACTTTCCTTTAGAATATCTTGCGGGTATTGCAAGCTCTATTGCAGGGTGCCATTTATGTCTGGGAAAGGAACACAAGTGTTTGGTGAGCTAGTGATAATGGAGGGGAAAAGGGGAAGTACTGTCAGGAAGGGGCTGGGGTGGAGCCAGCTTCCAGAGGTGGTAGAGGTAGGTCGGTCATCCCATTCATGCCGTCCAGCTAACGCGTAACCATGGGTTACCAGGAACCGCCCACTCACTAACCAACTACTCCAATAGACCGAATCTGTAATGGAGGAAGGACAGTAGTTTCCCTTCCAGGGCCTGTTGGTTCAGCCTACACCGCCTCACCCTGCATCCTCCAGCTCAACATTGCTCTGGCCTGGCCCCAGGCACTTGCCCACTGGGTTAAATGGAAAGGTCCTCTGCTGTCCAGGCTGGGGGTGACACAGCTGCAGAACAAATGACAGAATCGGTCACCTTCAGGCAGAAAACCAGGGCTTTCCTTTGCTTACAGGGTCTCAGTTTATCCCCAGCCTTCCCTTTCCCAAAGACTCTTCCTGTTGCCATCTCCTTCCCAGGCTCTGAGGAACCCCCTGAAGGGCCAGAGAGAAAACCCCGCCCTGACAGTCACATTCAGTTCAGGGGTGGACTCCACCCTCGCCCGACCGCCGCAGGCTAGGGAAGCCCCCGGCGCCTCGCAGTGCCCTGGAGCTTTTCTGTCGTGCCCCTCCCCGGTCTGGCTCCTGCGAGATTTAGGGCAGAAGTCCCGCCAGATACCTGGCACCTGCCTGTCGCCGATCGCGACCGGCCGCCCCGCCCACGCAGACCGGGGCTTCAAGGGCGGGCCGGGCCGGGCCAGCGCAGGCGGGCCCACCCGGGCCGCTGACGCCCCTCCCCGCTCCCGCCGCCCGCCCAGGCCGCACCCACTTGGGGGCGGCGCGCCGGGGCTTATTTCTTGGTCCGCGGGCGCCGCGGATTTAAGCGGGGGCGGGACTACGCGCCGCGGCCGCGTCGTGGGTGTCCCCCGGGTTCGTGGGCTCGGGCGCCAGGGTCCCGCCGCCAACGTCGGAGTGAGTGCGGGCCTGCGCGGGGGGCGGCGGAACGGCCCCGGGAGGCGCGCGCGGCGGCCCGGACGGGGGTGGCGGGGCGGGCGTGAGCGGCGGGGCCCGGCGTGGGGAGGCCTCGGCGGCGCGACGCCCTGCGCGCCCCCGGCCCCTCCTCCCCGGCCGGAGGCGGACCGGGGCGGCCGCGGCCGGCGGCTGCCCTCGACCTCCGCCGCGGCCCGGCCGAGCCGCGGCGCTGTGGGAGGCGCTGGGCGGGCGGCGCGGCGCTTGGCCCTCGGCGCTCGCCGTAGCGCGGCCTGGGAGGCGGGCCGGAGTGGCCGGGGTCGGCGACAAAAGGAGGGAAGCGGGGGGCCGTTTGAGACCCGGGAGAGCGAGCGTGGGGTCGGAGCCTCGCCCCCTCGGAGGGTCCTCCGGGCCAGCCGGGCGCCTCCCGGCCTCCACGCAGGCATCTGGCTCGCCCGACCCGGCGCGGAGAGCGAAGGTAGCGGCGACCACAGCGCCCTCTGTGGCCCGGCGGCGCCGCCTCAGAATCGGCGCGGCGGCCGGGCGGTTTGCCGTGTGCCGGCGCCGCCCGGGGCCGGCCTCCCCACCTGGGCCGGGACGCGGGGGCTCGACGGCTGCCTGGGTTTTAGGCCCTCGGCCTCCGGAAGCTTCTCACGGTCCCGACGGGCGGGATGGGACGTTTTTCTGCCGTCGTCCCTTCTCCGGGCCCCGGGGGTCGCCGATCCGGGTCTCTGGAACCGAGGCCTTAGGAGAGGGGAAGCCTTGACGACTTTGGTGAAAATAGGAGTTCGAGTCTTTTCAAAGTTTGGGCACGACCAGAAGTTTTGTACGCAGAGAGGGGTCGTGAACCCTGGGGTCTTGGGTCCCCGGGCAAGGGCATGAGGAGGGAGGGAGGAGGAAGTGTGACCTGAAGAAGCAAACTGGGTTACCAGCGGGGATCCCACGCTCCCTGAGGTTTCCTTAGTCACTTTCCTGGGACTTCTGGGGGACTGTACTAGAACAGAAGGGTTGTGGGCGCCCTCTCAGCGTGGAAGTGCTTTTGGTCTCTCTGAGGGAGAGTGGCTAGAGGGGCTCTGTGGTGCCACGGGGTCTCCATCCCTTAGGGCAGCAGTGGGAGCTGCGAGGTAGTACAACCTGCACAGCAAGGCTTTGGAAAGAAAATTTATTGTTGTGTCTGTTGAAAGAAGAAAGTCAAGTCATGAAACTGCCTCCATGCAGAGTGAAATTAGGCACACATATGCCAGGAGGATGGGTAGAAGCGATTTCACCGTGTTCTCTAGAGACTTGTGAGAACTCTTAAAATAGAAATCAAGTCTCCATCAGTGTCTCTGCTGGGAGCTGTTCTCAGATGTGTGGTCATCAGTCGCCTGGTTCTGACTTGTGAGGTGCTTTGGGAAGCATTTGTTCCAGGAGCATTTTTTGGAGTGCCCACTTTGTGCCCGCTGCATACAAAATTTACAGCTTCCTGGGCCCACTGAACCACAGTCTCTGAGTAGTGCTTGGGAGTCCACCTTTTACACCTGGTGATTTCAGTGCACATCGAAGTTTGAGAACCAATCATTTGGGGCAGAGATTGCCAACTACAGTCAGCAGGCCAAGTCCAGCCTGATGGCTGTTTTATACAGAATGGGCTTTACATTTTCAAATGGGGGAGAACTCAAAAGAACAATATTTCATGATCTGAGAATTACATGAAATGTAAATTTCAGAGCTATAAATAAAACTACATTGGATCACAGCCACATGTCTGTGACTGCTTTCTGGCTACAGCAGAGTTGAGCGCTTGTGACAGATTGCATGGAATAATGCAAAACTATTTTAGATTAATACAGGCACTTTGGTAATATTTTCAGAGATTGTGAGCCTGTATCCTTCACTACATATGCTTCTTTTCATAGACTTGGTGGACTCATGGACCTGAAACTTTTCTCTTGAGAAGCAAACTAGCCCCTCCAAAAAAATGGCTTTTGTTGCAACACAAGGGGCCACGGTGGTTGACCAAACCACTCTTATGAAAAAATACCTGCAGTTTGTGGCAGCTCTCACAGATGTAAATACACGTAAGTTGATACTTTTATTTTTGTCAGTAAGAAGTGCATTGGATTGATTCATCTCAGTTCAAATAATATGTATATTGAGGTAAATAGTAACATTAACTTTTATGTCCCATTTCTCTGTATTGTGGAGAAGCAAAGTGATGAGTATTACTGGCTGGAGCCCCAAAGAGGCACACGTGTGTGTGTGTGTGTGTGTGTGTGTGTGTGTGTGTGTGTCTGTATCCTTGTCTGTGCGTGCACACGTATGTCAGAGAATATGAATGTGTATGACTGATTGTAGGGAACTAGTTATGTGCCTGCTGTTGGGCCATGACAGTCAAACTGATAAGATCTGATTGCTTCTCTCAAATTATTAAATCTAGTAATTTTAGGAATATCCTTAACATAATTTCAGTTACCTAATGGTTTGTTTTGACATTTACAGCTGATGAAACAAAGTTAAAAATGATGCAAGAAGTTAGTGAAAATTTTGAGGTATGAGCTTTATATTTTACACTTTTCAATTTGTGGAAAATATTTACATGTGCTTTCCTATTGCTTTTCTTCAGTTTTATTTGTAACTCAAAAATCATTACCTTTGTTAATTTTTCATATTTCAAAATTGAAATTTGAAAAAATGTACAGTGTTTCCAATTTCTTTACACTAGTGATAGTGATCCCCAAGCTTTGTTGAGGACTATGGTAGCTCTTTTTAGACAAACACTTTCAAGATGCACTCAGGCTTACATTGTAAAATAATTATGTTTAGGAGGTAGATGATATACTATGGAAAGAGAGCTGGGCATCACTATTTTTTAAAGATTTATTTTATTTATGCATACAAGAGCTGGGATACAGGCCAGAGGGTGTGGGGCGGGGGTGGGGTTGGGGGAGAGAATTCACCAGAGACAGAGTGGGAAACAGAACAGGCAGTCTACTGAAATACACTGCCAAGGGGAGCAGCAGGTGAGACAAGAGAGGTCTGCTGCGCCATGTGGGTCACCTCCCTGGCCAGGGATTGAACTCATGCTGCTGTAGTTGCAGAGAGCTTCGTAATGCTGGTGCTTAACCCCTTGCACCACCAGGGAGGCCCCATGGGCATCACTTTTGGCTCTAATTATAACTCTGTGACCTTGATCAAGCACATTATCTTTTTGAGGCTTCACATTCTGTAAGCGTTTCATAGGTCTTCTATTCTTTTCTCCTTTTTTTAATTTTTTAGATTATACAATTTCTGCTGATCTGCCTTCTGGTTCACTTTTTACCTGTCATCTCTAATCTGCTAGACTGTTATTTTTACATTTCAGTTATATTTCTTTTTGTATTTTATACTTCAGTTATTGTACTTCAGTTCTTTGTAGATTTCACTTTTTTGCAGAGATTCCCAATCATTAAGATATATTTTCTTTTATTCTTTGAACATATTTTAATGACTGCTATAAGGTCTTTGCTGAGGACAACTTTTGGGTTCAAAAAGGTTAATTTCTATTGATTATGTCTAGTAGTTTTTTTTTTAAAGATTTATTTATTTTTATTTTATTTATATAAGCACTGGGTACAGTCAGAAGCGCAGGAGGGTGAGAGGATTCACCAGAGCCAGAGCAGGGAACAGAACAGGCAGACTGACGGAAAAAACTGCTAAGGGGAGCAGCGGGCGGCAGGAGAGGTCTGCGCGCCATGTGGGACCCTCCTCCAGTGGCCGGGGAGCAGCTGGGGATCGAACCGGTGCTGCAGAGGCTGCGGGCAGCTTCGCAAACCAGCGCTCAACCGCTGCGCCACGGGGGAGGCCCTGTCTAGTAGTTTTTGATGATACACTGAACACTTTATGACATGTAGGGACTCTGGATTCTGTTATCTCTTTCTGAAGAATGTTGATATTGTAGTAGGAATTTCAATTGCTGGCATTTCACTGGACTAGGTAACTTGATTTAATGCTGTGGTAGGGAGGATCTATAGAGAGCCCAAGGTGTTTCCCCATGCTCTTTTTTTGTGGGATTCAACCTCCAAACTCCTCCCCCTAGATCTCATCAGAGGGGGTTTTTAGGCTTCTTTGGGACAGGTCTAAAGTAGGCTTTACTCTAAGGCATGATCCATCCTGAACTGGATGTAGGTGTTATCAAGGTGTTAATACTTTGAACTGTGGGCCTCCCTGGTGGCGCAGGTGGTTGAGTGCAGCGCTGTGAAGCTGTCCGCTGCCTCTGCAACCCACATGGCGAGTAGACCTCTCCTGTCTCACCAGCTGCTCCCCTCAGCAATGTATTTGTCAGTCTGTCTCTTCTGTTCCCGGCTCTGTCTCTGGTGAATCCTCTCACCCTCCCGTGCATCTGGCCTGTACCCTGGCTCTTGAATAAATAAAATAAATCTTTTAAAAAAAAAAAAAAAGACTTCGAGCTATGGGGCCTTCCTGGTGGTGCAAGAGGTTAAGACGCAGCACTATGAAGCGATCCGTGGCTGCTGCAGCATGAGTTTGATCCCCAGCCATGGAAGTGACCCACATGGCGCAGCAGAACAGGTGGATCTACTGAAATACACTGCTGAGGGGAGATTGAGAGGAGCAGTGGGCGAGACAGGAGAGGTCTGCTGTGCCATGTGAGTCAGCTCCCTGGCTGGGAGAACGAACTGGTGCTGTGGCGGCACTGGTGCTGTGGCGGCATCTGACCATAGCTAGGTAGCACTGAGATTTTAACCCCTGCGCCACCAGGGAGGCCCTATAGTGACTTTTGAAATCTTTATAAACATTTACCTTAAATGAAACTTGAGAGACTCAGTCCTTCAAGGTATTAAATATTAGAATATTTAATACAGGTAATTCTAAATTCCCATCACTACCATTCACAGCACAATATTTAAATGAAATAAGGAAATTTTTTTAAAAATGCCCAGTAATTTTGGGAGCCTTAGAAATTCATCCCACTAACCACATAGGAATGAGGTTTTGAACTATATATTAGAATATGGGCCACCTTATAAGACAGAAAATAAAGAGTCCTTCAAGTTTGAAATCACATGTGATTCATCCAAAGTTCATATGGGTCAAAAAGCTGGGGGCTGTGTTTTAAATACTTGCAGAATAACTGGGTAACTTGCTGAGTGAATCTTTTATTGGAGAAATTTGAAACTTGGCTGTTTCCAAAGCTGTGAGATCAGTGGTTGGTGTGGGGTTATACGTAGATGAGTTTGATTTCTTCATGATCTTGAGTATGTTTCAGCATGAATATATCCTATCCCATGAATCCATGAATGTGGGTGTTTTATAAAGTCTTCAGCTTTTGAAACAAAAGGTGACAAACTTAGTTCTTGCCCCCACACAGTGTTCTGTGTGGACAGAGCCCCTAGAATTGTGTACTGGACTGATGATCCCAAGAATTGTAGCACCTTACTCATTTCTGGTTTTCACCTATGTCTTCCTTTTTAGACTCCTTCTAAGATTACCTTAGGTAATAGAATACCCCAGATCTTTAGCTGCAACCCAGATGGGTGTCTGGAACTCCAGACACTCAGATTGAACTGTCCTGATGCCCCTTCTCTGGCTTGTCAGACTCGTGTTAGTAGTATAAGAGAATGGTTAAACATTTACTAACAACAAAATTATGAAAAGCATGAATATAAAAAGTTCTATTTTAAAAGCTCAGTATGGTGGGGACAGTAGTATAAGAGAAAAGTTAAACATTTACTGTGCCCCACCATACTGAGCTTTTAAAATAGAGCTTTTTATATTCATGCTTTTCATAATTTTGTGCCTTTGCATGTTTTTCTTAGTCTTTTACTTTTATACTTTTTAACATAGTTTACTGCTCATTTAGATTTTAGTACAGATATTACCTCTTCAGGAGGTGTTGTCTTTCATTAATTCCATCCAATAAATTCTCTATTATAATTTTTGTACGGTTAGTCCTTTTTTTGAGACCTGTCTTCCCCACATATTACTGTCTCCTCCATTTCTCAGGGCACAAATTGTATCTACTTCATCATTTGATCTCCACTGAGTACATGATAGGAGCTCAATAAATAAGTGTTGAGTGAGCAAGTGAAGCCTTAAAAAGGGAAAAGAATCTGGGTGTTCAGTGTACTTAATTTGAATATACTTCCCAAACTTACTACAACAGATTTTTCAATCTTTCTGAGCCTTTCTTTTCCTCTGAAATGGAAATATTACTTACTTACTTACTTGATATACCTTTTAGTTGTCAGCTCCATAGACAGAATCATGAAGGTTTAGTACAACTATCTTAGGGTTGTGGTGAGGGCCACATGCTAATGGATGACCAGTGCAAAGCAGTGTCTAGCACATAGATGTTCTGATGATAATAGCAGATTGCATTTATCGAGCACTTACTGTAGACATTATTATGAGCTTCCTATGTTATCTCATGTTACCTTTATTATATAAGGCAGAATTTAATATCCTCACTTAAAAAGATGGAGGCACAGAGACACAGAAGTCAGGTAATTATGCTGTTTGAGTGGGATACAGAAACTACATAAGTAACCATTTTTCCTACACTAACTCCAACCTCTACTTTCATTTCTTTTTCTGTTTAAAGTAAGTGGTGGGATAAACAATGGGTTATATTATAATCTGATTTAACATAGATCTAATTAATAATTAGAATTTTAGATTACAAGAAGGTGTCAGTTTGTTTTAGGGTCTTCATTGTCCAGATGCAGAAACTAAGATCTAAAAGCTAAATGACTTTACAAAGGTCTCATACTTAGATTATGGCAGAGGCAACCTAGGATGTGCACCACGACCTACATTTTCCATTGTATTTATCCTTCTGGTTTTAGCAGTGAATTTTAGCGTTTAGTTCTCTTGCATTAGATCTTAGAAGTAGCTTTCATCCAAATTTATTTAAAATTACACTATTACTAAAACATCTAAAATTATTAAAAGTTGACTCTGCTAATGTTTTATATTCTTTTGAATATTATTATGAATATTATGGGAATTTAAAATGAAAATAAGTACACAAACTAATGAAGTTTTATTTTTACAAAATTAGAATGTGACATCATCTCCTCAATATTCTACATTCCTGGAACATATTATCCCTCGATTTCTTACATTTCTTCAAGATGGAGAAGTTCAGTTTCTTCAGGAAAAACCAGCCCAGGTAATATGTTCTAACATATCAGTGAGTAAAAAATGTCATGCTGTAGGGTTGCCAAACATTTATGATTTTTAAACAACTAGAAAACTGTAGTTCTACGTAAAAATGAAAGTATTTATATCACATAAGGATAACTTTGTCCAAGACAATTGCCAACTTAGTTAAGCCTTAGTCTTATTGTATCTAGGCCATCTCTTTTACAATGTAAGTTCCCATTTGCCAACTGGCGATGTGTATATACATTCTTATATAGATGAAATTAAATATATACAAAAGAAGGAACAATGGCTTAATGACCCTCCACTATACCTATTGCCAATTTTAATTCATTTCAGTTTTTGTAGCTCATGACCAATTTTGTTTTTTCCATACCTCATCCTCACTTCTTGCACCCCTTCCCATCTTGATCCTTTTAAAACAGTACTGTTTTTTCCATAAATATTTTAGTGTGTACCTCTTAAAAATAACTTTTAAAAATTACCATAATACTGGTGAAGTTTATTGCTATATAAAGCATCTCCATGTTGTACATTTTGAGGTTTTACGTATTTGACCTACCTTTTAGTTGTCAGGTTCATTGACAGAATCATGAAAGTATAGCTTATGATAGAATTAGTGCCTGGGCCCAAGGTCTTTGAAGAAAACATTATTGATTATGAAGGAAGATCTTAAAGTAAGATCAGTTTATTTTTTTCTCTTTCATCTTAAATTCACTCCATATTGAGACACTAGTGCCGTTCTACAAATACTGATGAATTATGAAAGAGAAAAAATTTGGCTTCAGTGATTTAGTATACAGTTAGAAATATTGGAAAGTAATGGTTTGCTGTACTTTGGATTACATTTAATGAATTCATAAGACTGTATCTAAGGTGGGATCCATCTTAATATGGTGGTTACCTCTGAGTATAGACAGCTTCATGATACTTCCAGAATGCAAAAGAAGGAAGGCTCTTCACTTACATTTTTATATTTCTTTGGCAGCAACTACGGAAGCTAGTCCTTGAAATAATTCATAGAATACCAACCAATGAACATCTTCGTCCTCATACAAAAAATGTTTTGTCTGTGATGTTTCGCTTTTTGGAGGTAACCTTTGAGAATTCTTGTTATTTAGCCACATTCCAAACTTTGATGACTTTCTTATTGTAAGATTCAGTATTACACAGATAAATCCCTTTCATTAAAGTTCTGATTCACAGAACAAAACTTTTCTTAATGTCCACTATCTCCCATTTTGCCAAGCAAATTACTAAAAAAGATTATTAACCAAAGGTCTTTTTTTTAAAGATATATTTTTATTTATACGAGAACTGGGGTACAGGCCAGAGGCGTGGGAGTGTGAGAAGATTCACCAGAGGCAGAGTGGGGAGCAGAACAGGCAGGCGGACCGAAAGCACTAATCAAGGGAGCAGCAGGCGAGACAGGAAAGGTCTGCCGCACCGTGTGGGTTTCTCCCTGGCTGTCCGGGAATCGAACCGGCGCTGCAGACAGCTTCACGGTGCTTCACTCAATCCGCTGCGCCACTAGGGAGGCCCCAAAGGTCATTTTTCAAGTCACTGGGGAATTGGCTAGACCTAGTAGAAATGTTTGAAAATGAATTGGGTGGTGGTTGACACGCTTGGAACACTGTTCTTAGATGTTGTGCTATTTGTATGTGTGAAGCACGGTAGATGGTCATGAAGAGTTTCTCAGATTCTTGGGGTGATTTCTTTTGTTGTTTTTTAATTTTTTTGTGTAGAAGAACTGGGGTGTAGGCCAGAGGTATGGGGGTTGAGAAGATTCACCAACGACAGAGTGGGGAGCAGAACAGGTGGATTTACTGAAACACATTGCTGAGGGGAGCAGCAGGTGAGACAGGAGAGGTCTGCTGCACCATCTGTGGGTTAACTCCCTGGCCAGGGATTGAACTCAGGCCATAAGGGGTGATAGGTCTGAGACTTAACCCTTCGGCTACCAGAGAGACCCTATTTGGTATTTGTTAAATTAATTTCTAAAATTGTTTTGATGTTTGTTGTCTTGATGTGTTTAAGCTCTGTGTTGTTTATGGGACCCTTGGGGAGATGAGCTTTGGTTGAAGAATGGGGATAGAGTTGGATTCAGATTTTGGTTCTGACATTTATTGGCTGTGTCATATTAGCCACATTGCTGACCTTCTCTGAGGCTTGGCTTCATTGTATGTAAAATGTGAATGATACCCTTACTCAGTTTTTGTAATGTGCAGACCATAGGGGCCAGTGTATGGTAGGTGCTTAGTCATTGTTCTTTTGGCAGTATTTTCAAATAATGAAAAATCTTGGTCCCAATAAGACCTTAGTTTATGGTGTGACTCGCCACAAATATCAGTTAATTCCTCTCTCAGAATTACTCTTGTGCAGAACTTACTGCTGCGATGCCCACCAAAGACCAAGAAAACTTTTTGTCTGGGATAGCTATATTCTGTGGGTTGATGAATTTTCAACAAATCAAATCTCAGTCGATGGTGGGAGGGTGTGTATGCAGAAAATGCTTTGAAAAGTGTCTTTTAATCTTTCAAATAAATTCTTAGAAGTGTAACTTTTTTTAATGCTTTTTTTAAAGACGGAAAATGAAGAAAATGTTCTTATTTGTCTAAGAATAATTATTGAGCTACACAAACAGTTCAGGCCACCCATCACACAAGAAGTAAGTGTTTTTCCTGATCGCATTTATAAAGATGTGACAAGTTCCTTGTACTTTGTAAATTTTTTTTACTCTAATTAGAGTTGACAATGCATGCTGACTTCCAAGTGTAAACAACATAGCCTAAATTGGGGGAAATTCTTTATGGGTTTAACAGTGAATGTGTATGTGAATATTTTGCTAAATTTGTACAGTGGTTGAAATATGCTCACTAACCAAACTGGCACGACTCTTTGGATTATTCAGAAAGTAAAAGCTTAGTGATAAAATAGAATTCCTTCCATATTTAAGCATAAATACTTAAAATATAACTATTTTCCAAACATTATAAAATGTTCCTTAAAAAATGAATTTCTAATGTATGCATATTATTTCTTATGGGTGCCCTTATTTTCATTTAAGGTATCTCAGAGTTTTTATTTCATGACTTGTTACTAAATGTCTTGTTTACAGTTTAGGTTATTTCATAGACTGGGTTTGTGGAAGCAGAAATACCAAGTTAAAGTCATCACTGTCTTAACTCTGCTGATATATATTGTTAAATTGATTTCCATAAAGGTTTCAGCAGCTTATGCTTCCCTAGGTCTAAGGACAGTCTGTCTCTCTCACAAGCACTCTCCATCGTGGTGCAGTATTTTTAAAGGCAAAAAGTGGCATTTACTTCAGTTTTCATCCTTTTGCTCTTTTTGAATTAGACACTTGTTTCTTGCTCAGCCTTTCGAATTTCTCTTTTTGTCTTTTTGCTCATATTCATTGCCTGTTTGTATTTTGAGTATGACTTTTTTTTTTACCTGTTTATAAGTTCTTATATATATTCAGACTGTTAGAATATTCTTATTATTTGTATTTTGTCTTTATAAATATCCTTTTTTTCCAGATTCATCATTTTTTGGATTTTGTTAAGCAGATTTACAAGGAGCTTCCAAAAGTGGTGGTATGTTTTTAAGATCATTTAAGTTTGTTATCTATATTTATTTATTCCTTATTCTGAAGAGAATTTGGAATGGTTGGGTGGAAGGAAAAGTTGAGGGGGATGCTCATTTTAGAATGGAGAATGTTTGGTGATGTTCAGAATTTAGGTTGATAAATCAGCCTTTTAAATAAAGAGTGCTTCTTTAATTTTATTGTTAAGATTACTTTATTTTTTACATTAAAAACAGTATTTTCTTATTGTAGAAATTTGATTAGAATTAGTAAATATCTTTTATGGGTCTCAACCAGTCACATTGAGGATTTGTTTTGTGTTTTATTTTATGCTTTTTAAAGATAGTTGCACTCACAATCTTCGAAACCTTTTTGGGAAGTGGTGTATACTTCCACCATTCTTTTGTGTCACTAAATTTTTTTCTATATTAAAGGAAACCAGCAATACCAAAAGTGTGTGGAGTAGAAAAATCTCTTTCCTCCCTATCCTATTCTCATATTATAAATATAATAATCGCTATTATCAGTTTGGAACATCTTCCAAGACTATTTCTAGCAGTCACAGTTCTTTTTGGCCCCATAATTAGATGCATGTGTGTTGACCTTTTTTCTTCTTGTTGTTGCTGTTTTTTCTGATTTTCAATTCTTCACTATCACAAATAATGCTTTGGTAAAAACCATTTTGCATAAATCTGTTTATAGTTTATATATGGGAATTTTTATTAAAGCTTTTTTTAAGCTTTAAAAATGCTTTTAATTAACATAAGGTATAATTGACTACTTTTGTGAAGCCCAAGTTTTGTTGAGAACCAGGATGATAACATGTTCCTCCTGGCTTTTAAAAATGTCTTCAGTGCCTTCTTATCTCTTCTTATCTTTGATCTCTATTTAGGAGACTTGGAAGGTTAATACAGTAGGGATTTGCTCCTAGTTTTATCACTGAAGGAATGGGATACTTTCTCCCCTGCCTCACTAAGCTAGTAATGGATTATGGAATGATTCATCTTTTGTCAGCCAGGGGGGAAAAACAGTAGAAAATATCGCAGGCTAGATTTCATTTTCTGTTGTTGCAGGTAGAGGGTGTCTCTGTCATGTTAAATCTTTGTGGTCCTGAATAAAGAAAAAAGTTTAGTATGTGTTGGATTAGACTTGACCTTAGGGGTTGGGGAATGAACTTTTAAGCCAAAGTACTAAGGACTGGTATAATATAACATTGAGAACATTTAGTTTCTTCCACCTTTTTATATAGAATCGCTACTTTGAGAACCCTCAGGTGATCCCAGAGAACACCGTCCCTCCCCCAGAAATGGTGGGTATGATCACAACAATTGCTGTGAAAGTAAATCCTGAGCGTGAGGACAGTGAGACAAGAACAGTAAGTTTTCCATTTGTTTTGCTTTGTTTTTATCTGTCTCCTGGACTTGGTAGAGGAAATACTGAGATATACTCACTTTTTTTAGACCACATAAGTTTTGTTTTTCTGCCTTTTTTCTTAAAAGACTTGCAGGCACTTAAAAGTGTGTGTGTGTGTGTGTGTGTGTGTGTGTGTGTGTGCGTGCGCACGCGCATAAAAGAAGGTATCACAGATTCTTCTGTGTGGCCTGGAAGTGGTGAAATGAACTGTTGGTTATCATGGACAGAAAATATAACAATAAAATTTTGACTTTTTGAACTTGTATTTCAATTTTGATGGTAACAGGTTTGGAAATTTCTGAATTTGAAAATTAGATTACCTGTTGAAAAAAGCAAATGACCACACCTAGGGGTCTCTGTTTCATCCTTGCCTTTGTCATTAATGAAATTCCTTTAACTACATATACATTTGTATTTGTAGTTAAGTTCCTGAGAGTGTGGACTCTGGGGGCAGAGAATACTGGGGTGATATCCCAACCCCACACTTGGGTTTTCTGGATATAGAAAAGTTGGTGAACCTTCTTTCTGACCTTTTTTTCCCTCTTATTGTCTGAAAAACCCATCTTGTGGAATTTTGTGAAGGTAATGCTGGTATTGTCTACAGGTAATGTATTTGTAGAACTGCACATAGGTCACTTCTGTTGTGTTTACTCTGACTATATCTTTGTGATTGAATTAAGACTATTTTATCATTTATATTTTACCATCAATAATTAAAGTGGTTTTGCAGAATGTTTTGATTTGTGCTTGGATAAACAAAGTACATTTTGAATAAAGCTCTCATTCCTTTGTTCTTCCTGAATTAGATTTTTTTTCCATTCCTCAGTCCCTCTTACTCTTTTTTTGTTTTTTCTTCCTGTCTATTTACCGCTTGACTGACATTTTTCTCATCTGTTTTTATGAATTCTTATACAGTAAGGCTATTAAATTTTTTATTATAAACATTTTTGTTTATAAATATCTTTAAATAAAACTGGTAAATTTGCTCTTTTCATTGTTGCTCTTATAATTAAAATAGTAGATATTAATACTTTTCTCAGAGGATATAAATCTCTTAAATTTTGACACATTTCTCTGAAGTTATTATAGATGATTACATTGGAAAATATAAAACCCTTTATGTTAAACAATAGTTCTAAGTACTGTCATTCCAAGTAGGTTAACTCTTTAGCCACAGACACTTGCAAAGATGTTTTAGGATTTTCCCTTTATCTTTATCTTAGTGACATTTAGTGGGGCTTCTGGTTGGAGATGTTTTAAATGCCATAGTGATAACCACAATCCTGCTTGTTCCTTTTTACAGCATTCCATCATCCCAAGAGGATCTCTTTCTCTCAAAGTGTTGGCAGAATTGCCCATTATTGTTGTTTTAATGTATCAGGTATGTGTACTGCTTATTAGTTTCTTGGGTCTGTGGCTTTTTTCTTTTTTTTTTTTAAAGATTTATTTATTTATACAAGCACTGGGTACAGTCAGAAGCGCGGGAGGGTGAGAGAATTCACCGAGCCAAAGCGGGGAGCAGAGCAGGCAGAAGGACCGAAGTACACTGCTGAGGGGAGCAGTGGGCGGCACCATGTGGGACCCTGCTCCGGTGGCTGGGGAGCAGCCGGGAATAGAACTGGCACTGCAGAGGCTGCGGGCAGCTTCGCAACCCAGCGCTCAACCGCTGCACCACCAGGGAGGCCCTGTGGCTTCTTATTTTATGATAAAGTTCATATCTAATTTTCTGTGGCAAATAGATGCATATGATACACAAGTGCTAACTAATAATTGAATCCTGTAGTTTCTTTGGTATGCCAAATTATTTTGCTATAGCAGAGTATAAAAGCATGAAAATCTGATATGTTTGCTTTTAGCTCTACAAACTGAATATCCACAATGTTGTTGCTGAGTTTGTGCCCTTGATCATGAATACCATTGCCATTCAGGTATCTGCACAAGCCAGGTGAGATGTCCTTGGGCAGTGACACAGCTGACAAGCCCCTCTGTTTTAATTCCTGGTTAAAATACTTTTGCTTTTGTCATTTGTAAAGTTATGAAAGTGATGTAAGTGATGTAAATTATGTAAGTTATGTAAGTGATAACATGTTGGTAAATTATATGCCTTTTGATATGCCTTTTGACTTTTTGAACTTGTATTAAAGTGTTAAGTTTTTTTAGTTCCTTATTTTTGAAAGGATGAACAAATACCTTGGTTTTTGTGTCTTATAAGTTTACAACTTTTATTAGGCATCACTGTACTCAAAACTTCAGGGTATCTAAACCTTTCTCACCCTCCGGCCCTGGTTCTTGCTGTGCCTTTCCTCATGAGTGTTGTAATTGTCATCCCTCTCACCCATCACCCTAATCATAGCACAGGGCAACTGTGTTCATCCTTTAAAACCTCTCAGGGAAGGCTTTTCTCAAATTTCATTGCTTTCTACATAAGACCTTTATCTCTCACTTTTTATCTGATTCTGAGTCGTTTTCGAGGGCAGTATCTCAGGGTGAATTAGATCTCATAACCTGTGACCCTAGCATCAGGTCTTTCATTGAACAAATAGGTACCCCTAATGTAATGAGCTGGATAAATGGGTCAGTCCTGCATTGCCTTTATTTACGGGATTCACATTATAATTGCTGTTGAATGGCATGTTATTATTTTTTTTTTATTTTGTAACATCTTTCTTTAATTTTTTACAGTATAGGATTTCTCCTCAGGTGTGGTCACCATAGGTTTCCTACCACCAAAGTGCCCATAGTCTTTCATCATAGTCTACTGTGCTCCCCTCTCCTGCTTCCCCACCTCCTGTTATTTGGAACTGTGTAAAATCATAGAAGCATTTTCTCGTGTTGATGTGTTGTTTTGGTCTGTATAGAGATCATATTTGGGACGTTATAATTTTTATAGCATCACCTAAAGATTTGAGAGCTAATTTTGTGAATTTTATTCACTTCTCATTCAGGCAACATAAACTTTACAACAAGGAATTGTATGCTGATTTCATTGCTGCCCAGATTAAAACATTGTCGTTTTTAGCTTATATCATCAGAATTTATCAGGTATGTTCAGTGGTTTTCATTTAAAGTCAGGTTTACTGATATATAATTTACATGCAAAAAAAATTCACCTTTTGTACTGTACAATTCTATGAATTGACAAATGTGTACAATTGGTAACCAATAGCACAAATGCTCTACATTTTGAGTGCCACTCCAAAATTTCCTTTTATAGTGTCAATATTCTCCTTCCATCTGTAGTCCCTGGCAAACAGTGATTCATTTTCTCTCCCTTTATTTTTGCCTTTTTCAGACTGTTATATAAATGAGTTATATAGTGGGTAGTTGTAGGGAAAGTGAAATGGTCAGGCTTTTACTCCACTGGCCTCTGTGACTATCTTCTGGGGCCTTGAATGCAGAAGGTGCTTGGGAGTGTAGGCACGGGGCAGTCATGCCTGATTGTGGATACCTGGAGTATGGCGTGGGCATGCGTAAGTGGGCACACTTGAGCCTGGAGTTTGACTCTCACATAAGGGCGGCGTCACTCAGACAGGAAGAATGGCAACGGTTACAAGAGGACACCAGAGAGAGCCCAAGGAGAAAAGCATATAGATTTGCTGGGGTCTAAAAGATCTGCCAGCCTCCTGCCCCTCCCCCCGCCCAGCCTCCCTGCCTTGCCAGCCTGTGGGTTTGCCCCACAAAGCCTGTAAAAGCCACTGAGGGCTCCAGGACTCTCCTTTAGCCATCTGCCCATATGAATAGAGAACCTACCCTGTGCTTGCTGTTTGGTGTTGGTCGGCAGGATTCAATGCAGATGGGTATGGAGCCCATCTCTGAAGACTAGGGAGGAACTGAGGGGTGACAGGCTGCAAGCATGGAGTGCTCGGTGGCCAGCCTCCTCTGTGTGGGCACCTTCCCAGAAGTGGCCTGAGGTAGATAAGTTCCTGTTGCAAGTGGAAAGGACGGTACACAGTGGGGGAAGGCATTGTATAGACATGGTGCCTGCTTGGAGGCAGGGCTAGGGGAAGAGTGTTCCCTTACAGCTCTGCAAGTGGAGTCAAGGAGTATGCTGAAGGCACCATAGCAGCACAGGAGGTGGACAGAGTCCAGGAGCTGCGGGAAGAGCTAAAGATGCTTCAGGAGGCAGACAAGGTCCCGGAGCTATGGGACAAGACCTCGTTAGGAGGAGATGGCCCATGAGGACCAGGCCACTACCCCGAGGCAGCAGACTCGTCAGGGAAAACAGAGACCACAATTCCTCATTCAGAGGTGGCCCAGTGGTGACACGAGGATAAAACTGATGGATTGAGACTAACAGTTCTGCCAGAAGGCTGGGGAATGTTGGCAGGTTGATGTTATGTTGATGGGGTCATCTGTATACCCTATGAGATGAAAATCAAGGGGTGGCCAGTCGGCCTAGTGGCCTAAAAGCCTGTGCACTGCCTGGCACTCCCAGGGCCACAGCCCAGAGTGGCAGTGGCCACTGTGGACAGGTTAGAGTAGGGGCAGGGGCAAATGTGAGCAGCCCAAGGCTGGCTGAGGGAAGGAAGCGCTAGCCAGGTACTCTGCAGCCATGCAGGAGATGTATCAACAGCCAGCTTAGATAAGGCAAAAGCTGGTGCCAAAGTCGGGAAGTCCTGAGCGGTTTTTAAGCGGCTGAAAAGATGCTAAAGAAGGCAGGCAAGCCTCTTAAATTCACCTGTGGGTGATGCCCATTCACTTTTGAATAAGGGTAAGGTGCTGAGGAACCCGTCCTTGGGGCATGGGCGGGGACCATGGCTTGTGGTGGAGAACACAGCCAGAGCAGGGGCCAAAGAGGCCACATGTGGAGCTATCCACGGGTCCCTAAACCATATGCACGTGCAAAGGGTTGGCCTTATTTAGGGGTCTGCTTGTCACATTGGTGGCTATGAAAGCTGAGTGAGTGTTGAAGTGACAGCAGTAAGAGTACCTCTGGGGATTGATTACCCCCAAAAGAGTATATATAGATCATGTCACCAATCTTGGTGCATTCTCGGGATGTAGTATAGCTTGTGAGTAAGACCATAGCCAGAGAAGGCCTTATGCTTCTGGCATGTAACAGCAGATGCTGTGAGTGAATAGAGCGTTTCTTCCTTGAGTGAGCAGTGCCTTCCGCAGCATACTTGATGGATCACCTGCTGGTGCTAATACTCCTGTCTTTTTTACCCCTAGGTTGATGCCCTAACACCCTAGTGCCTGGGATTAGTTGTATTCAGTTGCATTCTGTTTACTTTTTCAGGTTGTGGCTGTAGTGTTCCACATTTGTCAAGGGAAATTGGTGGATAGATTGTATGGTAAAAAACCCTGAGGGGGGGGTACATTGTAGGCTAAGTGAAATGGTCAGGCTTTTTATACCACTAGCCTCTGTGGCCTCGAATGCAGAAGGTGCTCATGCCTGATTGTGGACACCTGGAATATGGTGTGGGCATGCATAAGTGGGCACACCTGAGCCTGGAAGCTGAGGCTATAAGGGTGGCGTCACTCAGAGACAGGAAGAGTGGCTACGAGAAGACAAGTGACTACAGAGAAGCAGGACCACGCGACGCCACCAAAGAAAGCCCAAGGAGAAAAGCATACAGGTTCGCCTGGGGCTGGGAGGCCTGCCAGTCTCCTGGCCCGCCCAGCCTCCTGGCCCTCCTTGCCAGCCTGCACGTTTGCCCCACAACAATCGGCATGGAAAGAGCATTAAAGTCTGAAAAAGCCACTGAGGGCTCCAGGACTCTCCTTTATCCATGTACCTGAATCGGGAACCTGCCCTGTGCTTGCTAGCACTGCAGTAGTGTGACTTGTTTCACTTAATAGTAATGCCGAGAGTCATGCTGCTTATTCTATCAGTAATTCATTACTTTTTGCTGATGATTAGTTGTCTAAGTCTACTCAGAATAACACAGACTGGGTGGCTTAAATAGTAATTCATCTTCTCACAGTTTTAGAGCCTGGAAAGGCCAAGCTCATGTTTCTTACTGGATTTAGGTTCTGCTTTTCCTGACCTGTAGGTGGCCATCTTTTTGCTCTGTCTCTGTGTCCAGCCCTGTCACCCCCCTTCCCCCCTCTTCCCCCTCTCCCCCCCTCCCCCATGATGGGGAGAGAGAAGAGAGATGGTTTTTACTCTCTTACTCTTACAGGAACACAGACCTATTGGATTAGGGTCTTACCCTTGTGATCTTATTTAACCTTAATTATCTCTTTTGTGCTCTGTCTCCAGATTCAGTCATCATAGGGGTTAGGGCCTCAACATGAATTTGGGGGGTGCAGAGTTCAGTCTGGTAGTAGCAGTAGTATTCCATTGTTTGGATGTACCATGGTGCATTTATTCATTCACCAAGTGTTCCCAATTTAAAAAAATACAGCTTTACCAAGATTATTCTCACAAAATAAAATTCACCCTTTTAAAGTGGATAGTCAATGGATTTTAGTTTATTTACAAATCTATATAACCGTCATAGCTTATATAATTTTAGAACAATTTCATCACTCCCAAAAGAAACACCATCCCATTAGCAGTCACTTTGATTCTTACCTTGTCCCCAGCCACTAATGTGCTTGCTGTTTTTATTAATCTGCCTGTTTCATTTTTGACCATTATTAGTAAAGCCACTATAAACATTTACACATAGATTTTTATGTTAATGTATTTGGTTTATTGACTTTTATTCTTCTTGGAAGTTGGCATATTATAGAAGACTATGTGAGAGAGATTAGAACTTTAAAAAAATGGCATTATCAAATAAAACTGATAAAGGCATGTTAGATGTTGTTTTGAGGAGCCTGTAGAGTGGTTTTTTGTTCCTCTCTTTTTTTTTATTTTAACATTTTTTTACATTTTTTTTTAGATATTTGCTTCCACCCACCCCCTCAGATTGAGTCCCCATAGAATCTCCTTCCCCAAGGCACCCATGCATCATCACCACATTCCCCTGTGCTCCTCCTCCATCCCTTTCACCCCTCTCCCTCTACCTCCCCTATAGTATGTCTCTGGTTTATAATAGTCTGTTTTTGCTTTGTTGTGTTTTGTACTGTTATTTTTTTTTTACACTGATGTCTTATTTGGTTCCCCAATATTTCTGTTATAAGTGAAACCATCCGATATTTTTCTTTTTCCTTCTGGCTTATTTCACTGAGTATAATTCCTTCTAGCTCCATCCATGTTGCTATGAATGACATGAGTTTATCTTTTTTAATTGCTGAATAATATTCCATTGTGTATATATACCACATCTTCTTGATCCAGTCATCTATTTTGGGGCATTTGGGTTGTTTCCAGGTTTTACCTATTGTAAATAAACATAGGTGCTGCAATAAACATAGGGGTACAGGTGCTCTTTTGAATCACTGTTTTTGTGTCCTTTGGGTAGATCCGTAGGAGTGGAATTGCCAGATCGTATGGTAGCTCCATTTTTAGTAGACTGAGGAACCTCCAGACAGCTTTCCACAATGGTTGGACCAGTTTGCACTCCCACCAGCAATGTAGGAGAGTTCCTTTTCACCACATCCTCGCCAACATTTGTTGTTGCTTGTTTTTTTGATATGTGCCATTCTTACTGGTGTAAGGTGGAATCTCAGTGTGGTTTTGATTTGCATTTCCCTGATGATAAGGGATGTTGAACATTTTTTCATATGCCTGTTTGCCATTTGCATTTCCTCTTTGGAGAAATGTCTTTTGAGTTTTTCTGCCCGTTTCTTGACTGGATTGTTTTTGTTTTTGTTGAGCCGTGTGAGCTCTTTGTATATCATTGAGATCAGTCCCTTATCAGTTGGATGGAGTGCATAGACTTTTTTTCCCAATCAGTGGGGTGTCTCTGTTTTGGTTAATGTCTCTTTTGCTGTGCAGAAGCTCTTCAGTTTGATGTAATCCCAGGTGTTTATCTTTGCCTTCACTATCATGCAGTTGTACTTTATTTAAATCATAAGAAGAGCTTGAAGGAAAAAAATACCATATCGCCCATGAGTCAGTGTTTTGGATAAAATTCATGTATGGTCATGATTGTTCTCAAACATAAATTTAGTCTAGTTTATTATAAAGCAATGGAATTGTATTATAATTTTTAAAAGGATTATATTTCAGAAAAATAATCTATGCTAAATTGTTTAAAATTACTTTGGAAAACATAATTTTTCCTCCCTTTTAAAATGTGTTTATGTAGATGATAATTTACTCTAAGAAAATGTAACATGACTTTAAAAATCATAATTGGGTACCCCTTAACATTTTAGTTAGCTTGAGTTATCTTGGTGAATTGCTTACCTTAAATGCTTCAAAAGGAGATTATGATTAGAGCTTATTTTGAATTGCTAAGAAATGTCTCTGGTGTATGTGACTAAGTAAAATGTATTCATTTAAAAATTTTTAAAAATATTTGCTTCTCCTTTCTCTTCATCCCCCACCCACCAATAGTGAAGTAATACATATTTGTTGTTGAGCACAGGATTACATAGTACCTCAGGGATATATTTGATCCCATTCTGTAAAAGAAACTATTAATTGTTGCTCTTCCTCCTTCCAGTACAGCAATGTGCACACAAACTATAAAAGCTTTTTGACTATTGCATTTTTATTAGGCCTGTTACTGTATGAGAGTCATTTGAGCCAAACCTACTTTTAGTGAATTTTTTTAAAGCTTATGAAATGTGGGTTTTCCATAACACCCATCTAGCAGAATAATGTTTTATTCTTTATTTTCTAGGATTTGGTGACTAAGTACTCTCAGCAGATGGTAAAAGGAATGTTGCAGCTACTGTCAAATTGTCCAGCAGAGACTGCACACCTGAGAAAGGAGCTTCTGATTGCTGCAAAGCACATCCTCACAACAGAGCTAAGAAACCGTATGTCTGCCCTGTCTTTGCATGCTACTCTGAGCCCTGGTGCCATCTTTGGGGGCAGGACTTTGCTGCATTCCCTTGTTAAGCGAATCTTTATCTCACTCAGATGTTTTTTCTGTACATGTCCTTTCTTTATTGCCATCTTGAATTCTCTCTCCTCCTCCTCTGCCTCTCTGCCTCTCTACCTCCTCCTCCTCTCTCTCTCTCTCCCACCAGGGTTCTTCCTTTATCTTCTCAGTAGTTTCACAATAAATATGGTTAATTTCCTTAGCAAGTTTGCACCCTGGGTTTCTCGTGGTACTTTGCTGCCTTTGATTGAATATCTCTTGAAGTTGCACGTAGCATCTTTCCTTTTGAGTCTCCTTCCACTTGGCCTCCTTACTGACAATAGCGCAGGCATGTTTCCACCTCTGACTTCAGAGGGACTGCTTGTTGCTTCTTGCATTTGGTGCCCCTCTCTGTGCTGTCCTGTTTGGGGAGTTAACCAGGAGGGGGCATGTGTCTCTCCATTATACACATTTCTTTTTTATCTTTAACCCTCAGAAGCTTTTTGCTGGTGAAAATGTACTTTACTTGACTGACTTAAAAAGTTGGCAGTGATGTCAGACATTTTCCAGAATCTAAATGCCCTGGGAATGTTTTTGGCCAGAGTTCTTCAAAGATAGTGTAGAATGGAGATCTGGAGGATGCAGGCTGCCACCTTCTCTGATATCCTTAGAAATGTGAATTGCCCCTGAGTGGAGACCAGTTATCTCTACGCTGGTTAAGTCTTGAGGTCTCTAGGGAAGGAGAGAGACTTTTTTGTCATAGTTCTGCCTACAGAGGGACAGGAGCCCCCATGATTTCTATTTAGTCTCATCCAGGGAGTTGGGATCCTAAACTGGACCCATTGCCTATGAGAACACTAATATTTCATAGATATTTATAATTTATATGCAGAAATACTTTATTGACTTCAGGGCTGTAGATAAAGTGGCATTTAGAAATTTGTTCCATTCTCCAGCCAGGTTTGGGTGGATGGTGGCAGTGCTGCAATATGCCTCCAGTGAAGTATTATGAGCATGAAGTTTACTTTACTCTGACTGAATATAACCTTAGTTGCATTTTTGATTGCATATGGTCTATATTAACAGCAATACCAGTGTCTTAGAGTAAAAGCACAAAAGACTAGCTTTCTTTTTTTTTTTAATTTTATTTTTATTTATTTATTTTATAGAGGCATGTTTTTATTTATTTATTTGTTTGTTTGTTTGTTTTGTTTACACATGTACTGGGTACAGTCAGAAGCGCGGGAGGGTGAGAGAATTCACCAGAGCCAGAGCGGGGAGCAGAGCAGGCAGAAGGACCGAAGTACACTGCTGAGGGGAGCAGCGGGCGGCAGGAGAGGTCTGCGCGCCATGTGGGACCCTCCTCTGGTAGCCGGGGAGCAGCCGGGGATCGAACCGGCGCCGCAGAGGCTGCGGGCAGCTTCGCAATCTAGCGCTCAACCGCTGCGCCACTGGGGAGGCCCAAAAGACTAGCTTTCTGATCTCTAATTTTTTCCAAATCTGGATTGATAATTAACTGCAGACTGGCTACTGTGAAAGCACCATTTAGTAACTTAATATAGAATTGATTTAATTGGTGACACACATATATATATAATGGACATTTGTATTCTAGAATTCATTCCTTGCATGGACAAGCTATTTGACGAATCCATACTAATTGGTTCAGGATATACTGCTCGAGAGACTCTCAGGTATGAGATTAAACCCTTGATATCTGGTTGATTAAATGGGAGGGGCAGCATTCCTGATACTATGTTAGAAATGTTTCAACAAACAGAATGTTGAGCCTTTTCTCTCCCACTGGATTTCAGATTCAAGAAATTTTGGAAAGGCCCTGGATTATTTTTGTGCCTTAAAAGGAGAGAAATTAGAGTACTTGTCTTGAAATAAATTATAGGTAATACTTTATCCAACCAGCATTTAGTTTTTTTGTTTTCTATGTAAGTGTAGCTTTCTGATAAGACTATCTGATAGCCTACCAAGAGGAAAGAAGGAAGAAAATTCTTTTGGAGCTGCACAGTGTCAGGAAACATGGCTAATGTTTTGGTGTATTTCCTTCTAGTCATAAGTTCTTATGCATTTTATTAAATAAATGTAGTTGTGATCCTGTTATTGTTTCTAAAGGGCATAGTGATTATTTTATTTTCTGTTAGTATGTAAAATCAATCAACGTTAGCAATTTTTTGGTTCTAATAAGAGAGGAGTGATAGGTCTTTTGATAATACACAGAATACTTTGAATATAGTCTATAGTGTTCACTGTGTTTTCTATATAAAATTGTTACAAACTATTAAGTAAGACTGGTGCTGGTCATTAGATCATGGTATTCCTGCTTGAACTTCCTTGGTTTTAGGTTGCCCTTCAAGAAAACCCAGACTCTTGACTAGGGCATGTGACTCCCTTAGGAGTTGGCTTTGCCTACTGGTTTCCCATCACTTGTGTTGTTCTCCTCTCTGACCTGCTAGAGCCTCATGGCCTCCCCATCTTCTGGGCTACTCCAGGCAGTTGCCACACATTTGTCCTTGCTGTTTTTTCCATCCAAAAGTTTCCCTGGCTTTTTGTCCCTACTGCCCCCTTTTGTCCATAAGATCTCTGGTGTCCAACTTAGTGTCTAGCACATGGTGGGTGTCCAAATGTTTAGGGAGTGAAAGCACTTGGTAGCCCCCAAATTATTGTATCTATAAGTTAGTCACAATATGTGAGCTATTATTTGACATGCAATTAACATTGAGCATCAAAGCCCATTCAGTGCAAGTCTATCTTTGAAATTAACCTTTTAACGTGAAAATAAACATTTCAGCAACAAGACAAGATTTGGGTGTTTTAGTTGTTGGTTGGTTGAGAGAGTGTAATGTGGTGGAAACTAGAACCATATAAAATATACCCCAAACATCCCCTCCCAGTGGTGCTTTTCCTGGGGCAGGTAGTACTAGAAACAGCAAACAGCAGCCTGCAAACATGGCCCAGTGGGGATGTAGAGACACACTAACAGAGGTCTCTGTCCACAGGCCCCTTGCCTACAGCACCCTGGCTGACCTTGTACACCACGTCCGTCAACATCTGCCTCTCAGTGACCTTTCCCTCGCTGTCCAGCTCTTTGCCAAGAATATTGATGACGAATCCCTGCCCAGCAGCATCCAGACCATGTCCTGTAAGCTCCTGTTGAACCTGGTGGACTGTATCCGCTCCAAGAGTGAGCAGGAGAGTGGCAACGGGAGAGATGTACTGATGCGGATGTTGGAGGTACCACACTCTGTGTTCCCACAATGCTATACTTGTGTTACTGTTTCACTGGCAAGTTAATAGCACCTCCTGATTGCCAAGCTTGACCCCAGGAGCTAGGCCACCTAAGTTCAAATCCTGACTACCCCATTAACTAACCAAGTGTCCTTAGGCAAAATGTTTAACTTCTCTGTGCTAGCCTTCTGACCAGGGAGAATCACAGTGTCTGCCTCCTAGGATGGTTGAAGGGCCCATGAAAGTTCTTAACATAGTTATCAGCAAGTAATTAGAAGAGATATTTTCTGGAACACTTTATAAAGCGCAGTGCTAACTTAGCTGTGAACATCTCTGGAGAAGTAACCAGTTAGGTGCCACATAAAATACAGTCCCAGTAGTGGGCAATAGTGTGGAAAGGGAGTTTCTGGGCTGCATCCAGGTCCTGCTTTTAATAGGCCAATCACCAGCTTTCCTGAGGCTGGTTCTTCACAAGGAAAAGGGATATAGATACTGCTGTAGTTATTGTGGGGGAGAAACCACAAGTTTTATGAAGCAGAACTACTTCAGATGTTAGTTACAGAAAGTGTTTCTTTTCTATCTTCTGAAAGTGTTGTTTGGTCTATTGAAGAGGAATAAATTTTGTCTTTTCCCTCAACTTTCTTTTCCTGTTAGGTTTTTGTTCTCAAATTCCATACCATTGCTCGATATCAACTCTCTGCCATTTTTAAGAAGTGCAAGCCACAGTCAGAACTTGGAGCTGTGGAAGCAGCTCTGCCAGGGGTGCCCACTGCCCCTGCTGCTCCAGGCCCTGCTCCCTCACCTGCTCCAGTGCCCACTCCAGCACCACCCCCACCCCCTCCCCCTACACCTGCCACCCCTGTGACACCAGCCCCTGTGCCTCCCTTCGAGAAGCAAGGAGAAAAGGATAAGGAAGACAAGCAGACATTCCAAGTCACAGATTGCCGAAGTTTGGTAAAAACCTTGGTCTGTGGTGTGAAGACCATCACGTGGGGCATAACATCTTGTAAAGCACCTGGTGGTAATTCTCTTGAATGTTTTTTTCTTTTTTGAAAGATTTATGTATTTATTTATACAAGCACTGGGTACAGTCAGAAGTGCGGGAGGGTGAAAGAATTTACCAGAGCCAGAGTGGGGAACAGAACAGGCAGAGTGACAAAGTACATTGCTGAGGGGAGCAGCGGGCATGGCAAGAGAGGTCTGCCGTGCCATGTGGGACCCTCGTCACCATCTGGGGATCACACCGGCGCTGTAGAGGCTGTGGGCAGCTTCGCAGTCCAGCGCTCAACCACTGCGCCACCGGGGAGGCCGTACTCTTTCTTGAGTATTGAGACAAATGTTTTTCACACAGTGGGTTTTATTCATGTCAACTTAATATGCTATCTCTCTTCTAGAATCTCAGTTCATTCCCAACAAGCAGTTACAGCCCAAAGAGACTCAGATTTACATAAAACTTGTGAAATATGCAATGCAGGCTTTAGATATTTATCAGGTAAGGAAGTCCCCTCAAACCCTCAAACCAGATCACTGAATAAGGAAAATACCCATAAGAACTAGAGATGCTAATGACAGAATAGGTCTTGAGAGAGCTTTTACTATTTGGTTAATATGCACTATTTGTAGGCCCAGTTTGCTTTGAAACATGGTATTGCATTTATGGTGAGAATTGTAGAGATCATTGTGTGTATTTTGTGGGCAAGATAGTGTAAATTCAATGTGATAGGAATACAAGATTTTAGTTTACTAAATTTCTGTTTGGAATTAAAAAGAAGCTTTAAAAAATTATTTTCCAAATTAAGTTGATGGTAGAGAAATTGAAAAGATGGGGAGGGAGCATTTATTATCTAATTCAAGTGCTGTGTTTTAAGTATACAGTTGATCTGATTATGTTATGGAATACATTTTGAAACATTGAGCTTCAGTGCCCTTATTTTTCCCTATGTTAGGTCCAGATAGCAGGAAATGGACAAACATACATTCGAGTAGCAAACTGCCAGACTGTTAGAATGAAGGAAGAAAAGGAGGTATTGGAACACTTTGCTGGTGTGTTCACAATGATGAATCCCTTAACATTTAAAGAAATCTTCCAAACGACAGTCCCTTACATGGTGGAACGAATCTCAAAAAATTATGCTCTTCAGGTATGAAACTTTTCTTGTGTCCTCTCTGCATTACTTTAAAATTCTTTGTTTATGTCTTGAATATTTGGTGTTCTATTACATGTATATTTTTTCTATTGTATATATTTTTTGATGATTTGCTAAATCATCAAAAGATTGTGCTAACAGCAAAATTTTGAGGTAATAGGCCATTTTTCATAATATGAAAAACTTTTTCAGAAGATAAAGATAACTTTTTTTTTAAAGACTTTTTTTTTTAAGATTTATTTTTATTTATTTATACAAGCACTGAGTACAGTCAGAAGCACGGGAGGGTGAGAGAATTCACCAGAGCCAGAGCGGGGAGCAGAGCAGGCAGACTGAAGTACACTGCTGAGGGGAGCAGCGGGCAGCAGGAGAGGTCTGCGCGCCATGTGGGACCCTCGCCTGGTGGCCGGGGATTGAACCTGCACTGCAGAGGCTGCGGGCAGCTTTGCAACCCAGCGCTCAGCCGCTGCGCCACCGGGGAGGCCCCAAGCTAGTTACTTTTAAAATGACTTTGATGACATTTTTGTCACCTGTGCTGCTTGTTTTGACAGATTGTTGCCAATTCCTTCTTGGCAAATCCTACTACCTCTGCCCTGTTTGCCACAATTCTGGTGGAATATCTTCTTGACCGCCTGCCTGAAATGGGTTCCAATGTGGAGCTCTCCAACCTGTACCTCAAGCTGTTTAAGTTGGTCTTTGGCTCAGTCTCCCTCTTTGCAGCTGAAAATGAACAAATGCTGAAGGTATGGCTTACTCAGATCCACGTAGTTCTTTGTGTTCAGGGTTTTTTTAATTCTTGTTTTTTCCTTTGAACAGAATGTGGAGTGACTTTTATATTTGTAAAGTATCCTTTGAATTAATAAATATTTGTAACCAGTAAGGGTCAAATGTGAAACATGATTCATCTGTTTCTAAACAGAACTTAATTTACCTGGTGATTTAAAATGAAAAGTTAAGAATTTTTATGGTAGTCAGTGGTTGTCATTAACTTTGCCACAATTAATTTCCTTTTTTAAACTCACTTTTCCTGGATTATACAAGTAAAATAGGAGCCCATCATCTTTATTTCTGAAGTTAAGTTATATGAAAGTGGTAGAGGAGAAATGTCTTCTCAGATATGATGAGAAATGTTTGACTGTGTGTTAGTTCTCACATTAGCTATTTTTCACTTTAACTTTGTTTCTTTTTTGTGTATATATATCTGTGGCAATATGTAAATATCATTGGTAGGACTATTTTTCCCATTAAATCAATATTTCTGACGAATTTGCATTCTTTTATTAAGATCTCCTTAGAGGAATGTGTCTGCTAACACATTACTATCCATGACAAATTGTATATAATTTGACCTTGTCAGTTGTTTGAGTCTAACAAATAGCTAATTCTCTGTCCATGGTTACATCAATCTCTAAAAACAGCAGGTGGCAGAACAAAAATCTTATAAAAATTCTCTTCCATTTATGGCAGAATATTTTTCCTTTTAGAATAAATTAATCAGAATGACCTTCCATTCCTGGTTAATTGCAGTGAACCCTCATTTAGAACCTATAACCTGTATTTCTCTACCCCACAGCCTCACCTGCACAAGATTGTCAACAGCTCAATGGAGCTTGCACAGACTGCCAAGGAGCCCTATAACTACTTCCTGCTGCTTCGGGCCCTGTTCCGCTCCATTGGGGGAGGTAGCCATGATCTCCTGTATCAGGAATTTTTGCCTCTATTACCGAACCTCCTACAAGGTCAGAGCGATGATTCCGGTTGCATTTTAGTGTTGTGCATGCATGAGTATTGCTGCCCTTGCTTACTCTGGGGCTTCTCTGCCGGGTGAGGGTGAGGGATATATGTGTATGTCTCTGTACTGTGTGCATGTGTGTGTCTGTGTCCCCATGTCCTTCCCTCTTTAAAGGGAGTGGGATTTCTTGGAGGGAGCACTCCTCTTTAGGGATGGAGTTTTCCCTCCCTCTATAGAGGTGAATGAGAATTGGAAGGCTTTAATTACCCAGGTTAAGGCTGGGTTGCCTTTTGGGAGCATTTGGTAAGCAAGTCTGGAAGGTGGTTTCTAGTGGTCTAGTAAGATGAAAGATCCTTCCACAACTGAAAGAAAGCAGAGAAGAGAAAAAGCAAGTTATCGAGTCTAGTATATAAGTTCATAGTTTAGTTGCTAATTTGTATAAGCAGAACCTTGTAATTCCTGTATAATTAGGAATGTTGGAGGATTTATTGTTAAATGGGATTTTGAGTCCATTGAATGTTTATGGGTATGAACTGATTAGAAACACTATCCTAGGAATTTTTTTTTTTTTTTTTACATTTTAAAAGGACAGATTTATTAGGAAAAGGAAAGAAGAAGACGCAGACACAAGCGGGCAGAAAGAGCTGCCTAGGAATTTTTTTTTGTAAGTTTAAGCTCTTGGTGAGGGATTGACTCTTCTGTACTTTCTTTGCTAATTCTTAAAAGAGAAGCCATTTATAACTGCATGCTCAGGAAACAACTTGAGAAATACTTGAATATGTTGAGTGTAACATAGCTGTATGTCCATCACAAAAGCTTATTTCTCTCCACCTACCTTTTAGTCGGGTCCCCTTCTGGACTCTTAGACGGCCTTCTTCCACCTTCTCTTTGGCTTCTGTATCTGTTGCTGCTACTTTGTGATATTGTCTCCTTGATAACTTATCTTTTCAATGAGTTCTCTTCATCCTGATGTGACATGTTTCTAATAGGAAGGACTCAGTAAATAGTTGGTTACCTTCTGAAGAGTGGAGAGGTTGACTTTATAAAAAGAAACTTCCCTCCATTTATAAGAAACAAAAGTAGATTTTAATATGTTTATTTTAGAGCATGCACATCAGCTATAGTCTGCTACCTAAAAAGGATATAAGGTTGTAAACCTCAAACTAAAGTTGAATGCTTCTTATTGGAGATTGTGTCTAGTTTGGACTGATTAATTATTTAATATTAAATAGTTGATATTAATTAGAACTTAAATTATAATCTGTGCAACTTGCTGTTGTCACCATAAATATGACAGACAAAAGGAATCATGGATGTAGTTGGAAAATAGATTATAATACAAAAAAATTCTTCTATCATCTCGTTGATGTTTATAATAAAAGGTGGATAAGTTATTTTGTACAGTTAACTCTGGTTTGTGTCTAGGAACACCTCCTCTGATGGCCTCAAACCCTTTTTTGTAGGGCTGAACATGTTACAAAGTGGCCTGCATAAGCAGCACATGAAGGACCTCTTCGTGGAGCTGTGTCTGACAGTGCCCGTACGGCTGAGCTCTCTCTTGCCCTATCTGCCCATGTTAATGGATCCTTTGGTGTCTGCTCTTAATGGGTCTCAGACATTGGTGAGCCAAGGCCTGAGGACTCTGGAGTTGTGTGTAGATAATCTACAGCCGGATTTTCTCTACGACCACATTCAACCTGTGCGCGCAGAACTCATGCAGGTAAGTCTGTGTTCTTGTAAATACCAGCAGAGGGTGTCTGTCATGTGCTCACGTAATGAGTTTTTACTGAGAATTTTAGGCTAGTGGGTTCTGGAATTGAAGTGACAACTACCCTTGAGTGTACTCAGTGAGTTCTCTGCAAGAGGAAGTGGTGTAGCTTTCTACTTATTTTGTCAGTCTTCTGGCATATGAAAAGATGTAAAGAAATACTGCAATTATTGAATGAATATTTGTAGTATAGTCCTTTTTCAGAGGGCTTTCACAAGTGTCATGTTCTCATTAAGTCGATGACAACAATAGCAAATGTTATGGTTATTGTAAAATTGCTGTTGCTTTCAGGGAGATCCTTTGTTAGCAGATCTTGTGTTATATATGAATAGATGTAAACTCTTAAGGGAAGGTATAGGTTTCTCTCCCACCCCAAGGGAAACAAACAAAGCAGATAATAAATGAGATTATTTTTAAAACACTACATTTTCTGTTTATCAATCTCATATATCAAATATCAGATTTTTCTTTAACGTTTTGATGTTGCATTGATTTGTAATGTGGTTGGTAATCATTAGCAGTTTAGGCTTATTATTCTTTATTCATCTGCCCTTTAGTATAGAACATTTGATTCCAAGTTAGGGGTAAGAATACCAGCTTTATATGATGGAGACTCAATAACTTTTAAAGACAGGATTTTCTTAATAGAATAGATAGGAGACTACATCTTAGACTTGAAGCTAAGGTTGGGAAACTCCCTGAAATTTAAATCTTGAACTTCATTTAGGGCTAGGGACAAAACCTTCAAGCCCAATCTGCCAGTCAGTCATTGGGAGGCTTGGCTAAGAGTCTACCTCCAGAACAGTTCTGCTGGTTTTAGAGGACAGACTAGGCCTGACCCAGCCCTGAGTGAGCACCAGGTGGGAGGTGGCAAAGATGTTCCTGTGCCTTCTTGCTATTGCACAAGGCAGATATCCCTAAGAGACAGGTAGAAGTACTTCTTGCTTTGGAGGCCCAGTCACCCCACCTACTAGACAAGTACCCAGTCCTTTCTCACCAGTCTCATTAACTAGCTAAGTCCACGTGTGAGCACTGGGAGATAGAAAATGCTCATATCCAGTGCTGCCTCTCCTGGGGAGTTCAGCCAAAGTCCTCACTCCTGAAGATATATGCAAATTGAGAGGGCCAGCGGAGACTTAATTGTCATTGGGGAAGCCTCTTTGAACTTACCGAAACATAAGACAAATTGAAATTTTGTTTAGAGAAAAGCTCCAAGACTTTACCTTGACTATTGTTAGACGCTAATGTGCATTGTGGCAGAGGAACCTTAGAAAATAGATATAAATATGAGCTATGGGAAGTTTTAAGACTTAGAATAATTTTGATGAGAAAATGAAGGAAGATTGCCAAATGTTAGCCATAATTGAGTGCATGTGTTTTCATAATAATTTTGAGTAGGAAGTACATACTACTTATTCCCATAATGCAGGAATCTACCTTTCCCTCCTTAGCCTTTCTAAGGAGATTGGAAATGTACAAGGTAACTTATATAGTATGTTTATAACTTAAAAAATCAATATAAGTACCATCTAACTCCATCTAACTCCTCTGATCCCATTTGGCACATGTGCCTAAACAATATACTGCTTAGTTGTCTTGCTCTTCAACTCTGCAGTATTTATAATATGATGTTATTTGTATTTTAGGGGCATGATAGAATATTTATATTTGTAATGTATATGACTTTTCTGTAAGGGCGTAAAATTTCTCTGTAAGGATACGTAAGACTCGTAACATTGGTTTTGTCAAAGAAGGATAGCTGTGTGTTTGGGAAACAGGTGGGGGGAAGATTTTTTGCTGTATAATATTTTACAAAGTCTGAATTTTGACTTGAGAACCTTGTGAATGCATTACCTTCAAAAGATTTGAATGAAAGCATGTTATTTTTAGGCTTTATGGCGCACTTTGCGGAATCCTGCTGATAGCATTTCTCATGTGGCCTATCGTGTACTGGGTAAATTTGGTGGCAGTAATAGGAAGATGTTAAAGGAATCCCAGAAGCTGCACTATGTTGTGACTGAAGTTCAAGGCCCCAGTATTACAGTGGAATTTTCTGATTGTAAAGCATCTCTTCAGCTTCCAATGGAGAAGGTAAATTTGGAAGTCTTCGGGAGCTTCTTAAAGATACTATAAGTTGCATTTTATAAGAAAGTTAACTTGCATTTGAAAATAGGTAAATGTTCTTTTTTGGGAAGGGAATTTCTAGAACAACATAACTTAAATCAATGCCTGCACATAGTACTTGTTTAATTAAAAATAGTTACTGTTATTCTGCTGTAAAGGTATTCAATAATTTGTATAATTTATTGGTGATTTATTGGTTGGCCAGGGGGCTTTGTAATACCACGAAGCCAGTGAGGGGTGTTGCTCCCATGAACTTTTGACTTATGAGCAATTCCATCTTCCCCAATGTACTGTAAGGTGATCCCTTGCTTATCCTGCCTTTGAATGTGGTCTGTTTTGATGCTCAAGAGACTTTACTTCAAGTGTCATTGGGAATTCAAGTTAATTCCATCCTTGTCTGCTGTGCCGTCACTTCCAGATTCCTCATTTTTGCCCATGGTTATTCCAGACGACTACGTCCCTTCGACTCCTTTGCCCACTATGGATAACTCTTTGGTTTTTCTTTGTAAGCCCTCTAATGCTTGTTTTATTGTGTAATCAGTGAACAAACTATGTCTTCAAACTCTTACCAGAGGGTCCCATTTTATTACTTTTGCTTTATCCTTATTGAAAACTTCCCTTTCACCTGTTGACCCCTCCTAGTCCTCTGTCACACATACTGTTTTTTTTTATTATTTAAATTTTATTTTTATATTCCCCATACAATTACAACCCCCTTATTTTGACCCCAAGCCCTCCTTTCCCCGCCCCCCACACCCCATAGAGTGTCTCTGGTTCATAGTTGTTTGTTGATTTTGATATTTTCTTTCTTATAGTTATTCTTTTTCCTGGTCCCTTATTTAAGTTTTCTAGATTCCTGCTATGAGTGAGACCATCTGGTATTTTTCTTTTTCTTTCTGGCTTATTTCGCTGAGCATGATCCCTTCCAGCTCCATCCATGTTGCTGCAAATTGCATGTGCTTATCTTTTTTGAATGCTGAGTAATATTCCATGGTGTATATGTACCACATCTTCTTGATCCAGTCATCTATTTTTGGGCATTTGGGTTGTTTCCAAAGCTTACTGTTGTAAACAGTGCTGCTATAAACATAGGGGTGCAGGTGCTCTTTGGAATTGATGTTTCTGTGTCCTTTGGGTAAATACCTAGAAGTGGAATTGCGGGATCACATGGAAGCTCTAACACATACTGTTTTCTTAATTTTAATCTGTGTTGTCACAATGGCTTTACACCCTTATTTATATAGCCTTTTCCTATCTTGTGATACAGCCTTCATTACCATGTCTTTTCAGAACATTTATCTATCCCTTTGAGTGTGTCTTGAGTAACTGGTCATTTTAGCAAGCCTGAACTCCTTACAGATCTGGCCCTAAACCAGTGATCATATTCTGGAGTGACTCAAAGCCCTCCCTTTGCTCAGGCTAACTCAGATCTGTACTCTTGTATTGCATTAAAGAGTTTGGCACATTTATCTTTTATTTTTTTAAACTAGACTTGATTAATACATTTGGGAGGAAGGATATCATGTGTGAATGTCATTCTGGGATCTGTTGTCATTTCTAAATCCACCTTCCCTTAGTTTGTCAAGCTCTATGCATTACCTTTGCCTCTCTCTGTCCCTAATCATAGAGCAGTGCTGTTTTCTCCAGACCGCAGAGGTGAGATCTTAGCTTTTCCCCCTAACCTTTATCAAAATATTTGCCAAATAAACTCTTTTTATCCTAGTAGGATATTGATAATTTAATTTCTCACTGTCTTACATTGAAAATTACTATAGTGAACATCTTTTATCTGTAGCACATTCCCACATTTTAGGTAATGTCCTTAAGTTAATGATAATTAGTGGCAAGGCTGGTATTAGATAAAAACTAAACAGCAAGAAAATCTCTTTAATAGTAGTTTTTCCCAAAAGCAGCTAAAATATGGTACAAACCAAGTACTAACGTTTGGTTCCCATAGTTTTCCTGACCCTTATAGAACTGTCCAGTGCTCATGGCGCTCCTTCCCCAGCGGCCAACCTCCTAAGAGCTGTGTACAGCCCTGCAGAGCTGAAGGTGCCTACTAGGTGAAGGACGTGATCAGCATGACCAAGCTGAGTGCTAGTGAATCGCCATTTAAGTAATTCTGTTGTGGCATACTTACTAACCCTTTATTCTTGTTGATGCATAATTAGAGCTCATCACTTACTTTGATTTTTAAAAACACATTTCTAAAATTATCCTCACATGATTTACCTATTTCTGGCCAGATCAGAGGCAATAGAAGAAACAACAGTTCTTTGATTCTTTAGAAGAAATCAGACTCCCAAGCTGGGGTCGATGTACTAAGGAGCTGTCATCACGCTCTGTGACTGTGCGTGCATGTGTGCTATGTACCCTCATGCTGGGTATGGAGGGTAGTCCCTCTGGGCCTGTTGCCTCACACTCTTTCCTCACACAGCCTGAATATATCTTTAATTGACTCGTATGTATACAATTATCACTAAGATTAATATCTTAGCTGGTGAATACTTCAGGTTATTTGTGTATGTGATTATGTATCCCCTGACTTCCTAGATAACCTAATTGAAATGAAATGGATACAATGTATGGTATAGCCTTGTAGGTTTTCTGGGGAGAAAAAAAACAATCCTTCATTTTTAAACAGGGAATTTAATACAAGTATAGGAAAGTCACCTTATAGTTTTGATCCTTGACACAAGAAAGTATGTGATCTGGAGAAAATACATATTTCTTTTCATGAAGGCTTGATTTGTGTAGATGGCATAGAATCTAGTTTAATCCAGCAAGTCTACTACAGGAGGCCTTCAGGATCACTTAATTTCTGGAATCTCCCATTGGCTGTTTAAGCACCAAATTAGTAAACTCCATTTTACCTTTTAATTTGAACCATGCAATTTCTTTTTTTTTTTTTTTTTTTTTTTTTATATATAGAGGCATGCTTTATTTATTTGTTTGCTGGTTTCTTTGTTTGTTTTGTTTATACATGCACTGGGTACAGTCAGAAGCGCGGGAGGGCGAGAGAATTCACGAGAGCCAGAGCGGGGAGCTGAGCAGGCAGAAGGACCGAAGTACACTGCTGAGGGGAGCAGCGGGCGGCAGGAGAGGTCTGCGCGCCATGTGGGACCCTCCTCCAGTGGCCGGGGAGCAGCCGGGGATCGAACCGGCGCCGCAGAGGCCGCGCGCAGCTTCGCAACCCAGCGCTCAACCGCTGCGCCACTGGGGAGGCCCTGAACCATGCAATTTCTATTTCAAAAACCTCTGCCTTCTCTGGAGGTTTCATTTGTTGGATACCTGCTAGCTTTAATCGGCCCACAGTGCTGAAAATAAGCATTAAGATTCTTTTAGGTTCTGCATATGTTTTCAATTCAAGCTCTTCCAAATCATGTAATTTCACTATAAACTATAGTTTTTGTGTTTCTTTGTTGTAGGCCATTGAAACTGCTCTGGACTGCCTGAAAAGTGCCAACACTGAGCCCTACTACCGGAGGCAGGCGTGGGAAGTGATCAAGTGCTTCCTGGTGGCAATGATGAGTCTGGAAGACAATAAACACGCTCTTTACCAGCTCCTTGCACACCCCAAGTATGTTGGAGACTTAATTGCCTGCCATTACATGTAACTTATTTCAGGAATTAGGGGTAGAGAGGATCCTCTCAGATTTTAGTGTAATGACCTTCAGGTCAGGAAGATGGCATATTATGTGTCTAGTTAGTCTTCTGTTGCATTTTAGAGAAAGTGGGAGGAAGAACTTGGGTGCTTGAAAGTTAGACTTCAGGCATCTCTTGTGCCAAGACTGTGTCTATGCAGTTGTATCTTTTAGCAAACCTGTCCCTTTCAGAGGCAGCTCTTCTTGCCTGCTTGTATCTGTGTAAGCATCATTTTCTTTACTTTTCCTAATAAACCTGGTCCTTTTAAAATGTTTTAAAAAAAAAAAGACTTTATTTCAGTCACAGTCTATATTTACTGTCTCTTTGTTTGGCTCTAGACTTCAAGAATAAAAGGCAATGATGGCCTTTTCTCCCCCTTTTGCTCCTCTTATAGCCATGGTACCTAGAACATGATAGGCACTTGATGGATCTTTTGCTTTTCTAGACGATACTAATCCTTTCTTTTCCTAAGTATTTGTCATGTAATGTTTGCTTGGTTTGTTTGTTTGGTTTGCTCTTACCACTGAAGGCTATGATCTTTATGCAGTGATCTTTTATAATTATGAGTGTATATCATGTTTCTGTATTATAAGTTCTAAGGAAGGATTTTTCCTCTAAGTTACTGTATTTCACACAGCAACCAAAATAATACTGAGTTAATAGTGAATACTCAGTTGTTAAAAGCACATTGGAGAGAGAGAGTAGTCAGAGATAACCATTGTACAAGGAAATAAGGCAATATGCCCAAGAACCAGTGTAATCATCAGAAAGCAGTATATCTGATAGACTTTAAATATTAGAATCTTAACAATTAGATTTTAACAATGCTTACTATGTTTAAAGTGAAGATAAACTTAAAATTATACCAAGAAATAGAAACTATCCAAGCAGGGCCTCCCCAGTGGCACAGTGGGTTGAGCGCTGTGCTGTGAAGCTGTCTGCAGCCTCTGCAGCACGGGTTCGATTCCTGCCCTGCCAGGGTGAAACCCACATGGTGCGGCAGACCTCTCCTGTCTCACCTGCTGCTCCCCTAACCAGTGTTTTTGATCAGTCTGCCTGTTCTGCTCCTCTGGTGAATCCTCTCACCCTCGCAACGCCTCTGACCTGTACCCCATTCTTGTATAAATAAATAAATCTAAAAAAGAAAAAAAAAAAAGAAACTATCCAAGCAGTTTAAAAAGAGGGAGAGAGACCCTTTAGATAAAAAATAAGTCAAGGGCTTCCCTGGTGGCACAAGGAGTTAAGACACAACCTATGAAGCTATCCACAACCACTGCAGCACGAGTTTGATCCCTGGCACAGCAGACCTCTCCTGACTCGCCCGCTGCTCCCAGAAGTGTATTTCAGTCATTCCTCCTTTCTGTTCCTCACTCTGTCTCTGGTGAATCCTCTCACCCCCCACACCTCTGGCCTCTACCCTAGTACTTGTATGCGTAAATAATCTTAAAAAAAAAATTTTTTTTTTAAAGAAAAGAAATAAGTCAAAAGAAATTTCTAGAATGCATGCAGAGAGAAAAATATGGGAAACTCAAACAACAGTAAGAAATGCAGAATAGGTAAAACCCAGTTTTTATTGTAACACTGGTTTATAACATGGCTTTTTGGCTCTACAAGTTGAATTTCTGGTTTACCTGTACCTTCTTATCCATAGCCTTGGAATCATCATTCTCTCTAAAAGGAGTGAAGACTCTTCAGAAATGATTCAGAGACCAAGATATCTCTGCTAAATTTACTCATTGCTTCCTGTTTGTCATTGTTTCTACAGTTTTAAGAATTTTTGGTTAACAAAAACTTAATGATTTTACCATGGTCAAATTTATATCTTTTTCCTTTTTCTTTCGTGCTTGTTATATGTAATTTGTAAGAAACAGTCTCCTCTATGGCAGTCATGAAGATACTCTCCTGTATTTTTTTTCTTTTTTCTTTTTTCTTTTTCTTTTTCTTTTTTTTTTTCCAAGATTTATTTATTTATTTATTTATACAAGCACTGGGTACAGTCAGAAGCACGGGAGGGTGAGAGAATTCACCAGAGCCAGAGTGGGGAACAGAACAGGCAGACTGACGAAATACACTGCTGAGGGGAGCAGCGGGCACGGCAGGAGAGGTCGGCCGTGCCATGTGGGACCCTTGCCAGCGGCCGGGGATCGAACCGGCGCTGCAGAGGCTGTGGGCAGCCTGGCAGCCCAGCACTCAACTGGTGCGCCACCAGGGGAGGCCCTCCTGTATTTTTTTTCTAGTTGCTGTGTAGTTGTTCACATTTTGACCTCCATTCTTTCACAGACAAAACCAGTGTCTGTGAGGGCCTCCTCACCCCCCCCCCCCCCACCGTGGTGTAGCGGTTGAGCGCTGGGTTGCTAAGCTGCCAGCAGCTTCTGCAGCGCCTGTTCTATCCCCGGCTGCTCCCCGGCCACCGGAGGAGGATCCCACATGGCGCGCAGACCTCTCCTGCCGCCCACTGCTCCCCTCAGCAGTGTGCTTCGGTCCTTCTGCCTGCTCTGCTCCCCGCTCTGGCTCTGGTGAATTCTCTCACCCTCCCGCGCTTCTGACTGTACCCAGTGCTTGTATAAATAAATAAATAAATAAATAAATAAATAAATAAATAAATAAATAAATAAATAAATAAATAAATGTTTAAAAAAAACAACAACAAAAAAAACCCAGTGTCTGTGAGTCGTGTGGATAGGCATCCTCCTTCACTTTCTGCCTTCTCTGTATTCAGGGTCTGTCGTCACTGTTGCCGTAGGTTAAGTACCTTCTAGTGCCAGGTACTGCTCAAGATTGGTGTGTAAGACTAAATCCTTGCCTTCAGGGAACCTATATTTTAGTGAAGGAGCTGGACAACAGGCAAGAGGAACAAATATATATCAATATATTTCAGGTAGCAGCAAATGTTGTTTATCAGGCTAAGGGAATAACATGGGAAAAGGGCATTTTTAAAAAACAGGACAATCAGGAAAGTTCTCTCTGAGTAGGTGACATTAAATAGGGATTAGGATACCTGTTTGAAGGGAGGATATTGTGAAAATATCAAGAGAAAGTTCACATCAATCTCAGGGAATGCCTCTGGTGAGCATAACAAGAGGCCGGTGTCACTGGAGCAGATTGAGAGGGACAGATGGGTAGGGCAGGACTTGAGAGGAAGAGATGAAGACTAGATTTTGCTCTGAGTATCACAGAAGGGATGGAAAGGCTAACTTACTCTGATAGCAGGTTTTCTTGGCTTAAGTCATAGGTGCCATTGCTGTGGTGTCAGGGACATTGGGGAATAGCACTTGAGGGAGATAGTAGAAATCAGGTATCTGTTTTGGGCATTTGACCCCAGTGAAATTTCAAAAAGCATTGTCACCAGCTGGTAAGAGCTGAAAATACTGAGGTGTTTACTCAGTTTGCATTGATTAAAGATGTTGCATGTGGAAACAAAGGACATCCAGGCATGTGGAAATGAAGGACATCCATGTAGTTGGAAGCACAACCAGAGTTAGGGGGCAAAAATTAGAATGAAGCAGGTTTCTGGTCATAGAAAGAAATTTCTATTATCTGGAGCTATTAAAGATTGGAAGAAGCTAATAATTTTTAAAATACTATTGACTGTTTCTTATCCTTGTGTTTGTTATTTCCTTGACACTGCCTTCTTAGGTTTTATTTAATCTCATGTGATTAGCAGTAAATGCCTTTTCAGTTAGATTGACAAGCCTCTTTGATTCTGTACCAGTGCTGTGATTTTTTCAGCATATGTAGCTGGTGTATAGAACTTTTAAGATAGAGCTTTTTTCATCTCTTTGATCTTTGAGTTACTTCTCTTACTTATTTAATTATATTGATTTAACTATATAAGATCAAAATTAAACATCAACTTTGTTAAAATAGAAAATAATTGTGAAAATGTGGAATGTGCTACTATTTTGTAAATACCTTCAATGCACTTGAGCCTATCTGAGCAAGAAGAAAATGGACAAGCTGAAAAATAAGTTATAAGAGAATCATCAGTTCATGGGTTTGGTGTCCTTAGGATGAATTTAACTTTGTCTTTCAGCTTTACAGAAAAGACTATACCTAATGTCATCATATCACATCGCTACAAAGCCCAAGACACCCCAGCCCGGAAGACGTTTGAGCAGGCTCTGACTGGGGCTTTCATGTCTGCTGTCATTAAAGACCTCCGGCCCAGTGCCCTGCCCTTTGTGGCCAGCTTGATTCGCCACTACACCATGGTGGCAGTTGCCCAACAGTGTGGTGAGTGCAAGTGCCATGGAGGGCAAGTGAATATTACTGGATTTATTTAGGGCATTTCAAATACTTGGTTGTAGTATCTCAGAGAGACTGAATATGGATGATTTGTTTTAGGCTTTCATTTTCTAATTTTCTAATGTAATTTATTGCGTTAGTAAAGATAATTGCTGTTTCAGTGATGGATGATGTATTAACATGAAAACTTCACCACTTTTAATCTATTAAAAAAACACTCAATTTAATATTTTAACCTATTCTTTTTTTTTTTTTTAAAGAGGCACGTATTTTATTTATTTATTTGTTTGTTTATACATGCACTGGGTACAGTCAGAAGCGTGGGAGGGTGAGAGAATTCACCAGAGCCAGAGCGGGGAGCAGAACAGGCAGAAGGACCGAAGTACACTGCTGAGGGGAGCAGCGGGCGGCAGGAGAGGTCTGCGCGCCATGTGGGACCCTCCTCTGGTGGGCGGGGAGCAGCCAGGGATCGAACCGGCGCTGCAGAGGCCGCAGGGAGCTTCGCAACCCAGCGCTCAACCATTGCGCCACCGGGGAGGCCCTATTTTAACCTATTCTGAGGGGGACTAAGTGCCTTTGAACACTGTGTGTATAAACAGAGGAACAATTTATGTTTACCTCACCACTGATCTTCCCTTTTGGAGTGTTGTTTTCAAAGCCCCATCCTCCTCTCTCCACTGCAGCTAGCTCCTGGTGGTGTGCTCTGGGTCTCTGCCTGGAGTGGCTCTTGCCTTTGCTGAAGTTCTCAGGCTTTGGGTAGTAAGGGACCAATTTTGTTTGTCTCCTTTTTTTGTATTTCTAATCCATTACAGACTGAGGCTTTTGTAAAAGACAAAAATGCCATGGTACTGGCAATTGCTATATGCAAGTTTCTGAACATTACTCAATTTTTTCAACTCTTCCCAGACTATTAGCAGTTAGTTTGCAGACCAGACAGGTGTTGTCAGTAGACCACACTTGAGTAGCACTGCTCCAGTTTGTGTTCTCAAAGTTTCTCACCCTAAGATCTTCAGCAGCCTTCTCTGAAATTGCAGAACACATAGAACTTACCAGTTTTTTTACTCTTTTTGGCATGACCAGTCAGTACTATACAGTTTTAGGCTTAGATTGTTTCTCAGTCTTTCGTCTTTTAACATCTTTCCAGCACATCTGTAAGCTTCTTGATGGCTTCCGTCTCACCCAGTGCTGGGTGCTTGCAAGGCAATAATTAATAGTTGCTGGCAGACTACGCTCCACCTGGATGTGCTGGATGCTATTGCTCCTGACTGTTGTTTGTATGTCAGGAATTTCCAGAACATAATCCATGGTCCTTCCCATGGATTGTTATTTCCTGTCCCCCGTAGCTCATCTAATGCTTTTCTTTTAAAGACAATATCTTACTGGTTTTCATTTTAAACTAATATATTTTTGAGTTCTGATTAAGAAAACCTGAAAGAGTGTATAACACAAACTGTTCAGAAAAATAGCCTTAGTTTACAAATAGTCACAGTTGAACAGAAGTTGGTCTAAATTAACAGGGTTTCCTCCATTTGAATTTCATACTGTTTTTATCATTTTTTATATTTTATAATTAAGAACCATTATTTTACATCCTTGTTTATGTTTTCATAACACAGGATTTCTCCCCACGGCTGCGGTAACCTTAGTTCTCCCACCACCAAAACCCATAATCTTCCACCATGGTCCATTGTATTCTCCCTCAATCTGCTGTGTTCTCTCCCTCCTCTCCTGGATGCTGTGGTCAGCTTTCTAGGGTTGTTTTTTTGTTTTTGTTTTTAAGATTTATGTATTTATTTATACAAGCACTGGTACAGTCAGAAGCGCGGGAGGGTGAGAGGATTCACCAGAGCCAGAGTGGGGAACAGAAAAGGCAGACTGACGAAATACACTGCTGAGGGAAGCAGCGGACAAGACAGGAGAGGTCTGCGTGCCATGTGGGACCCTTGCCTGGGGCCGGGGATCAAACCGGTGCTGCAGAGGCTGCAGGCAGCTTTGCAGCCCAGCGCTCAACCGCTGCGCCACCAGGGGAGGCCCTCTAGGGTTGGTTTTTAAATTTGTCTTTGATTCTTTATTTCTTTATATTCCACATGTAAGTAAAACCGTTCTATTTCTATTTCTCCTTGTAGCTTATTTCGCTTAGAATAATCCCTTCCAATTCCATCCTTGTTGCCACAAATGGCATGAGATTATCTTTTGATTGTTGAGTAGTATTCTATTGAGTTTCTAAACTCAAAGTAAAAAATGAGATAGTGTTACAATTTGTGGAACAAGAGTGTTTGTGTAAATAAAAGTCCCCCCCCCCTTTTTTTAATATATATTTTTACATCATTTTTCATCTTTGCACAGTGTATGCATCTTCATCCTGGCTATATTCCCCATACAATTCCTACCCCACCCCCCTTATTTTGACCCCAAATCCTCCCTCCTCCCTCCCCACCCTGCCGTAGTGTGTCTCTGGTCCATAGTTGCTTGTTGATTTTGATTTTTACTTTATTATAATTAGTCTTTTTCCTGGTCCCTTATTTAGGTTTTCTAAATTCCTGCTATGAGTGAGACCATCCGGTATTTTTCTTTTTCTTTCTGGCTTATTTTGCTGAGCATGATTCCTTCCAGCTCCATCCATGTTGCTGCAAATTGCATGAGTTTAATTTTTTTGATTGCTGAGTAATATTCCATTGTGTATATGTACCACATCTTCTTGATCCAGTCATCTATTTTTGGGCATTTGGGTTGTTTCCATAGCTTAGCTGTTGTAAATAGTGCTGCTATAAACATAGGGGTGCAGGTGCCTTTTTGAATTAATGATTCTGTGTCCTCTGGGTAAATACCTAGGAGTGGAATTGCTGGATCATATGGAAGCTCCATCTTGAGCAGGTTGAGGAATCTCCACACAGTTTTCCATAGTGGTTGGACCAGTTTGCACTCCCACCAGCAGTGCGGAAGAGTTCCTTTTTCTCCACATCCTCGCCAACATTTGTTGTAGCTGGTTTTTTTAATATGTGCCTTTCTCACTGGTGTAAGATGGTGTCTCATTGTAGTTTTGATTTGCATTTCCTTGATTACAAGTTATGCTGAGCATTTTCTCATATGCCTGTTGGCCATTTGCATTTCCTCTTTGGAGAAGTTCCTTTTTAGCTCTTCTGCCCGTTTTTTGACTGGATTATTTACTTTGTTTTTTTGTGTCTCATCAGCTCTTTGTAGGTTTTGGTGATCAGTCCTTATCATTAGTGTTGTGTGCAAAAATTTTCTCCCAGTTGGTGGGTGTCTCTGTTTTGGTTACTGTCTCTTTTGCTGTACAGAAGCTCTTTAATTTGATATAGTTCCAGCTGTTTATCTTTGCCTTCGTTATGGGTGATGAGTCTTTAAAGATGTTGCTGAGGTGTATGTCATGCAGTGTTTCGCTTGTATTTCCTTCTATATATTTTATAGTTTCAGGTCTTATGTCTGGTTCTTTAATCCATTTTGAGTTGGTTTTGTGCATGGTTTGAGATAGTAGTCAAGCTTCATTTTTTGCATGTAACAACCCAGTTTTCCCAGCTCCATTTACTAAACAAACTTTCTTTGCTCCCTTGCATATTCTTTGCTCCTTTGTCAAAGATTAGTTGACCATAATTCTGTGGGTTTATTTCTGGATTTTCTTTTCGGTTCCATTGTTCTGTGTGTCTGTTCTTGTTCCAATACTATGCGGTTTTGATTATTATGGCTTTGTAGTATAGTTTGAAATCTGGACGTGTGATGCCTCCAGTCCCTTCTTTTTTATTTTTTCAGGAGAGCTTTGGCTATTCTGGGTTTTTGGTGATTCCATATGAATTCCATCAATATTTGTTCTATTTCTTTGAAGAATGTCATTGAAATTTTTATTGGAATAGCATTGAATCTGTAAATTGCTTTTGGTAGGATGGCCATTTTGATAATGTTAATTCTACCAATCTGTGAGCAGGGGATGTCTTTCCATTTCTTTGTGTCGTCTTCTATTTCTTTTAATGGTTTTTTTTTTTTTTTTTAAAGAGCCTTTTTTTAAAAAGATTTATTTATTTATACAAGCACTGGGTACAGTCAGAAGTGTGGGAGGGTGAGAGAATTCACCAGAGTGGGAGCAGAGCAGGCAGAAGGACCGAAGTACACTGCTGAGGGGAGCAGCGGGCGGCAGGAGAGGTCTGCGCGCCATGTGGTATCCTCCTCCGGTGGCCAGGGAGCAGCTGGGGATTGAACCGGCACTGCAGAAGCTGCTGGCAGCTTCGCAACCCAGTGCTCAACCGCTGCACCACCGGGGAGGCCCTTTTAATGGTGTTTTATAGTTTTCTTTGTATACGTCCTTTACCTTTTGTGTTAGGTTTATTCCCAAGTATTTGATTTTTTTTTGTTGTTTCATAATAAAAGGATGGTTTTCTTGATTTCTTCTTCATCAGATTTATTGGTTGTGTATAGGAAGGCTATGTAAATAAATTTTTAATTTTTCACATGCCTCTGCCTCTCCTTCCAGGTCCTTTCTTGCTGCCCTGCTATCAGGTGGGCAGCCAGCCCAGCACAGCCATGTTTCACAGTGAAGAAAATGGGTCGAAAGGAATGGATCCTTTGGTTCTTATTGATGCAATAGCTATTTGTATGGCATATGAAGAAAAGGAACTTTGTAAGATTGGGAGGTGGCCCTAGCTGTGATATTTGATGTTGCCAGTATCATTCTGGGCTCAAGGAGAGGGTAAGGATTGAGGAGGGTACCAGAGGGTAGTTGTTTTAGAAACTAGGAGTTTGAGAATAGCATTAACACATTATAGTTTGTGCTGGTTTTTCTCTCCAGGCATGCCAACTCCCTCTGTTTTCTTACATTGTGGAACGCTTGTGTGCCTGTTGTTATGAACAGCCTGGTATGCAAAGCTGGGTGGTGTGGTGTCCATTAAGTTCCTCATGGAGCGACTGCCTCTCACTTGGGTTCTCCAGAACCAGCAGACATTCCTCAAAGCACTTCTTTTTGTCATGATGGACTTAACAGGAGAGGTAGGTAATGGGTGGCCCAAACCTAACCATGCTCTTTCAGGTGTTGTGATGAGACAGTTTTGCACATACGTTCTCCTTGAAGCTTAGTAGCTTACATACTCAAATTTCATTACAATATCTTTAATGAAAGGACTCTTAGAGCCCTATGGGCTTTCTCCAGTTATCTGAACACCTGTCTACCTTGATAAAGAACAGCCATAGGCCAGAGTTTTCAACCCGTGCATCTGTAGAGGAGAGCACTCTCCTCATTCTTGCCAGAGGGGTATATACTTCATGTGCTACAGAAGTTTTTATAGAAGTTAGATTCTTTAAGAACCTGTAACTCAGGGCCTCCCCGGTGGCACAGCAGGTTGAGCACAGCGCTGTGAAGCTGTCCACAGCCTCTACAGCGCAGATTCAATTCCCAGCTGGCCAGGGAGATACCCACATGGCATGGCAGACCTCTCCTGTCTCGCCCACTGCTCCCCTCAGCAGTATTTTTGGTCATTCTGCTCCCTGCTCTGTCTGTTGAATCCTCTCACTTCCATACTTGTGGCCTGTACCCCTGCTCTTGTGTAAAAAAATTAATCTTTTTTTTTTAAACAAGTTTTTTTTTTTTTTTTTTTTAAGATTTATTTATTTATACAAGAACCAGGGTACAGGCTAGATGCACGGGAGGATGAGAGGATTCACCAGAGACAGAGCGGGGAACAGAACAGGCAGACTGAGGAAATACACTGCTGAGGGGAACACAGCGGGTAAGATAGGAGAGGTCTGCCGCACCATGTGGGACCCTTGCTGGCCGGCTGGGATCAAACCAGTGCTGCAGAAGCTGCGCTCAACCACTTGGGCCACCAGGGGAGGCCCTAAATAAACCTTAAAAAAAAAGAACCTGTAACTCAGAGAGATAGCTGGCAATGCTCACCGTATTCTGTTTGATAAATATAAAGCTTACCTCTAAATTCACATTTCTTTTTCTGTATGACAAAAATTACCAATAAAAGGGTGATTAAGCTATTGAAATATACACAAAGTGGATGTTATGTTATGAGGGTTTTGTTAAATGAGCTGGAATGAGGAGCACAGACCCTTGGGACAGGCAGCATTTTGTGGTGTGTATGTAGCCATGGGTGCCACTGGCAGCATCACCTGTCTCTGACTTTAGGAGTCTCTGGCCTGCAGGTCTCCAATGGGGCAGTCGCCATGGCAAAGACCACCCTGGAGCAGTTGTTGATGAGGTGTGCGACACCTTTAAAAGATGAGGAGAGAGTCGATGAAATCGTGGCCGCTCAGGAGAAGTCTTTTCACCATGTGACACATGACTTGGTTCGAGAAGTCACCTCTCCAAACTCTACTGTGAGAAAACAGGCTATGCATTCCCTGCAGGTATTGGCCAGGTCACTGGAAAAAGTGTGACAGTGATTATGGAACCCCATAAAGAGGTGAGATTTCTTTTACTAAAAGCAGGATAATTTGAACAAAATGTTTGAGACTTTTCCTTCAAATATGACTTATAGATGATATGTAGCTTGTAACTTGTATCCCTTACATAAAGTACTACTATACATACTCTTTGACCTCTAATATATAAATAACATTGTGCTTATATTAATGGCTACATTAGTAACTGTCAGTTCATTGTTAAGGTAATAGAAAGTTGGTTTCCTGGGTCTGTAGCCCAGTCTGGTGGTTTTGGTCTTGTTACTTGTTATTGAAGAGTGGTTACTCTGGAACTAATCTGACATATACAACCCCGTTTTAGCGTATGAAGCATATTTTCCTTTTCCTAGCGGAAGGACAGCAGTCATAATTTTTCATCTCATTTCTGGCTTTCAGAGTGGTAATTGTTCCAGAATATTATGACGGGTATTTGCTTTTCAAGGAGTAGCTGGTTAGTGGTGTGTCCTCCTTTCTTCTCAGGTCCTCCAGGATATGGTCCCACCTAAGAAGCATCTGCTGAGACACCAGCCTGCCAATGCACAGATTGGCCTCATGGAGGGGAACACATTCTGTACCACATTGCAGCCCAGACTTTTCACAATGGATCTTAACGTGGTGGAGCATAAGGTGTTCTACACAGAGGTAGGGGGGTGGTGGTGTGATGTGGTGTAGTATGGATGGTGGTGACGTGTGTCTGGTAATATGTCATTGTGAGCAAAGACTGGGTAGGCAGCCTTCAGAGAAAGCATGGGCAGTGACAAGCCACAGCCTGGCATTGCATTCTGTGTACGTATGTCACATTGGGATTGGTGTGAAGGTAGGCACGGGGACGGGAGATGTTCAACCAAAAGTGGGTGTTTCTGTGTTCTTGGAACTATTACGCTTCTACAGAACCTTGTTCTTCATGACCTTAAAGTTGTAAGGCTACATCATCTACGTCAATCATTCTTCATTAGCTGGTGTCCAGATTAAGACTGGCCCAGTAAACAAGTACCAGTTTATTGAATATACTGACCACTTAAATGTTCCATGCACTGCTGAGAACTAGCCCCATGTGAACGCCCTTTTGTAGCTCTGACAGCACCTCATGAAATACAGACACTGATTATTCTCATTTTGAAGATTCAGTAACGGAAACTTAGGGTTTATTATGCACGTACAGCCGTGGAGCAAATGAGCTGTACAGCTTAGGTTGGACCTACACTGTTATTTCCAAGCCTGAATCTTTTTTCTTTTTTTTTTAAAGATTTATTTTTTTATTTATACAAGAACCCGGGTACAGGCCAGAAGAGCGGGAGGGTGAGAGGATTCACCAGAGACAGGCAGGGAACAGAACACCGAGCCTGAATCTTAACCCCCACATTGTCATGCCTGATTCTCCTTTTGTTTAATTTTATCAGATTTGCCCTTTGACCCACAATAATAAGCAGTGGTGGATATCATCTTTTAAGGGTTTGTCACTAAGCTACTCAACAGTGTGGATGCTATTCGACAGCAGTGAACAGAAATTTTACTGTAGATACAGCCACATTATGAGTAGTCACTCTTAGCATGCAGTAATAGTCTGGTGATCAGTACCAAGTAAAGATTTTTATGAGGCATGAGTTATACTTCTAGAGACATTGTCAGAATAAACTGAGGCAAAAGTCAAAGGAAAGCAAATTCTTCCTGATCCACACTAAGTCTGAATTTCTGGTTATGAAAAATTTACCTCTTGATTTTTTTGAATGCTATCTTTTGCTTATATAGACGGTCACTTGATCATGTGATTTAGCTTTACTCTTTATATGTTGTTATATCCCTTGTATAAATGTTACTTTGACAAAGGTCCAGGGAAGCCCCTGGAGAATGGGAGGACAGCACTTCCTTTGATGGCTCTAGAGACAGATGTGTTTTAATCTGTGTAGAAAATTCTTCAGTGAGCTTAAGACCACAACCTGTTGAGTGACAAATCCCAGGGAATGAAATGGAAAGTTCTGCAGGTGTTGATCTGTGCTAACTGCATCAAAATTAAAGATCTTTTGAAATATACTTTTGAGTCTCCCCCAAAGATTCAGATTTAGTAGACTTGGGGTTTGACCTGTGAATCTGCCATTTGAAAGCTTCCCAGGTGATTATGATGCACAGCCGTGTTTGGAACTCTGGCATTGTAGTTATGTAGTTATCTGACACTAACTTTCTCTCTACATATAAATGGATTTAGGTATTTATATATGTGTATATGTAACTGTTTGTATGTAAGAAGAATATTTTCGAAGGTTGACAAGTAACTAACATTGGTGATTTTCTCCTGGGAGTAGAATGGGGTAGGTGGTTTGGTTTTCTATTTTTAAATCTTTTACTGGGTAAGAATCTTCTCCCCCTTCCCCCCCAAGTAGGGAGGAAAATGGTTTAAGTCTGTAGCATTTTTTCAGGATGTAAATAGAAGGGGGGAAAGTAGTAATAGAACACCATTTGTGTGCTATTTTAGAGGTTAGATATATAAATACATACTGGCATGGTAAAGTATCTGGCAGGGTAGTCCATGACTTTTTCTTTTTCTGTATTTAAACAGAAAATATTTAAAATATTTTTAAATATTAAAAAGCACTGGAAGTAACTATGAACAAGCAGGAGGTGTATTGATACCTGCTGTTACAGGATTTGCAGTTAGATAAAGCGATCCTCTGTTTAAAGAGAAGAAAATGTTATGGTATCAGCGAGAAAGTGTCTTAAGAATTTATTTCACTAATGAGGCTGAGTTTTGCTTTGGAATAAATTTAATCATATTTTGATGTTTTGTAGACTATCAGTGTCAGTTCATTGTGTTGCTGTGTGTGTGTGTGTGTGTTAAGGTTCTATGTTCTGCTTCTTACAAGGTTATTGTGTCTTCACAGTAAGAACAGGCTAATTTAAATTATTCTGTCTTTTGCAGCTGTTGAATTTGTGTGAGGCTGAAGATTCAGCTTTAACTAAGCTGCCCTGTTATAAAAGCTTGCCGTCACTTGTCCCTTTACGAATTGCAGCATTAAGTAAGTTTATAAATGTGGAATAAGTAACTGGGTACGAAAGTGAAAGGAGACCATAACCCTATTTTGTCATCTTAATTTTTCTGGCTTTTTGTGGTCATTTTAAGATGGAATCAAGAAATTATGTTTGTATGTTTATAAAATTACATAATGAGATGTCAGTGGATTGTACAGATTGCTGGGGTTTAAGTGATTTTGTATTCTCTTCTAAATTATGGATTTTAATATATAGTAAACTGTGGTTCTCTTACGAATCTAATAATTCTGTTTTAAGAAAGCTACCATACCATTCATATATTGCCACTTTGCATCAGAATCAGAATATATGTAGTAAGGTGTACTACAGCCTTCATAGACTTGATATGATTCAGAAGCACTTGAGAATCCTCTATCTAGAATTTCATTAGAACTGTTAGTTTATCATTGTTTAGTGCAAAGTTGAAGAAAATATATTAGGTCAGTACTTGCTCTTGTACTTTAAAAAGTCATTCTTTATCTTTTTCTCTTTGTTAAAAAAATAACTATCAGGGGTATTTTTAGCAAGAGACATAGTCTCTTGCTTTGTTGACTTTATACACTTAATAAAATAGCCAGGATCCTTGAAGTAGAGGTAGAGGAGCTGAGATGCAGAGCTTTAGGATGGGCTGGAAGGGTCAAGACATGCCAAGGCAGAGAGAGAGAGGTACAAAAAAGGCAGTTTGACAACCTTTTACTTCTCCGTTGAGGTTCCTTTCTTTGGGATACCTCTCCTGAATCCCCATTAGTGAGATCGGCATTATTTTTACTAGGATATGACCTTGTAATTGACATGCACAATCAAAGATGTGTCCCCTTTTTTACTAATATTTGCATTTTCAACGCCTTTAATCACTATAATTGGGAGAGATGCGTAATAAGATATGGATAGTGGAGAAAAGCTGAGTTGTGTGTCTGTTCCCTTTCATCAACCTGTCACAAGAATTTTAGGCTGTGACCTCTCTTAGTTCAGCATGCCTCTGCCTGTAGTCAACTATGCGCTCACCCTGTGAGGATTTGGGGGTGGGGAAGAGTGTCAAAGGGGCCTCTTCTCCTTTAAACTCTTCTGTCTGGATAGTGTAAGATTTATCATGGCCTATCTTGCAGTCTTTGACTTCAGTCTTGGATTATAATGAACATGGGATTAGAAGGCCATGTTTTTGGCCTTTTTGTTGATTGGTATGAGTCTTTATTTTTATTTATTTATTTTTAAAGGTTAATAGCTTTTTTTTTTTAAAGGTTTATTTATACATACAAGAACTGGGGTACAGGCCAGAGTTTTGGGGGGTGAGAGGATTCACCAGAGACAGAGTGGGGAACAGAACAGGCAGATCGACTGAAATACGCTGCGAGGGGAGCAGCAGGCGAAGTCTGCTGCACCATGTGGGTTACCTCCCCGGCCGGGGATCAAACTTGTGCTGCAGTGGCTGCAGTGAGTTTCATAGGTTGTGTCTCAACCCCTTGCGCCACCAGGGAAGCCCCAGAGTCTTTAAACAAAGAAATTGTTGATACATTTTTTTCAGATCAATAATTGTGTTAATTTCTTTCCCTAAAGATGCACTTGCTGCCTGCAATTACCTTCCTCAGTCTAGAGAGAAGATCATTGCTGCGTTGTTCAAGGCCCTTAATTCCACGAATAGTGAACTCCAGGAGGCTGGAGAAGCCTGTATGAGAAAGGTTTGTGTGGTGTGTGTATATGTGGATGTGTGTGTGTGCATGTGTGTATATATATATGCACACGTGTGTGTGTGTGTGTGTGCGTGCACTGTGTACATGCATAAATTCTACACCAAGTCCCTCCTTGTGCCTTGTGTGTATACCTTGAAGTCTCCCTGTGGTTAAAATGCACTGGACTGTAGTAATACCTGTTTCAGTCACATTGAGCCTTTTAAAATATTAAGCAGAGATAACTAATCATCTTCATTTCATCGTAAATTTCTGGAATATATGGTTAATATTTCATTTTTCTAAAAAAAGTCAATTTTGCTTTGCTGCTAGTCAATTGTGAGTTTACATCCTGTTATAAAGTATATTTTTATTATCTATTTTCCTTTGTAACCTTTCCTTTTTAATAGTTTTTAGAAGGTGCTACCATAGAAGTAGATCAAATCCACACACATATGCGACCTTTGTTGATGATGCTGGGGGATTATCGGAGCTTGACGCTGAACGTTGTAAACCGTCTGACTTCAGTCACCAGGCTCTTCCCAAATTCCTTCAATGATAAATTTTGTGACCAGATGATGGTAAGCTAAGTGCATTTAACATTTAAACATAATCTATAACGAACCTAAAAACTTAATATAAATTATTTAAGTAAGTTGTACATTTACATGGTTCAAGATGCAAAAGGTGTACAAGGTATACTGTGAAGGCTCCCTCCCATCTCATTCCTCCAGCTACTGAGTTCATCTTTTTAGAGATAGTGCTCATAGCTTTCTGTGTGTCCTTTTGGAGATGGTTTACATTACCTGGACATAAGGAAGCATAAGACACACATGTTTCTCCATTTAACATCCCATCATTTCTTAACCATATGAAAGGTGCTGCTTTTTGTAATGTGGACATGGCATAATTTAACCATTCCCCTACTGATGAAATCAATTTGTTCCCCCTATTCCCATTGTAGATAGTAATGCAGTGAAAAACTTATAAGAACTTTAGAATACCTTTGGGTTTTCAGAATTATACCAAAGAAGCAATTATACAAATTAGAGATCCATTTGACAATGTTTAACATTAAAGTATAAGCAGGTGAAGGAAAATTTCAACTGCTAAGTTTGTTTTGCAGTCTGTAAATAGAGACTTGTAAATAATTTGCAAACTTAGGACTTCATGGTATATTACTGTGAACGTATATGTATATTATGAGTTTGTTTTCAAAGTAGCCTTTGGCCATTTAGACAATTATCAATGAAAAAATGAAAAATGACCAATATACCTACTGGGAATTGATAATAATATGATTGATCTTAAAATTGTAAGTGATGGGCCTCCCTGGTGGCGCAAGGGGTTAAACACTGCACTGTGCAGCAATCTGCAGCCTCTGCAGCACCAGTTCGATCCCTGGCCTGCCAGGGAGCAACCTACATGGCACAGCAGACCTCTCAGTCTTGCCCGCTGCTCCCCTCAGCAGAGTATTTCTGTCAGTCTGCCTGTTCTGTTCCCCACTCTGTCTCTGGTGAGTCCTCTCACCCCCTGTATCGCTGGCCTGTACCCCAGCTCTTGTATGCATAAATAAATAAATCTTTAAAAAAAATTGTGATACCTTAAAGATAGAATGTAATTGGGAAATAGTTTCATATGGAATTGAATTTCCCCAATTGGAAGATTACTTCATTTTACGGTTCTAGTATATATAGCATATACACGTACCTACCAATTTACATGTGTATAGACATTCACAAGTATAGTTAAAATAAATGAAATTATATCACTTCTTAGTTGGAGCACTTGAAATGTACACTCTGACGTCATATACACAATCATATTATAACTATAGCTTTCATGTATGAAATCCATGCATGTGTTCTCAATGTCCTGATGTTTTTTCTTTTCATTACTTTTTTTTTTTTTAAGATTAGCCTGTCTCTTTCCTTTCACCTGTTATTTCTTACTGCACTTGCATTCCTGCCTGAAACAACTTTGGTGTTTGTTTTTGGGTGTGTGTGTGAGGTGTGTGTGCGTGGGGGTGTGTGCGTGGGGGTGGGTGTGTTTTATAACTTCCAGTCTCTGACTTGGGAAATTTTTTACAACCTTACAAAAAAAACTGCTTTGTAGTCTATAGTTAATGAGTAGGCTAAGAGTTGTCTTCCCTTTCTGGTTTATTTAGGGGATTTTTTTTTTTCCTTCTCTTGCATTATAGCTACTTTCTGAGTGGTGGAATATCCTCTAAAATCAGTGTTGATGGCTGAAGCTGCTGTTTGTGCAGCCACTAAAACCTGACACCCATCTGACTGAGCCTACCCCAGACCTGTATCATTGGTGCTTTTGTGTTGAGTGTATGGGATTTCCTGACTTATTCTGTGCCTGGTACTGTGATTAAGGGCACGTTGCTCTGAGTTAGTCATGCTCTTTAGAACTGTGCTCCACCACTGGGACCTTTGTTTTCCCTCATAAAATAGACTTTTGAGTTTAATAGCTCAAGTGTTCAGCATTATTTTAAAGGAAAACTACCATATATAGTGGACTTATGTTAATAACCCTGAACATTTTTCTTTTTTAGAATTGTAACAGCTTGCAATTTGGTCTTTAAGTCTCTTATATGTCAGTTGTTTTGGATATAGCCTTATTGAACTAAAATGAATTAGCATTAATTTTCCCTTTGGGAGATTTAAGAGCAGAATAAAGTGATGCCACTGACTTTTCTGCACTTGTAATTGTGTTCCTTTCATATCTTTAAATATGTAGTAAGATTAGGTTTCACGAATTTATGTTGTGATGACTAATATTCTTCAAGGAATTTATTGGTAAGACATTATTAGCTAGTACGTGGCTTCTTTGAAGAAATGTGTATTGTTTTCATGTTTTTCAATGTGTATTCCTTGGAACATTGAGTTTGCAAGATACGGGTGCTCCTTGAACACTTCATTTGCAAAACACAACTTACTGTATTTCCCTCTTGAAAGTTTATTAATAAACTCTGTCAGGACTTAAAGGGACAGAGAAGACCTCTTTCAATCATCAATTCCCAAGACTGTTTAACCATGGAGCAACCTCTTATTGAACATCTACAGTGCAAATTACAGAGTAGAGAAAATCCTGACATGGCAATAGACAGGTTTCAGGACATTTTCTGTTTCACCGGGGTAAATCCAACCATTCTGTTTACAGAACATAAAATGCCAGTTACCTTCATCAATAGTTTGGTAGTTGGACTAGAATAATAGAAATCACCACCATTCTCACATTAAATATGAATAGAATTAATGATGCATATGAGTTTTTACCTAAAAGTAGCATTTTGAATTGAAATGTTTCTTAATGTGAGGAAGAAATGTCTAAGGGTGTATTTTTTCCCAACAGCAACATCTGCGAAAGTGGATGGAAGTGGTGGTCCTCACCCATAAAGGGGGCCAGAGGAGCGACGGAAACGTGAGTGGCTTGTTTGTTTCTGGAAGGGCAAGCCTGCTGTGTACTGCTGTTACCGCTATTAATATTGGAGCAGTGCTTTTAATTAAAATACCGGTCAGAAATTTAGTTTTATATGACTAATTCATGTATATTGTTTCACATCTTATTAGCATTACATTTTGTTTTTATTTGTCTTAATTGCTGAATGTTTCTTTTTATGTTTCTTTAAAATCCCCCTTTTGTTCACTTATATATGATGTTTTTGTTGATGAGAATTCTGGGTGGCTTGAAATATTAGTATTTCAATTTTACTAGGTTTGCTTTAAAGTGTATTTTCTAGACTGTACTTGGCAGCTGCTGCTTGCATGGTGGTGCATTCCTCAGCTGTTGTTTCCATTGCTTTACATCATCATTGCCTCATAAAACAAATATAGATTTTAGGGCATAATAAAGCATTAAGGAGAATGTAATAAAGCATCCCATAAATATTGGCAAGTATGTTTTCTAGACCTCAATTACCCTACCCTAACTATTTGCCAAAAGTCAAATGACCAGTACTACAAAACACATTTTTATGACTTTGAGGGAAAACCGCTTTCGTTAAATTTTAAGTGTCTGGTGTTGGTCATTAGAATTTCTCTTAAAATTGAATGATTCTTCCATTTAAACTTTAATATTATTGGTATATGTTAATATCCTTTTAAAGTATTTTGTAAGTTGATGATTGTCCTATAAGTGGGATTGTGTTTCCATAATTTCCAATTACACCTGGTGAAATTGTATAGCAGCATCCTGAGAAGGGAATTCCTGTAGCTCTTCAGGGGCATAATTAATGTAGCCTTTGTCCTCCTGTGCCTATTTGTTGGATGCTGTTTCTTTTTTCTTTTTGGCTTTATTTTGACCATTCTGTGTTGAGGTGTTTTTGTTTATGTAAGTCTTGTTTACTGCTGCTTCTAAACAACCAACTAAACAGCAAAACTAAACCAAGATTTTAAACTTTTTTAGGAGTGTTATGCCATCCGTGACCTCTTGGAAGGTTTGTCATTTATATATGCAGGGCAAAAGTCAGAAAATCTTGGTGGGGAGAGCAGAGTGTATTTTAAAAGCCCCAGCAAGTACCCATCTCACATCTGTTAGGTATTTCTGCTTTATACTTTCTATTTGTTTTTTATAATAAGTAGTTAATCCTCTGAAACACATAGTTCTAGAATAAATATTTAAAAAGCTAGTGGGTAGATGAATAATTTCAGTTGTGTCAAAAATATTCATGAACTTTTTTACAGAAATCTGTTACTTGGAGGGTAGTTGGAGGTGGGGCAGTTGGAGCCTTGATACTGGGAATTACTTGAGCTCGTGCTGAAACATGTTGATCACAGCAATAGTGTATTCCCTGGGTGTGTCCTACTGTGTGCGTGAGGCTGTATATCTGAGATCAGGCCACAGTGTGGGGCTCAAAGGCATTGTGGCTACAGCCTCATCACCTCAGCCCAGGGCCAAGCTGCCTTTCTGTTCTTAAGCTGTGATCATTTTTATGAAGTTACATAGGGTTGGTAATGGGTCTTTGAAAGTTAGTTTGTTACTATTTGGTAGAATCCCTAAGTAACATAGTCTGATTGAGAAACTGTAACTGAAAACATGCTTAAGAGTTGACTAAACAATAAATTAAAAGCCTTTTTTTAACATCAGGTACCTCGATGAACAGAGCTTTGCACTGTCATTTTTAGGAAGGTTTGTCTTTTACGTATCAAACTTACAGGCAAGAACTCAGGACCAACTTTTATGACATGTCTGTACACATGCACATATGTACACACACAGAGCTTCACAAGATAACCCAGGTATCTGGAGTGTGGTATCATGGCCTGTGGGTTGCTCTGTGTGGGGGTCTCAGACATGCTTAATTGATGGGGCTTATACCTCCTGTTACTATTTCGACTTTAACTGCAAAGATTTTTCTTAAATGTCTTAGCACTACATAAAATCTAAAATCACTCACTCTGAAGAAACCAGTTCTTAAAATGTATTTGCATGCAATGAGTTCTTACAGTTTCTCCCCCTAGGTAAGAATTCCAAATTTCCTCTTTTTAAAACATGATATAGGGAAGAATTACAGTATTCAATACTATCAGAAGGGCTGTTTGACATCTGAAGGGTGAAAGGTGTATTTTTTGCTGTTGAGCATTTGTTTATTACTGTGTGCTTTCTGATAATTGTCTTTACTGTCTTGTTTACCCCAATAATCCTTGCTGTGTATGAGTATTTGGGAAGTTTTTATGTAAATAACATAAATAGAAAAAAGATGATTTTCCTCCCCATCCTCAGGAAAGCATTTCAGAGTGCGGGAGATGTTCCTTGTCTCCATTCTGTCAGTTTGAGGTGAGAACAATCTATTAAAAGTCAGTTTATGACTTGCAATGTGAAGAACAGTTTATATTTTCTTTTCTTTTCTTTTTACCTTTTTGTTGCCTTTTTTCATGCTGTAATTTTTGTTTTGGTTCAGCCTGCCATGGAAGGGGTAGAGGTGAGAATTTCAGTGGAGGCCCAGGAGGGGTTGTTGTTGTTGTATTTTGGTTTTGCTGTGACTTGTGGTTCTGTGATGGACAAGAGTGCGTTGTGCCTTTGAGTGCAGTGAGCCGTATTGTCTGTCTGTGGCAGAGTTGTATTAGTATCCTTGCTGTGAACTGTCCGGATGCCACGCATGTTTTCTATTAGGATGTTTTAAGCAAGATTCTAAGTTCTTTGGTTTTCTACATGCTCGAACTACAATACTCACTGTGATTTAAGATTCAATTGGATTTTGCTATCATGATGTTCATATGAACTTATACATCTAACAACCTCCTAAGAGGAAACTCCACAAAGAAATTCATCTGTTAGAAATTTGAAGGAATTATATTTTTCAGACTGCTGACTTACTGACTGCTTTGAGTTTAAGACCTCATTGTTCCCCTGCACCCAGTCCCCTGCATCCTTCTCACCCACACACTAATATATAGTCACAGCATTGTGACTTGAGCCTGTCAAACTCTGAGCTTTCCCTTTTCTGTAAAATGGGAGTGGTAACCTCTGTCATGGCCATCATCTTGGCAGTATTATGAAGGACACAGGGTATGATTTCATGACAGTGCTTTGAAAACAAAAAAACATAATATAAAAATAATCGTAATTAGAATGTTATAATTTCAGGATAGATTATTCTCTGTCCAAAGACTTAAATTCTGTAGAAGAGAGCTCTAGAAGTAGGATGGGGAGACAAAAAATTTTTCTCATTTCTTATCCATCTCATTGTTTTGCCTTTTGGTTTAAAGAGAAATTTTGGAAAGTATCTCAGATGCTGCTAGGATGTGGTCTCATGACTAGTGCTTATTGCCCCCATTTTACCACGCTTAGAGAAGTGGATGTGCTCTTGCACGTCATGCAGAATGGAAAATCAAGGACTCTTCCCTTCCCTGTGGCCATGTAGAACTCCTCTGAATTGCAGACACAAAACTGGAGCTAAAACAGAACAATTGACTGCCGAGCTGTTAGCACCTTAAAAAATGCAAAATTTCTGGTGTTTCACATTTTTTCATGAATCAGTAGAACAATTCGTCAGCTTTATCTTTAGACCCAGTTGACAAATACATAGTGCCATGGCCAGTATTTATATATGTTGATACTTATTTCCAGAATAAATACCTAAGTATTTTTTGAGGACTTTCTATGTGCTAAATTTTGAGGACAAAAGAAGCCTGTGCTCTCAGAACTTAGTGTATTGGGAAGACCCCATAATGTCATAGCAAAGTGGGGGAATCCTAAGACTCTCACAGCCACAAATGCAATTATCACTTTCTCCATGAGGGGCTAGTGTAGGTAACCCTTCAAGTCATTTCTAACACTAGTCACTTCTTCTCATGAAAACAGCACAGTCATGTCAGGTATATAGTTAGCTCCTTCTCCCTCCATTGACATATGAAATCTCAAGGCCAAGGGCAGTTTCCTTTGGCTGAAGTTGTAATCTGAGATTGGTAAGTTGTGGCTTTGTACATGTTAACTCTTTGCTTCTGTTCGCTAGCCTTGAGAATGTAACTAGACTGTATATTAGGGTTTGTAGTAATAGTTATATCTCTGGCTATTGAAATTAATTGGCATGTTTTATAATTTCTGGTTTTCTTCATTAGGAAATGAAAATTTGTTCAGCAATTATAAACCTTTTTCATCTGATCCCAGCTGCACCTCAAACTCTGGTCAAGCCTTTGTTAGAGGTTGTGATGAAAACAGAACGGGCTATGTTGATTGAGGTAATAGTTAGCTTAGATGATTAATTGATTCTTCTCCACCTGTTCCTTCTAATATTTTTACTTCGTTATATTTTAAATGGATTACTCTAACAATGTAAAGATATTGCTTAGGATTGTTAATGCACTCCAGTTAGGAACAGGAGAAATGCATTCTCCTACAGTGTTATGTATAAGATCAAGAAAAGCCTCAATCCTGAGAAGATGCGGTTTTCACCACGTGTTTTCCAGGCCGGCAGTCCATTCAGAGAGCCTCTGATCAAGTTCTTGACTCGGCACCCTTCTCAGACAGTAGAGCTGTTCATGATGGAAGCAACACTGAATGATCCCCAGTGGAGCCGAATGTTTATGGTAGGAGTTGCAAGGAGCTGGAGTTGGGTGACCCTGCAGATTGGTGAGACAGTCTGCTCTGAAATCCAAAATTATTATTTTACTGTTTTCTGATATAGTTGAACATTGGAATATCATTTTCTTGTGTATAAAAAGTTCAAGTCCAGGAATCACTCTCTAGGGTTTTGATGGTGGTAACAAATGAATTGCTCAGATTATAAAACATAAAGTGTGGTTGCTGTTTTAAAAGCATTTTTTAAAAGGATGAGTATGGTGAATTTTTGTAGCCTGCCAGGAGATTTAGCTTAAAGTTTATATCTAAACCTCTTGTGTTTTGGTTAGTTTAAAACAGCATGTTTGTTCTGTTTTCAGAGCTTTTTAAAACACAAAGATGCCAGACCTCTGCGTGATGTGCTGGCAGCTAACCCTAACAGGTTCATCACCCTGCTGCTGCCTGGTGGCACCCAGACAGCCGTGCGACCTGGCTCGCCCAGCACCAGCACTATGCGTCTGGATCTTCAGTTTCAAGCCATCAAGGTATAGTGTCTTTGCGTTGGGTGCCTGAAATCCCAAAGGTGTAGTAGAGATACAGAGATAACACTGTCACTTCCCTAATTGATTCTTCTTGACAGATCATAAGTATTATAGTTAAAAATGATGACTCCTGGCTGGCCAATCAACATTCTCTGGTGAGCCAGTTGAGACGAGTGTGGATTAGTGAAACCTTTCAAGAAAGACACCGGAAGGAGAACATGGCTGCCACAAACTGGAAGGAGCCCAAGCTGCTGGCCTACTGTCTGCTGAATTATTGCAAGTGAGTGCATCTGTCCTGCTTTTTACAGCATACCATAACCTAACTGCTTTCCGCCTAGTAACCTGAACTGGAGCCTCTTCTAATTTGCACATAGCTGTGGTTCACTGAAATATGTGTAGTCAGATGTTGTAGAGAGTTGATGATAACTTGAGTTGTTTGAAAGGCAAGTCAGATAATACACAGTTCTGGAATTTGCCATAATTTAACTTGTTTTCTTATTTTAACCCTTCAGAAGAAATTATGGAGATATAGAATTGTTGTTTCAACTGCTCCGAGCCTTTACTGGTCGCTTTTTATGCAACATGACATTCCTGAAAGAGTATATGGAGGAAGAGATTCCCAAAAATTACAGCATTTCTCAAAAGCGTGCGCTGTTTTTCCGCTTTGTAGACTTCAATGACCCCAACTTCGGAGATGAACTGAAAGCTAAGGTGAGTCTCCCTGTTGTACATTAGTAGCCTCAGACATTTGGGTTCACTTTTTAGGCAACCAAGGGTACTATTTGTGTTCTGCTTTGACTCTGTTGACAAATCATAGTCCATACTGTTTTTGAGGAAAATGCTGTTATTGAGAACAAAGCAGCTCTAGCAGTGAGCCAATGTTGAAAAGTAGTTTATTAGTTTACATGTTTTTCTGAAATGACTCATTTGAAGTAAGAGTATATGAAGCTGTTGTCCCTTTTCCTCTTGTCTTTTGCAGATAGTTGTTAAACTACCTTTTCAGTTGTTAGTTAGAATAAAATATTGTTGCATTCGATTGAGTTCTAACTTTATGGTGCAGTATGGCAGAACTGGGGTCCTGCTCATCTTGTTAAAGAAATAAAAAACATGGCTTTGTTTACCTTCTTTCTCATTTTTTAATTTTTTATAGGTTCTGCAGCATATCTTGAATCCTGCTTTCTTATATAGCTTTGAGAAAGGGGAAGGAGAGCAGCTCTTAGGACCTCCCAATCCAGAAGGCGATAACCCAGAAAGCATCACCAGTGTGTTTATAACCAAGGTAGTATCACTAACAATGCATTGGTGTGAAAAGTGACTTGACAATGGAGGGGGGAAGGCACGCAGGGTGTCATTGAAATGTGTTTATGTCCCTAAGGTTTTTGTTTTTCTTGATTGAATTGGTTTGTAGCAGACCATGATAATTTTTACTAGTGAATTTTTTTTTAAGACGGTCTTACTTTTTTAATGAATTAACTTTTCCACATTAATAGATTCTAATCAGAAACAGTATCTCAGTGAAAGTTCAGATATCAGTTATTTTGTGAAAATAGTGCTTGTCAGTTTTGGCGTTCTATTGATGTTTATATCTTTAACTTTTTGAAAGAATGTACTTAAAGGCCAATAAAAATATTAGACTGAATGCAGTTGCTACTGTGACCATTTGTTGCCATGGTAGCGGAATATCTTGTGGCAGTAGTAATGTCCGAAGTTAGGTTTTAAAGTCTCTGCATTTTTGTAATAGTTTCACCAGCTTTTTTGTAGCTGAGAGGTGTTATCAAATTAAACATTTCTTTGAGAAAGGCCTGCCCTGTGCTTCTCACAATGCCTTGGTGGTTTATACAGGTTGAACTTCACTGGTAGGTAGTATTTACCTTGAGGTTGTTAGAGTGAGCGTTCTGTGTTCAGGTTGTTAGAGTGCCGTTAGTGAGTGACATTCCACATCTGCAATGTGAATTAGCACTCTGATTGGCAACTTGCACGTTCATGCCAACACACTTTGTAAGGGTACAGTTGGTTTTCTTACCTGTTTGCCCTGGGGTCCAGCTAGAGGCTGTTGTTCCCCTTGACAGGTAACTGCTTTTTAGTGGTCTTGATCGCTCAACATGGACCTTCCTCCTATACTTTCTCTCTCTCTCAATGAAAGCTGAGTTCAAGAAATTATTTTTGGTTCACATACTGATAATTGCTTTATTATGGGCAACTATGGGGAGATGAGGACCTAGGTGCAGCCCCTTCCACTGTGCTGCCTTCTCTAGGCTGTGTCTTCTGGATCAGATGCTGCTGGCTCAGCACAGGCAAGGAGTTGGGACTGGGTTGGGTGGGAAAAAATGGCAATGGGAGGCTGGAGCCCAGGGAAGGGGCTGCTGTGAACAGTAGATTCAGGAGAAAAAGGACTTAGGGGGCTAAAGGCCATCAAGGAAAACAAAGTTGTGATGGAAGACTTTGGCCTTCTAGTTTTCTGGTAAAGGGAAGTCAGTTAGGGTTCTTAGTTGAATTGAATGATTCAGTCAATATACTTAATTCAGTAGAGATGTACAGAATATTCCTCAAGAATGTATATACATGAAACATAAAAACTTATCAGGTACTTGATTATTTAGAAAACCGTAACAATTTGTTATACAGATTTTCTTTTCCAGGTAACATTTTCTGATTGTAATACTGAAAAACAAAGAATAGCTAATTAATAGTTGACCAGGGAAAAAAATCTGAATGACTTGGGAATTAAGAAGTTCCTCATTCACCTTGTATCAAAGAGGAAGTCTGCTTTTCCTCCTTTACCTACCTACTGCATTCTCACTTTGAAGGCTGCCCTTCTTTTCAATGTTGAAATGAGTTGAGTTTCAAATCTGTATGTATTAAAGGAAAACTTATATAACATTATTGATTCCCTCTATGTAGAACTTAATAATATATCATAGCCTTGTGTGTGTTTATTTTTTTTAATTTTTTAAGGTTTAAATTATTATATGGGGCCTCCCCAGTGGCGCAGCGGTTGAGTGCTGGGTTGCGAGGCTGCCCGCGGCCTCTGTGGCGCCAGTTCGATCCCCGGCTGCTCCCCGGCCACCGGAGGAGGGTCCCACATGGCGTGCAGACCTCTCCTGCCGCCCGCTGCTCCCCTCAGCAGTGTACTTCGTTCGGTCCTTCTGTCTTCTCTGCTCCCTGCTCTGGCTCTGGTGAATTCTCTCACCCTCCTGCTCTTCTGACTGTACCCAGTGCATGTATAAACAAACAAACAAACAAATAAATAAAACATGCCTCTATAAAAATAAATAAATAAATTATTATATGGCCCTTAGTTAACACAAAACCCGAAATGAATTCCTTTCTGCTTGTTTTTTCTTGGCAGGTCCTTGACCCAGAGAAACAAGCAGACATGCTGGACTCCCTGAGGATCTACCTCCTGCAGTATGCCACGCTGCTGGTGGAGCACGCCCCCCACCACATCCATGACAACAACAAGAATCGCAACAGCAAGTTGCGCCGCCTGATGACCTTTGCATGGCCCTGCCTGCTCTCCAAGGCCTGCGTTGATCCAGCCTGCAAATATAGTGGACACTTACTTTTGGCACACATTATTGCCAAATTTGCAATACATAAGAAAATTGTCCTTCAGGTACTTCCCGAGGCTGCCTCCTACCCACCCAACAGTCACATGTATTTCCACACTTTGTACTCATTGATGCTTGTATAATTGCAACCTCTAAAACTTTCTAAAGCTGTCTTTCTAAAACTGCCATTTAAAAATGCACAGTTCTGTTCAACTTATACAAAAAATGCTATGAAACTCCCATGATTATCATCTTTATGGTTATTATTCTTCTTCCCCACTTGTTGTTTTGCTCTTGATCCTCTGGATCTTTGCTTTTGAAACAACAAAATATCTCCTTTGTCTACCTGATGCTCCTTTATCTGTTGCATTCTGGCTTCTGACCTGTCACTCCATTGAAATGGAGCCCCAAACCCCTCCTTTAGCTAAAGACAATGGATAATTGAACCTGCATCCTGCCACCTCTCTGAGTTTCTGTTTCTTCCACTCATGAATTCTGTGAGCCTGGGGCAATTAGTTACTGTCTCCGTGTAAGAATTTAATGAGTGCAAAGCCTGTCTGTCCATGAAACCTGTAGTAAGCGATTGCTCTTGTCGTAGTCTATGTGGTCACTCTTGATTGTTTTCCTCTGACCATTCCCTCTTATGAGTGTCTGTAGTTTTAAACCCTGCCCTTCTAACTCCCTCACACAGCACATTCCACAGACACTTGGGATACAAATGTAGCCTCTCTGATTGACCCTTTCTCCCTGTCATCCCAGCTAGAAACCTAAGGGCCTTCTGTGATACACTTCCATTCTTTCCAGTGTCCAGGCATGGTTAGGCCTGTTGTTACCAACACCCTGCTCCACCCTCAGTGCTAGTTGGGTGGTCTTTGACCTTAATGCCCTTACTACCAGGCCTTCCCCCTCTCTTGAACTGTTACAGGTTTGCTTCTGGTAGTGGGCCATTTCACTCCATTTCCTATGCTGTAGCCCAAGTGAGATGACCTGTGTACCTCAGTAAGCTAGGTCTCACTCATCTTTGCATATGTCAGCCTAACCCAGCGTGGGCACTTTGTGGGTGCTGAATAAATATCAGAAAAAATGTGTTCATTGATCAAAACTTAATGGAGAAGGTAAATATGTTGTTTCCTTATAAGAGTCCTGTAGAATCTTAAAAAAATTGTTCATACAAAATTATCAGAACTTGTTTCTGATTGTTATCTTACTGTATTTTAAAGCCTTCATTCTCACCCCATATGAGAATTTCTTTCTTGTTCAGGTTTTTCACAGTCTTCTCAAGGCCCATGCAATGGAAGCTCGAGCAATCGTCAGACAAGCAATGGCCATTTTGACTCCAGCAGTGCCAGCCAGAATGGAGGATGGACACCAGATGCTGACGCACTGGACCAGAAAGATCATTGTGGAGGAGGGACACACAGTCCCTCAGCTGGTGCATATTTTGCATTTGATAGTACAGCATTTTAAGGTGTGTAGAAAGTACTGTAGGTTGGTGTGTAATACATTTCAGGCATGTGCTTTGAGCTTTATGCCTGTCATTTTCTGTAATGATTCATCTTTCAGTAAATGCATTTCTGGTTCATTGATTAGTATGTGTTTTGTGTGAATGACTTGGTAAACGTAGGAATTGTTTTATAGAATGTGTTCTGTAGTGTATGCTGCTTTTTTTTTTTTTAAAGATTTATTTATTTATACAAGCATTGGGTACAGTTAGAAGCGTGGGAGGGTGAGAGAATTTACCAGAGCCAGAGCGGTGCGCAAAACAAGCAGACTGACAAAGTACACTGCTGAGGGGAGCAGCAGGTGTGGCAGGAGAGGTCTGTCGCACCATTTGGGACCCTTGCCGGCGGCCGGGGATCGAACCAGCGCTGCAGAGGCTGCGGGCAGCTTTGCAACCCAGCGCTCAACCGCTGCACCACCGGGGAGGCCCTAGTGTATGCTGCTTTCTACAACTGCATTTTTTAGGGGGGTACTCAACTGAGTTATTGCTTTTTTTTAAATATTTATTTATGCATACAAGAGCTGGGGTACAGGCCAGAGACGCAGGGAGTGAGCAGATTCACCAGAGACGAAGTGGGGAGCAGAACAGGCAGACTGACTGAAACACACTGCTGAGGGGAGGAGCGAGCGAGACAGGAGAGGTCTGCTGTGCCACGTGGGTTTCTCTTTGGCTGGCCGGGGATCGAACTCCTGCTGCAGAGGCTGCGGATTGCTTCATGGTGCAGTGCTTAACCCCTTGCGCCATCAGGGAGGCCCAACTGAGTTATTGCTTTAAAGTAAAAGATAGTCATCACAAACTCTTAATTTTGGTAACTTAACTTAAAAAGTTGTGTCACTGGCCACCTCCTTCTCTAGCAAGTTACCCACTTTGTGGGATTTGTTTTTATATAAATACTTCTTGTAGATTTTGTGGCAAGTAGAAAGAACTGAATTGCAAGTTAATTCTTCTACAACCACCTCTTTTAGAATTGGGAATTTGCTTCTTGGTATGGCTAAATTTTTATGATATTAAAAATGAAGTTCTACACCTTGAGTACTTATCTTGCTTACCCTAAAGACAATGCAGTGCTTCAACACTTTTAAAAGATGTTAGAGTGAAATACACTTATATGTTGGGACCCAGCCAGGCCTGAAGGAGTGATACATATACATATCTAAGGTACTAAGAATTTTCTTGCTAAAATTATGATTCCGAATTCTTGAATGTGAGGTTGGGGGATGTGTGTGTGTACTTGCACGCGTAAGCAAGCAAGTGCAAGCAAGCAGGCACTGAGGCCTCATCACGGCCTCCCCAGTGTGATGGTGATGTTTACCCTGTGCTCACAGGTATACTATCCAGTGCGTCACCACTTGGTGCAGCACATGGTCAGCGCCATGCAGAGGTTAGGCTTCACACCTAGTGTCACTATCGAGCAGAGAAGGCTCGCCGTGGACCTATCTGAAGTTGTCATCAAATGGGAACTGCAAAGGATCAAAGACCAGCAGGTAGGGATGGTACCCTTTTTTGTCTCTGATTGTATTCCTTATGCTTCTCCTAGAAATCAGTGAGTAAAGTAGACTGACTGTATGTGTGTGTGTGTGTGTACGTGTGTTTAAGCCGGATTCAGATATGGACCCTAATTCAAGTGGAGAAGGAGTCAACTCTGTCTCATCTTCCATTAAGAGAGGCCTGTCAGTAGATTCCGCCCAGGAAGTAAAACGCTTTCGGACAGCCACAGGAGCCATCAGTGCGGTAAGAACATGTGCACGAGCATATGTACTTTCTATTTTGGGGTATGCTTTTTCTTGGCAATTACTTCATTTATTTTGTAAATTTTGAATGTGGACTAATTTCCCAGCATCATGCCAGAGAGATGGCCAGGAAAGGCTGCGCTCAACAGATAGAAACCTGAATACAGGCTCTGTCTCAGAGTTTCCCAGGTTACCAGCACAATTTCCTTTGTACTCACTGACACCATCAGGGTTCTGATAGTGGTGGTCAAATTTCCTGTCGAAGGTACCAGAAATACTCTTGGGTAAGAATTCTGCTTGAGACTTGGACCTGTGTTGTGCTAAAGTTTATAAAAAGACAGTGTATCTTACTTTGAAGTGCAGCGACCGAAAAAATGGCTGGGGTGCTCACACTCATCTTACCCCTAGTGGCGGGGACAGTGCTGTCACCCTGGTGGTGTAGTTTCACAGGACTGTTAACCCTGGTTTGACTGTTAATCTTCCAGCTCTCTGCGTCTAAACTTGGACTCCCTCTGACACTCCCCATTTCCTCCTGAGTGTGTTGCTCCTGCACCCACCCACCCCACACTCCACCGAGAACCCTGGAACCATCTGCCACATGTCCATGTACTGTTCTCCACTCCTGGTCGGGAGCAAATCCTGTTAGCCCGGCCTCCTCTCCTCTCTGCCCCACCCTCCTGGCCCGAGCCCCCATCGCGCTCACTCTGCCTCACAGTTCTCGCTGTCCACTTGCATCCTGTGTTAGTACGGATCTCACCAGCAGAGCACCAAGACCTTTCCTTTCACACCAAGTCAGGGGAAGCTGTATGGGGAATCTTAAGCTTTTATAATTATTAGACAAAATAGTTACCTTGTAAGGAGGGACCTCTGCACTGTTTTTCATGGTTTCTCATGAATTTCAGAACTATTTCAAAGTGAAAGCCTAGAAAGTTAGTCAGATGTTCTTTCCCTTCTCAAGACCCTCCTCCCCCACCATCTGGGCCCTCTCTGGCCCCGCAACCTGACTCTGTGGGTGATGTGCTTCATTCCTCTCCAACCCGTGACCTTGCTCTGCCGGTGACCTGCTTCATTCCTGTGTGTAGCCCTTCAGCCCTTCCTCCACTGGGAAACACCCCAGGTTCTTAGCATCTTTAGTACTTGCTTATAGTCTCTCTTCCCTCACCCTGCAGCAGTTTCCTCTTCTCTCAGGCCTGCCGCTTCTCTGTCTCAGAGCTGCCTAGACTCCACTTCTTTTAGTCTCAAGCACATGACACATCATTTACTTTATGGCCACTTTATTCTTCATCTGTGGAGCCTGTGCCTTCCCCTGGCGCCCAGAACAGAGTTGACCTGGGAGGACCACATACTGGAAGCAGACTGCACGAGCCAGCCCTACATGGGACTGTCATTGAGGGTTCTCTTCCTGCCTTTTCTAGGTGTTTGGGAGGAGCCAATCTCTGCCTGGAGCGGATTCCCTTCTTGCCAAGCCCATTGATAAGCAGCATACAGACACTGTGGTGAACTTCCTCATACGTGTGGCTTGTCAGGTGTGGCATTCTGCATGTCTTGTGGTCAGGATTCTTCAGAGCAAAGACTACTTGCTAGATAACAGAATGAAAACCAAAATAGACAAACAAGGTCTAAGAGCTAGTTCTATCATCTTCAGACCAAATTCCACTGATTTCAAGGCATGCCAATATTTCTGAAATCACCTTATAATTTATATGATTTTTTAAAAACAGTTTTTCTTTCAGTTTGACTTAAAATGGCAATGTTATCTTACATTTTATGGCATGTTGGCATTCGTTGAAACATGGTAATTTAGTAATCTTAGACAAATTACTTCTAGTTTACCTATCTGCTGAGAGTGCTAGGGTGATCCCACCTGCATAATGTGGATTTCATTTAGTAATTTAAGTACTTGGGTTTATTTACCATTCATATTTTCATGCCTTTGTTGGGACTCCATTTCTGAAACTTTTCATTTTTATTTCATAAAAACATAAATGAAGTTTTTCCTTAGAATTTTTTTCCCCACTGGGGAATCTTAAATTTTTATAATTATTTAACAAAATTGTATATCTTACAGTTCTACTGAGGATCTCAAGGTACTGAAGAAAATGTCCTAAACTAATAACCCAGTAAATCTTTTCTTACATGCTACAGTGTGCTAGGCATAGCCTTGGAGCTCTGAAGGGAAGGAACTTTAAGCTCCTGCTCTCCCAAGGAGCTTCCTGGCACTAATCAGTTACACAGATAACCACTGACCCTCTGCAAGGGGGGAAGCAGAGGGGCCTAAGCTGAGGCCAGGTGGGAGAGAAAGTGGCTGCCACTTGGGAGTGCCGGGGTGTGAGGGCGTTGGGTGCAGGCAAGAAGACTGCAGACATGTGGTCGGTGAACTCCACCTTGAATTGAGCTAATTTCCAGGTTAATGACAACACCAATACTGCGGGGTCTCCCGGAGAAGTGCTCTCCCGCCGGTGTGTGACTCTTCTGAAGACTGCCTTGAGACCAGACATGTGGTCCAAGTCAGAGCTCAAGCTGCAGTGGTTTGACAAGCTGCTGATGAGTGTGGTAGGTGCATGGGACTGTCTTTGTTGACCTGGCTCAGGGCTGTGACCACCAAATCTCAAATTTTCCATTCCCTTGCAGTTGTGGCTTCTGCTTCCGCTCATGGCCAGTAGTAAGAAAACTGGATTTAAAACTTGGCTTTGGTCACCAGCCCCAAGTACAGTTAGGACTTCTGAAAACATAATTCTCTTGCCTTTCATAGATTTACTTGTTTTTTTTAACGAGCACTAGAGTCAGGTAACAGAGAAGCCCAAATATTATTTGGTGAATTTTTTTTGTTTCTGTAAAAACCGTGATCCTTTAATTTTCTCACATTTGCAAAAGCTGTTCTTATCTTATCCATGTCATTACCATGACACAGTTCCATTTGTCTAGTTGCCTGATAGAATTTGAAAACTTGAAACATCGGGATTATAAAACCTATCATAAGCATTCGTTGTTTTATGTTGCAAAGACAACATGTTTTTTGAAAGGTTACAGAGATTATTGTGCTATGAAGAGAGTAGGATAGTTCCCCACTAACCTGCAGCACATGCTGGATTCTGGCTTGGTACGAGACGTAACTTCCAGATTGTCTGCAAATATTTTTCCGCTTTTTCTCATTGACAGTTTGAATTACTTTTCTGTCAAATGCATTCATAGTTGAAAAATCACCAGCTATTGCAGACAGCCTCTGCCCCTCAGCAGGCCACTGTTTTCAGAAAGTAGCATGCCATGTTCAGTGAGTGACTTTCTGCCTTTTCTCCATGATCTGTAGTTAGACCTTTTACCTCTCAACTCAGAGTGTACACACTACACATAAGACACGTGTGTGTGACCACAAAATCAAAAGTTTTGTGAAGCTATGTATCTTTACTACAAACCAGGTACTCTCTTTATTTTTTAATGCTGGCATCATCCACTAGCTTGATTTCATATACAGTTTCAAAGAAACTTGTTCATGGAAGGGTATTTGTGTGCAACTGTAAGATGGGAGGAGAAAAGCAAAACTCATTTTGGTAATTGCCCTTTTAGATTACAAGATTCTTGGTGATTTTCAAATTCTTACTTAAAAGTAAGTACTAATATTTTGGGGAAAAGTTTTATAAGAAGTTTTTTTTTTTAAAATTTATTTATTTATGCATGCAAGAGCTGGGGTACAGGCCAGATGCGTGGGAAGGTGAGAGGATTCACCAGAGACAGAGTGGGGAGCAGAACAGGCGAATTTACTGAAATATACTGCTGAGGTGAGCAGCGGGTAAGACCAGAGAGGTCTACTGCACCATGTGGGTAACTCCCTGGCCAGGGATCGAACTCATGCTGCGGTGGCTGGCAGTAGCTTGATAGCACTGAGACTTTAACCCCTGCGTCACCAGGGAAGCCCCTATAAGAAGTTTTTCTAAAGCAGATTTCCTTAATATTTTGAAAGCATACTGTTTTAATAAAAATAGTGTAGTCACATATTTTTTTAATGTCTGTGATAATTCTCTAGTGGTTTTTACTTTGTTTCCAAATACTCAAAGTCAAATAGGTTTAAATTTTGCTTCATTCATGTGTCTATAATTCACTATACTAATCATCTTTGGCTTGTGCTCTCCATTTCAGGAACAGCCTAATCAAGTCAACTATGGAAACATCTGCACAGGATTGGAGGTGCTGAGTTTCTTGCTGACTGTTCTCCAGTCTCCAGCCATCCTTAGTAGCTTCAAACCCCTGCAGCGTGGGATTGCTGCCTGTATGACGTGTGGGAACACCAAAGTTTTGCGAGCCGTACATAGCCTTCTCTCGCGCCTGATGAGTATTTTCCCAACAGAGCCAAGTATGTGACCTTCTCTGTCAGTGCCTTGCTTTCCAAGTAGATGGGTGGGCATAGGGCTCATTATTTGAGAGTGCCCATTGCCCTATGTTGAACATTTTATTGTCCCACATTTCTTTGTGTCTTCAACTTTTATTTTAATGTACTTGGCATAAAAATTTAACAATAACAGTCATTGCATTTTATTTTTTGTCTACTTTGGAAATGCAGTTCTTCATTAGCTGAACACTAATCATTCCTTGAGGTATTGAAAGGAAGCTAGGTTCAAGTATTCTGTCAAATGGTGAACAGTTGACAAGATCAAATTTTGGTGTATTGTAAATGTGTGTTTAGCATGTGTTCAGCTAAGGCTTGGCAAGATTAAAGGTTTTCACTTAGCTGTTTCAAGTGGTAACCAACCCCAAGATGAGTACCACATGTCTTCTGATGGGAGATGGGTACCCAAGCCTGTCTCTATGATCTCCAAACAACTAAAGCTCAGTTCTGAGTATAAGGGTAGTTCTGTGTTCCAGGTACTTCCAGTGTGGCCTCCAAGCACGAGGAGTTGGAGTGCCTCTATGCTGCCGTTGGAAAGGTCATCTATGAGGGACTTACCAACTATGAGAAGGCCACCAGTGCGAACCCCTCTCAGCTCTTTGGTGAGTGTCTGTCTTGGCTTTCCTGACAGAAATTCAGTTTGGTGTGGTCTTGTCCATGCTCACTGGACAGGATTTTCTTCTGGGAAACGTTCAGGATATGGGGAGGAGCTTTGAGCTGACTGATGTGTTGCTAGGGATATTTGTGTGTTTCTTGGCACACACAAGGCCACTGGTCTTGGAATTCTCCATCCATCTTCAGTACTCCTTTTGTTCTTCCTTCCTCAGCCCCAGATGCCGAAGTTGGTTCTAAGGGGAATTGTCCCTTGTCACAGGGTTCCTACTGATCCAATTTTATATTGAGCACAAGATGCTGGTAGAGGAAGGTACTAATATGTAGAAGCACTGCCTCTTACAATGTGTCCATCTGTCAGTAATCCACTAGCAGATAAGAACCTGTTCCTGCGCAGCAGACCTCTCCCGTCTTGCCTGCTGCTCCTCTTAGCAGTGTATTTCAATACATCCGCCTGTTATGTTCTCAAAAAAAAAAAAGTTCCTATCTATTTGAGGTTCTGACTGACCAAAGTGAAACAGAAGTTGCTCTCGCTGGTAATCAGGGCAGCTGGAAGACTTCTACCACCAGACAAAAAGTCACTCTACTTTTTGTGATTGTAACTGGATGTTGGGTTAGCAACTCTGAAAATTTTTTCTCCTTTATTATGTACTCATCATATAAAACTTTCAATCACTTAACATTTTGGTCTGTGTGGTTTTTTTTCTATACACATGTTATAATGTGTTGTAAGGTAGCCCTTGTTAGGGAAGTGTTTGTGTCTGAATTTGCAAACATTATTTTTGAATCAATTTCTTGAGCTCCAAATTCTTGCTATGCTGTCTGAAATTCAGGAGCCTGATAAATTCAGTTAAAATAATATCTCTTATTCTCCAAGCTTGCTCTCTCTATTCTGAACCAAACCGATGTAGGTAGAGAGGCATAGTCCAAAACAGAATCATACAGAAGATCCTGGTTTGCATCCCAAAATAGCAGGAACATCTTGTCTTGTTAATTCTCTAAAGGACTCTCTATGAGAAGATCTGAACACTGTTGGTCCTGTCGGGGTGATAACAAGTCCTGGGCAGTGGTGGAGGGAGATAGTCTCCCTATCTTCTCCCTGTGTTGGATCCAGGCCTTAGTTACTGGTGTCTGCTCAGGAAGGGTCGGAATATGTTCCCCATAGTCCTGATCACCCTCAAGCACCCTGGGTTATTTATTTGCCATAGAATCAGAGTGATCTTATATCAGCTGTTCACTAATAATTGGCTTTTAAACAAGCAAACCTGAAATTGTCCAAGGCTGGGGCAGTTCACCTATAAATGGCAAATAGTCATACCGTGATATCAGCCATGAATACAAATTTAAAATTGAATGTGTATGGTCAGGGTCAAAAAATGTTTGTAAAAATGACAGTTGCAAGGAAGACTTTTTTTAATACACTGATGTTAAGTTTTTTTTTTTATGTCCTAATACTAGTTTTGTGGATTTTATTGACCTTATGCAGCCTTTCAGAATGCAGTCAAAATTGAGTTTAAATTGTTACGTCTAGATTTTTTTTCTATTTTTCTTTTTTGCCAAAACACATTCTGGGGCAAAATACTTCACTTAGGGGCATCATTTGCCATAATCAAGAAATAAAAACCAGAACTGAAGGTAAGAATATTGTCTCTACAAAACACAAAAATCATTCCTTACGTATGGTGATGTTGACATAATTACCGTGAAAATATAAGGATTCTAAATACGTGTGCCATATAAAACTTTATAGTATTGACATTTGTGATTAATCTATAGTTTTGTCAGACAGCACAACTTTAAATGTTTTAGATAGTACATTTTTGTTAATTATTCAGTTTTTTCTTTATAAAACTGGCAAATCTCTACATTTTAGGGACCCTTATGATCCTCAAATCAGCCTGCAGCAACAACCCAAGTTACATAGACAGACTGATCTCAGTCTTCATGCGTTCCCTCCAGAAGATGGTCCGAGAGCACTTAAACCCACAGGCTGCATCAGGCAGCACAGAAGCAACCTCAGGTGATGAATGTGGCACCCTGTTCCTCCAATTTTGTTTAAATCCTACACACTGTAGGCTCTGTGACTGAATTCTAAAGCAAACACTAATTCTTTTTGTTTATATGTAATTCATTATCATTTGCTCTTCAACAAAGAGGTTTTTCATTTAAAACCATTCTCATTTTAAATATGAACTGTATTTTATTACCATTAAGAATTCCCCCCACATCAGAATATTGACTCTACTTTTAATCAGCAAAATCATGATAAAAGTAAGTTTTGTCAGGGCCTCCCCGGTGGCGCAGCGGTTGAGCGCTGGGTTGCGAAGCTGCCGGCGACCTCTGCGGCGCCGGTTCGATCCCCGGCTGCTCCCCGGCCACCAGAGGAGGGTCCCACATGGCGCGCAGACCTCTCCTGCCGCCCGCTGCTCCCCTCAGCAGTGTACTTCGGTCCTTCTGCCTGCCCTGCTCCCTGCTCTGGCTCTGGTGAATTCTCTCACCCTCCCGCGCTTCTGACTGTACCCAGTGCATGTATAAACAAAGAAACAAACAAACAAATAAATAAATAAATAACATGCCTCTATTAAAAAAAAAAAAATAAAAAAAAAAAAAAAGTAAGTTTTGTCATGATGAAAATTAAACCTTGAAGGGCTCCCCGGTGGCGCAGTGATTGAGCTCTGGGTTGCGAAGCTGCCCGCAGCCTCTGCAGCGCCAGTTCGATCCCCGGCTTTTCCCTGGCCACCGGAGGAGGGTCCCATATGGCATGCAGACCTCTCCTGCCACCCGCTGCTCCCCTCAGCAGTGTACTTCAGTCCTTCTGCCTGCTCTGCTCCCCACTCTGGCTCTGGTGAATTCTCTCACCCTCCCGCGCTTCTGACTGTACCCAGTGCTTGTATAAATAAATAAATAAATAAATAAATCTTTAAAAAAAAAGAAAGAAAATTAAACCTTGAGAAAAAAGGAAAAAAAGCTACTTATAAAATTTGTAAATGTGAGAATGAAGAAATTTTAAAATGGTTAACTCTTACTGGTGAATGTTCCACAAAAATGTTATCTAACAATTTTGCTATCAAACAGATCGCTTCCTCAGGGCTATTATGTCTGAAGAAGCATTAAGTTGCAAATTCCAGACCTGAACTGTGGGCTCTAGGAATCTGGAGAGACATGTTGCTGTGGGGATGGGGACTGGGGTTGACTCCTTGGAACTCCTTGGACTCCTTGGAACTGGGGTTGACTCCAGGACTTGGCTACACTGGTCTCATCAGCTCCATCATGCCCTTACCTATAGGAAGGCTGCCCTTGCAAGGCAGAGTAGTAAGAAAGGATGAGGTACCTCAAATCTCAGACCTGTAGTTGCTGGGGAAAGTATTTGGGGGGGAAATGGGAAGAATCCAATATGCAATGTAATTTGAAGTGGTTTCCAGTTGATGTATGTTTGTAAGATTGTTTGGGTGTGTTCTCTTTCTCCTCATGAGCAGGAACTAGTGAGCTGGTGATGCTAAGTCTGGAACTGGTGAAAACACGTCTGGCTGTGATGAGCATGGAGATGAGGAAGAATTTTATTCAGGCCATCCTAACCTCCCTTATTGAGAAATCATCAGATGCCAAAATCCTCCGGGCTGTGGTTAAAATTGTGGAAGAATGGGTTAAAAATAATTCTCCAATGGCAGCCAATCAGGTGAGCTGGGAGGGAGACTGTACTCTGGCCAGTGACCTCCCCTTGTATGAAAGAGAAAATTTAAATATCACCTTCTTAGCTCTTCTTCTGAAAGTTCCGCAGTGTAAAACATGTTTTTCTCCTGTGTTTGTATTTTCATTGTCTTCTCTTATTTTAAGATGGATTTTTCTCACTTTTCAGTCCCTAATCTTTTTTTTTTTTTTTTTAAGTTTTTTTTTTTTTTTTTTTTTTTTTTTTATAGAGGCATGCTTTATTTATTTGTTTGCTGGTTTGTTTGTTTTGTTCATACATGCACTGGGTACAGTCAGAAGCGCGGGAGGGCGAGAGAATTCACCAGAGCCAGAGCGGGGAGCAGAGCAGGCAGAAGGACCGAAGGACACTGCTGAGGGGAGCAGCGGGCGGCAGGAGAGGTCTGCGCGCCATGTGGGACCCTCCTCCGGTGGCCGGGGAGCAGCCGGGGATCGAACCGGCGTCGCAGAGGCCGCGGGCAGCTTCTCAACCCAGCGCTCAACCGCTGCGCCACCGGGGAGGCCCCCAGTCCCTAATCTTAAAGTGGTTTTGTTTTTGTTAATTGAATCATACTTGTTAATCTTTTATGACCATGAACATGAGCCTTGTAATAACAGTCCCTCTACCTCATTGTTATCTAAAAAATAGTAACCAGAAGATTGGAATATTTTTGAACATGTCTTCTCAACAAAAGTAATTGACTTTTTTCTTTTAAAAAACATTCTAGACACCTACCCTCCGGGAGAAGTCCATTTTGCTTGTGAAAATGATGACTTACATAGAAAAACGCTTTCCAGAAGACCTTGAATTAAATGCCCAGTTTTTAGACCTCGTTAACTATGTCTACAGGTAGCTACAGCAATTAATCAAATATTGGGTATATTTATCCTTAATGTGTTTTCTGTCCAATGAACATGACTTTTTAATCTTTGAATTATACCTAAATATGAAATAAGTACTAAATCATGTCAATCATGTAAAAAAAAATCACATAAAAATCATTTAAATAGTAAATTAAATTGGTATCATTAGTGCACCATTTGTTTAATGTTGCATCAAACTACACAGTTTGCCATATTACTTTCTTAGTGAGAGTTCAGAAAAGTTGGTATCCACTTTTCTGTTTGTTTACTTGCAGTCTCAAGAGTCCTCTGTGTAGCAGACCTTTTGTATCTCAGTGTTGTCCTTTGATTACAGGGATGAGACACTGTCAGGTAGTGAGCTGACTGCAAAACTGGAGCCTGCCTTTCTCTCTGGGCTGCGTTGTGCCCAGCCGCTCATCAGGGCAAAATTTTTTGAGGTTTTTGACAACTCCATGAAACGCCGGGTCTATGAGCGCCTGCTTTATGTGACTTGTTCCCAGAATTGGGAAGCCATGGGTAACCACTTTTGGATCAAGCAGTGCATTGAGGTAAGATGGGCTGTTTGCCGTCTGTAATTGGGAGGTATATAGGGCAGCCCAGGAGTTCCTAACTGGGGGCACTGAAGCCAGGAGGTGTTCATATGTGCTGAGATGAAAGTAGAAATCTCTCCATGAAACTTTTTAATCTCTAATAAGAAAAAAAAATGATTCAAAGGCATGTTTTCATCAAAACCTTTTTGGGGGTGATTTTAAATACTTTAATAAGAAAGTTGAACATTTCTTAGTTCATAACCAAAGGTTTGTTTCTCCTCAGATATAAAAATTGTAAATTGTCCACAAGATTTAAAAGATTTAATTTGCTTTAATTGTTAGCTTTTGTCCTTAAACAGGGAAGGTGGAGCTGCCAGACCTGACCAGGTGACAGCACTGTGGGTTTTGATGATTTAGTGTGAGGAATCAGGGTGCCAGTGACAGGGATCTGTGTAAAATGGTCAGTGTCATAAAAATGGAGTCCAGACCATCAGTGGCTGCAAGTCAAATTTTCTTAACTGTTTCTAATAGCATTGTTGTGAGACTTCATGTTTTCTTGTTAAATTTACTTTTTATTTAAGTCTGCTATCCTTCATTTTTGCCTTCATCACCACTTTAATGCATCAGGTGACTGAGGCTTCCCAAAGCAGGTAATTAATGCTGTGCAAATAATTTTTGTCCGCTTACCTAAAATGAATGAAACTGGAAGGTTTCAAATTACTTTAATGAGACAACTGAGTCAGAATTGTTTAAATCTTTGAGGTAAAATATATATCAATTAAGATTGTTAATATACTTCCAGTTGTGCTTAATGTGTGTTTTCTTGGTACAGAATTCAGCGTACATTTGAAACTAGTGACAACGTAATAGGCCAAATTCCCCAATGTACTCATCATTCATTTGAGGTGAATGAATGAGGCCTGGACAGTGAGTGGGTCAGATAAACAGATACAAAGATGAGAAAGATATTGGCTGTGGCAGGTACATGAGTCAAGAGAGGAAGGGGCATGCTTAGGGGCACAAGCCAGGAATCCCCCATTCCTTTCCTCTGTTGCATCTCTAGTCAGGTGTTAATGAGTTAAGGGCCCCTTGCCTCTCTTCCTTGCCTTTTCTACCTTCTCATAGCGACCATCAGTCATCACTCATGAAGGTGTCAGGAACAATTGCCTTCGTGTTCAACAGCCATGTTTCCCACCCTCCATTATTATCTCTATTGTTGCAAAATTATTCTTAGAGTAAAGCGAATAGGACCTGGTACAAAATCCAACATCCAGGGATATGTCTCAAGTGACCAGACCTGGCCTCTCCTACAGCCCCATGCTGTCCCCTCTCCCTCATTAGTCTCCACCTTTCATATTCTTGATTATGCCATGTTCTTGCCATCCAAGTTAAAGTGGGTGCTCTGTTATTCTCTATTAGTCCACCCATTCCTTGCCTTCTTATCACCAAGAGTATGTGTGCGTTGATGTTGGTCTTGTCCTTCCCTCTGACACCTCAATTCCTTGATGTCAGGGGATACACCTCTGTGAAGTTGATAAATGGGGCCTTACATAGTGCCTGGCAGGTGCTCTGTAAATGTTTTGTAAAAAGAATGTAAGAGTAGCCTGGTGGAGGGACAGCACACTGGGGTGTGTGGGGAAATAGGGAAGTATTATATGTGTAGGTGGGAAGTAGTAAATAGGTTTTGTGAGCCACACTAAGGAGCTTGAGCTGTCCCTTGAAGGCTGTGGGAAGCTGCTGGAGGATGTAAGGAGGAGATCCTGGGGTCAGCTATATAGAGGAAGATGCTGCAGCACCATGCTCTGAAGAGTAAGTCTGGAGATGATGAGGAAGTTATGTAGACAGCCAATGATGGCTGCCCAGGTGCCTGGAAGGTAAAATTGGCAGGGCTTGGTGACATAATATGGGAGATGAGAAAGAAAAAAAAGTTGATGGACAAAGCAGAGGCTTCTGTCCTTTCTATCTGGGAGATGCCTCCGAGAGGACAGGAAAAGAAGCTCTCAAGGGGAGAAAGGGATGGAGTGTACGCTGAGACATGGGGTCCCTGAGGGAGGGACAGCTGGAGCAGAAGTGTAGAGTATAGTAATAACCATGCTCTAATCAGCATGTGCGTGCCATCAAAATGAGTAATATTAACTGGGTCCTCACATCTTAAATGCCAAACAATGTTTATGTTGGTCTTCTTTTCCACAAACTGTTTAGCTTCTCTTGGCAGTTTGTGAGAAGGGCACTCCCATTGGTACCAGCTGCCAAGGAGCTATGCTCCCATCCATCACCAACGTCATCAACCTGGCTGACAGCCATGACCGAGCAGCCTTCGCCATGGTCACTCATGTCAAACAGGAACCCCGGGAGCGAGAGAACAGCGAGTCCAAAGAGGAGGTAATGTTCCAGATCACATGGCACCTCCTCTGCACAGCAGAATTCCCACTTCTGTTGAAGAATTTTATGTCTTACATTCAAAAAACAGGAGGAACATGTTAAAACCTATCCCTGCCTGAAAACTCTTCGCTGTGGTACCTGAGTTCAGTTTGATTTAAATTAAAATTGACAAGCATCTCGGGCCTCCCTGGTAGCACAAGGGGTTAAGCACTGCACTATGAAGCATTCGCAGCCTCTGCAGCATGAGTTCCATCCCCGGCCAGCAAGGGAACAGTCCATATGGCGAAGCAGACCTCTCCTGTCTCGCCTGCTGCTTCCCTCAGCAGTGTGTTTCAGTCAGTCTGCGTGTTCTGTTCCCCTCTGTCTCTGGTGAGTCCTCTCACCCACCGCCACCCACCCCCTGCATCTCTGGCCTGTACCCCAGATCTTGTATGCATAAATAAATCTTTTAAAAAAAATTTCAAAAAAATTGACAAGCATCTCCTGTTGCCATTGATTTTGAGATAGATCCTTTTTTTTTTTTAAGATTTATTTATACAAGAATCGGGGTACAGGCCAGATGCACGGGAGGGTGAGAGGATTCACCAGAGACAGAGCAGAGAGCAGTAAAGGCAGATCTACTGAAATACACTGCTGAGGGGAGCAGCAGGTGAGGCAGGAGAGGTCTGCTCGCCATGTGGGACCCTCGCTGGCCGGCCGGGATGGAACCACCGCTGCAGAGGCTGCGAACAGCTTCACAGCACTGCGCTCAACCGCCTGTGCCACCAGGGGAGGCCCCCCCCTTTTTTAAAGATTTATTTATGCATGCAAGAACTGGGGTACAGGCCAGAGGTGTGGGGGGTGAAAGGATTCACCAGAGACAGAGTGGGGAACAGAACAGGCAGATTGACTGAAATACACTGCTGAGGGGAGCAGCAGGTGAGCTATATGAGGTCTGCTGCACCATGTGGGTCACCTCCCTGGGGGCCAGGGATTGAACTTGTACTACAGTAGTTGCGGATAGCTTCATAGTGCTGCGTCTTAACACCTTGCACTACCAGGGAAGCCCTTGAGATAGATCCTTTATCATGAGTGAGTACACTTAGTGAAGACTGTTTAGCTGTTAGGTGACTTTTCTCCCAGAATGTATCATGAAGCTTTGCTCCTGCGAGAGGTGCTCCTGGTTTAGAAACCATAGCTCTAGAGGGTGCCTCAGCAGCCAGCTGAGACCTTTGAGGGTTCTCTCTAGTCCAGAAGGGGCAGGATGAAACCAAGAACTGGCCTCCAGGGCTGCTGCTTAGTGTCACTGGTTCTTGGTGACCCCGGAGGGCATGGCTGATGCTCTGCCTACACAGATCCTTCAGAGTTTGCTTCATCTAGGTTGGTGGCTTGTGGAAGCTCAGTGTTTCTGGTGTTGGGTTTTAAAAGACAGCCACCTGGTATTAGAGGAAAAGCCCCTTCTTTGCTCTAAAAGGGACTGTTGTTCCCTTTTCTTATGTGGGTAGCTAATCCTTTTATTCACAAATAAACATTTAAAATTTTCTTCACTGTTGCTGAACTAAATCATTTGTTGACACCATCTTTTCCTCTAATCCTTTTTTGGACAAATTGCCACCTTTGTAGTGATTCTTTTGCATTTTCAAGGGCACGTACCAAATGGTTAATAACAACTTAGTGGCACAGTTTGAATTGTTAATTATGACTTCCCAGAAGTTTGGGCAGAAATGAGGTTTATTTTTCTTAGGTTATACATTATGTAAAACATTGTGTCCACAGGGTTCTGTGTGGTAACCTGACTGTTGATCTGAATGAGCAGTGCAGCTAAACAATTATGCTGTATTGTGAATACTGGTAGGCTGCATTCCTAATAATATTTATTATTATACAATTTAAAGCTTGGACTTTCTCTTTCATTTTGATGTCCATAACCCAACTCTGAAAGCAAAATAGTGACATTTGTATAATGTCACTTAAAATAGATAAGTCTAGTCTAATTAATATTGTTGTTTATTATAAAATTCAAGACTGTTTAAATAATTGTAAGCTTCCAGAAAACTAATGAAATTTTATTTGCCAAGATGCATCCAGAAAATATATAGGAGTTGTGTTTGTTGGATTTTCTTCAACTATTATCTTTTGGGTTGCATGTTTGTGTCTTTGTTTTTTAGGATGTGGAGATCGATATTGAACTAGCTCCTGGAGATCAAACTAGCACCCCCAAAACCAAAGAACTTTCTGAGAAGGACATTGGAAACCAGCTGCACATGTTAACCAACAGACATGACAAATTTCTCGATACTCTCCGGGAAGTAAAGGTATATGTGCATGTTTGGAAGGGTAGTTGTTTTTTTTCTCTCCTGAATATTTTTGTCTTAAAAACTCAGAATCACTATAGTTCCACTATAGTTCCACTGTGGTTCTATAGTTCCAATGCCAAGTTCCTTTTGAAGAATGGAAGAGTACACAGTGAAAACTCTGTTCATACCAGGAATTTAGTGGAAAAAAATTTTTAATTGCCTCTTACAAATAATTTTTACATTTCAGCTCTCCTAGTGATTTTCTCATGACCCATCCTGAATTTCTGCATGAAATAATACTTGTGTCAGTGACACCATTGTGGTGCTGAAGCATAAAGTGCCTGGTCTTCAGTTGCATGCAGCATCCTTATATGGTGGCATGCTCTCTTGTCACAGACTGAGAACATTAACAGACCTCTGTCTCTCCCACCATCACTGCCAGAAAGAAGGGCTGTGGACCCATACTCTAAACCCAAAGGCCCTTTTGTGGCCAGTCCTCCCCGTAGATGCTGACTCATCTACATGCCTGGATTTAGGTGATGGTCTCTCAGTGTGGAAGCTCTAGAAGTACATTGCCACAGGTGTCATTGTTTGGCTTTACACATTTACGTTTTCTCCTTGACTGGATTAGTTGTGGCTCTGTACCTCAACATCTCCTTTAGGGTTTTTCTGTCCTCTAGTCTGTGGTTGGGGTTGATAGAACATGGCTACACTTGGAGGGTCTTGCCCACAGGCAGCCTCTTGGCGCTTTCTTGATCAAGAGATCGTGGCTTGTTCTTCTGGGTCCTGCCCTGTTATAAGAGAATTACTCAGGCTATACTATAGTCTCATTTTCCTAGCTCACCTCTTTTACATTTTATCTTAGTCACTCAGCAGGTGTTTAATGACTCCCTGCTGTGTATAAGGCATTGTTTCTGGGCAATGGAAATATTACTGAGTGAAACAGGCAAGAGTCCTCATCAGACTTTCATTTTACTAGGGGAAATAAGTGATACAGGGACAGAAAAATATAAAATCAGTGTATGCTACCTTAGGTGGTGGTGGGTGCTATGTAGGAAAACAAAGCAACCAGAGGTGCTAGGGAGTTGGAGAATGATGTTCATATTCTTTCATTTCATGTATTTATGGAAGTTATTTTTTTATATTTATATTTCATAGGGCACAGTGGGATTACAAATTATTATAGTCAGTTTCAGTCCTGACTTTCTAATTCCCAGAACTCTTCTGCTTACAAAGAGGTCATGAGACTAGAAGGCATCTGTGTGGGCCCTTCATACCAGGCACACCTGCTCTTTTCTCTGCCGTGGGCCTTTTGTCCCAGCATGGACAGTTACTCTGGGAAATCTGTTGAAGCCAGTGCCCCACCTGGGCCCCCTGGTATTGTGGGCCCACCACAGCCCCCAGACACTACTTTGCCTCTCTTTGTGATCTTGTGTAAATGAGAATAAACCACAAATCCGTGGGATCCCCTTCTCATGGCTCCAGACAAACTTTTTTTATTGGCAGCTCTGTGACTGCATGTGGCTGGTCAGCGCTCCTAGCCTCTGCCAGAGGCTATCGACTTGAAGCCAGAAAGCACCTACCAAGAAGTGTGTAGCCATGTGAGGTCACCCAGGCTGGTTTCATCATGGTCTTCCTTATGGGGTAGTCTTCATATCAAATGCTCAGGAGTATCCCTCATTTAAATGCTTTTACTCATTTTCCTTGAAATGTTTGCATCCTTTGTTTCTACATTTTTAATATGGACATGGATATGTGGGTGATTGACCTTCTTGTATCTGCTGTGGCAGAAAGGAAAGCATAGCCATGACGTACATGTCTCTGAGACTGTCCATGTTGGAGGCAGCAGGGTCTGTGGTGGGCTGACAAGCATATGCCGAGGCCCTTCAGCATCTCCTTGATACCCTGTGGGGGAGGTGGCTCCATGGGCTTCACACACTGTTAACCTGGCTGTTTAGAAGAAATGTTGGCAGCAGCTGATTCAGATTTTCAAAAACAGCAAAACTGGGCAAAATCAAATACTCTGTGAGTTTGACATGCCCTTTTCTACCTCCAGCGACATTAATCGAGTCCTCCTGTCGCTTTTTCCGTGTCTTATCCACTGTCAATGTCAGAGACCGAATTTTCACAATTTTTGATTTGTTCTTCAGAATTGTAAATTGTACCTGCTGGCAAATAGCTTCACCTCCATATGCATGTGCTTTCCCTACTTTATATTTTCATTGGCCTAAGCTTTGATGGTAGCTGAGTACCTCTTCTTTGCACTTTCAGTGTTGGCATTGTGTTGTGCTTCTCAAACATGGTAGAATCAGTAATGTTAGGAAATAACCTTAAAAGTCCAGAAAAAATATAGGTGTATTATGGAGCCCCTCACCCAAGTCTGTGGTTCTCTGCTGCTCAGCACACTACAGACCTGACTGTGAGGACACTTTCACCCTGACATGGTATTTGCTCAGGACTTTGAAGGTATGGAAGTGCGCTGATAGAGTGGGGAACAGGTAGTGGTCTCCTGAATGTGGTGGGGTGGCACTTGAGAAGTTTTAGCATCAGCTGGTATCCATCTAGACTCATCTTTTTTCTTTCTGTAGACTGGAGCACTGCTCAGCGCTTTTGTCCAGCTGTGTCACATTTCCACAACACTGGCAGAAAAGACATGGGTCCAGCTTTTTCCTAGATTGTGGAAAATTCTGTCTGACAGACAGCAGCATGTGAGTATGTTTTTAAAATTTTGCTTTGCAAAGTGTAGTTTCAGTTTTTTGATATTTATGGAAAATAATGTTGGTGAAGAAGTTTCAAAACATAAGAAAACTAATGACTACTATCTAAGTGTCAACTACCAGAATATTCCCAAGTCAGCTGTGAGAGCACAGTAATGATGTGGTTTGAATGAAGAATGAATAAGTATGCTCTTTGCTTCCAGGCCCTTGCAGGTGAGATCAGTCCCTTCCTGTGCAGCGGCAGTCACCAGGTGCAGCGCGATTGCCAGCCCAGCGCTCTGAACTGCTTTGTGGAAGCCATGTCCCAGTGCGTCCCTCCAATTCCCATCAGACCCTGCGTCCTGAAGTACTTGGGGAAAACACACAACCTTTGGTTCCGCTCCACATTAATGCTGGAGCATCAAGCTTTTGAAAAAGGTCTGAGTCTACAGATTAAGCCAAAGCAGACGACAGAATTTTATGAGCAGGAGAGTATAACTCCACCTCAGCAGGTGAGGCCTCACCTCGTTTTAATACCGTGTCCTTTCCAGTGACTATAGTTTCAGTAAACATCTCCCGAGTGAATTTAAGTTATAATAAGTACACCAGAGTTGCTTAATTGAAGAAAAACAATTTTTTTTCTATAATGATCACTCAGAAACCATGCTCTGTGTTTTCAGGAGATACTGGATTCCCTTGCTGAGCTTTACTCTTTATTACAAGAGGAAGATATGTGGGCTGGCTTATGGCAGAAGCGGTGCAAGTATTCTGAGACAGCAACTGCCATTGCTTATGAGCAGCATGGATTCTTTGAGCAGGTAGCCACTGTCAGTAGCTTGGCTGCATGGTTGGTGAATGGTCATTTGTCATATCCTAAATATAATATCCAAGTCAAGCCTTGTTAACTACATTTACAGTTTTATTTGAAGCATTTATGCTACTCATAAATGTCCTTTGGTTGAAGTCTCAGTTCAAGAGAAACATGCATGTGTGATGGCATTTCTAAAGCATGGTCCTTAAATCCTTTTGTTAATTGTTAATTTGTATGCTCTTTGTCTGCAGTCATTGGCCCTGTTGGAAATGGTGGATAGATTGCATCTAGTATTTACATTTTAATCCTGTGCAAGTCCTCTCATTGTAGCTTGGGCCACCATCATGGGACATGGTTCTTGGCCTCCTGTGGAACATTGAGGCTCCCAAACTGGAATATAGACATGGGCTTGGCCCTGCTCTCTCTGCTGAAGGTTGGAGAAATTAGCCCAGGTCTAGGCAGTCTCATCTCCTTTCATTTTGTTCTCCCATTTTCATCTGTTGTGTATGAGTAGAGAATTTTGGTGTCATGGCTCCTAAATTAGCAAAAACTTTGGAAATGCTTATAGTTAAATAGCTATTTGCATTGTTATTAACTTTTTTAGGCACAAGAATCCTATGAAAAGGCAATGGATAAAGCCAAAAAAGAACATGAGAGGAGTAATGCATCGCCTGCTATTTTCCCAGAATACCAGCTTTGGGAGGACCACTGGATTCGGTAAGCAGAAAAGTGTTTGATATATTCACAAATCAGTTAAAGGAACCAGTGAAAAGTATGAAATTTTTTTATAATGAGTGTTTCTAAAAGTGACTTTACTCTTTTCTTTATGGCCCTATAAAAGAACAATAAAAGTCTAAGAATAGCTTTTAAAGTCTTGAGTTACTCAGAGTGTTTCTTGGAGATACAGTGCATGATTACTGCCTTTCCATATAGCTCTGGAGCATCTAGCTCTGCTGTGTAGTGGCCAGTTCTTGGTGCACCAGGGAGCAGTTTCTTGCAGAGGGCAGGTAGTCAGTCCATTCTTACGGAGCAGTGGACATTCCTCAAAAGCCTACCTTCCCTGTGTGGGGGAAAAATGTCTTTATTCCTTTTGTGGGATAGGAATAAACTAGTTAAAATCCTGTCTTCTGCCCTTTTTGAATTTATTAATATGTTAGTAACTGAGCTTTTGCGACTGAATCCCTGGTCTTATAGGTGCTCGAAGGAATTGAACCAGTGGGAAGCCTTGACAGAATACGGCCAGTCCAAAGGTCATATAAACCCATATCTCGTCCTGGAATGTGCTTGGCGGGTGTCCAACTGGACTGCCATGAAGGAGGCATTGGTGCAGGTGAGATGTCCCTCTTACCTCTAGCAAATTGTTGACCCTCAAATGCCCAAAAATAGATGACTGGATCAAGAAGATGTGGTACATATACACAAATGGAATACTATTCAACAATCAAAAAAAGATAAACTAATTCCATTCGCAGCAGCATGGATGGAGCTAGAAGAGATTATGCTCAGTGAAATGTCAGAAGGAAAAAGAAAAATATTGGATAGATTCACTTATAGGCGGAATATAGGGAAACCAAAAATAAGGGATCAGGGGAAAAAATAATAATAAACAAAACAAAAATAGACAACTATAAAACAGACATTCTGTGGGGGAGGGGGAGGGCAAGGGATCAAAACAAAGGCAGAAAGAGTACAAGTGACTGTGGCGATAGTGCACAGGTGAGCTGGTGGTGGAAATTCTGTGGGGACTACACCTGAGAAAAGAAAGCAAACACTGTAAAAAAAAAAAAAAAGAAAACAATGTTGTAAAATATATATAAATAAACATTTTTTTAAAATAGCCAATCATTAATATAGGTAAAAGTACATGTGTTTTGCTGTTGGAATGCATTTACAGTTAATAATGTTTTATTGATAAAACATTCTGCTAAATAAATGTATAGCTCACTCTATTTTTTTTTTTCTCCTTTCTAAGGCTTCACTTAGTTTCCCATTAAGTCTGACAACTGAATTTCTATTTTCACAAAGTCTTTTCCCCCAAAATTGTAAGGAACTTACTGGTTAGAAAAAAGCTAAAAGTATGTGAATAAACTATTCTGAGTAAACTGCAGTAAATTTATTTCAAATGGTCCCAATAGTGTCACCTACTCATTTGTCTATATTTAAAGGGGGGGAAAAATCAACAAGCTATTTGTTTTTTTGTTTTTCTTGTTCCTGTGTACTGCACTTAAAGTACTTGGTTTGATGTAGTTAATGGAATTTTTTTCCCATGTGGAGGGGAAAAAATAGAATTTTTTTGTTCTTAGTGTTACAGAGGATAGGAATTGTGATTACAATAAACTATCTGAAATAGTGTTGAAAATGTGAAATTGGTGTGATTTTAGAGTATGGTGCTGGAAGTAGATGTGTTCACAAGCTTGTCTTCCTGAATTTCTTCATCATTGGATTATTGGGCTTTATATAAGAGGGGCCATGGATGTGAACATACGCTGAAAAAGTACAGTGTCAGGGAATAAGCAAGCCCAACTGTCATGTAAATGTAACGTGGTATTGTTGTTATTCTTGATGTCATTTGAACAGATAGTATTATGGCATTAAAATGTGTATAACTTTTGTTGTTATTTCCCAAAGGTGCTTTATTGATCTTGTCACACCAGCCCTATAAAGTTCCCTTAACAGATATTCATCTTCTTATACACGGATTTTAAAAAGAGTTTAATTTTTCATCACTTACATTTCTATTAGAGTTTGATAAATGTCCTGTTAGACTTTGATAAAGTTCAATGATGAGTTCTAACGCTTTCTTTGGAGGTTGTGGGTAGATAGGGTTCAGGGGCAGAATGTAGAGCCTTTGCCTTGCTTTGAGATGCATGTATGGGGCCTGGAAGAGGAAATGTAACAGCTCCAGACTTAATCTACTTCACAGTGGAACTGATAAGCAAGATACATGAAATCCGGAGGAAATTTTATAGTAGATGATAAAATGTGGCTCTTAATGAGTTAAAGTTTTTAATGTTCACTCATATTCTTATAAACTTGAGTCACTGCCCTCTTTCCCTTGAATGATGTGGTATGAGTTGATTAATTTTTCAGGATAACATAAGAATTGAAAGCAAAAGTTATACTGATAATTGTCAGCATGGGGATGATCATATATTTAATACTTAATTCACTGGCTGATTTTTGTAGCCAATTAGTGATTGTTAATGTGGTCTGTCTTAATAGTATTGATCAATTTCCCCATTTGGGGGACCTACTTAAGACCTTAAGCAATGAGCCTGTGTCATTCCTTTGTATCTGGAAGTTAGACACTCACTGATATTCAGAAAAGTTAAGTTTTCAGGAAGAAAAAAAGTCTAAATGTGTGACTTCTCTAAAGAAAACAAACATCTGTTTATAACTTAATTTCTATTTATTGTTTTGCATAATTTATGGCCACAAAAATTTTTGACTTTCCATTTTTGACCCTTTACACTTTACACTGAGAGGGAGAATGTCATTGATGTTTATGTAATGTCCTTTTACCACCAGGTAGAAGTAAGTTGTCCAAAGGAGATGGCTTGGAAGGTCAACATGTACCGAGGATACCTGGCTATCTGCCACCCTGAAGAGCAGCAGCTCAGCTTCATCGAACGCCTGGTCGAAATGGCTAGCAGCCTGGCCATCCGTGAGTGGCGGCGACTGCCCCATGTGGTGTCACATGTGCACACACCTCTTCTCCAGGTAGGTACAGTGTCGTCCCTACACAGTAGGCCCATCACAGCAGAGGGCTGTGGCCATACACTGTCTCTAGACTTCGGCAATGAACTGAGCTGGATAGATAATCAGAGACCAAACTCCTTCCACTTGTCTTAACCTTTCCTGTTTAAACTCATCCTCATTGAAAGGAAGAACAGAGTCTAAATGTAGAGGAATAAAATGTTGCTTCTCATCTTTGGAGCTTCTGAGAGATCTAAGTGAGAGAAGACATTAAGGAGTGATTTTTATGGTTTTCCTTTTTGCATTAGAAATTTTCTGTAATGTCCACTATACCACCCTCAGTGTAAGGCCACTCTTTAGTCTAAAAATGTTTCTCATCCTCTTGAGAATTTCATGACTACAGGCCAAATACCCTATGCTGCTTTCTTTTTGTATCATCTTCACTGTTTCTGACAGTTTGTTCCAGCCGCATGAGCCACCATTCAGGAGCTGGACTCTAAAGCATTCTCTCCCCACAATCCTTTTCACATGTTATTCCTCTCACAGAACACACTTGTTTCCCACACCTCCCAGTCTGTACCCCATGAGTTTGTGCATGCGTGTGTGTGTGTGTATGTGTGTGTGTGTACACACACACAGAGTCTGCTAGCTCTGCTGTTTTTTCTGGTGCCTGGCACAGAGCAGCTACCCATGAGTAATATTGTAGGCTGATAAGAATAGTGATTCAGAATGATCACACTTTTTTTTTCTTGAAAGAATATCTTCAAGACTAAACTGGTATATTAACTTCAATCATGATATATTGCTTATTAATGTACTTAGGTTTTCCTGTCTTCATAGCTCATTGAAACAATCGCTTGTTTTAGTTTCCCTTTTTGTATCTAGTTTTGCCCTTTTTGCAGATCTATAGCATCTCTAATTTAGATTATTAAAATACATGAAACTTTTTGTTAAGAGTAGGTTTTTTCCCTCCATGTTGTCTAAACATACCAAAAATGGGTTACCTATTGTAACTAATAGGAAAAAGTTGCAACATGTAAATGGGAAAAGACTATCATTGCAAAAAATTGGGAGTGACTAAGCATTTTGAATAACAGTTGTGAAAAGTTATTGTGCACTTACATATTTAAAGCATGAGTGTAAAATGCAGTATTTCAGACAATCTGATAGAAATATTTTGGAAATAACCCAAATATCTGTCAGCTGACAAATGAGTAAATAAAATGTGGCTCATACATGTCATGAAATATTGTTCAGAAATACAAAAGAAATAAAGTGCTGGTACATGTCACAGCATGGATAAATCTTGAAAATAATTAGCTTAGTGAAGAAGCTAGACAGAGATAGACACATATTGTGTGATTCCATCTTTGTGAAATGTCCGGAATAGGTAAATCTCTAGAGATAGAAAGCTGATAGTGGTTGTCACTAACTGGGGGAGGGAGTTTGAAGAGTGGCTACCAGAGGGTACAGGGTTTCTTTGCGAATGGTGTAAATGTCATATAATTAGTTAGTGGTGATGGCTGTACAATTCTGGCATGTACTCCAGACTACTGGTTTTGATGGTATTTTAATTCTATCTCAGTGAAGCTGTTATAAAACACTCCGTTCTGTTTTCAGTAAGCCTTTGGTTAAGGAAGCATTAGGTTAAAGTCTTTAAAAATCTTAATGTAATAAACTAAACTTGAAATACAGGTGGAAAACAAGTTTTTAAAATTAAGATAAAAGAAGATAGTACTGAAGTAAGTGCTGTGTTTGAGAGATTTAAAAAAGTTCTAAACAGATTCAGTGACCTCTAACTAAAGGAGATGACATATCCACAAGAAGCATAAAAATAAAAGGGAAGACCTCCCCCGGTGGCGCAGCAGGTTGAGCACCGTGCTGTGAAGCTGTCCGCAGCCTCTGCAGTGCGGGTTCAATTCCCAGCTGGCTAAGGAGATACCCACATGGTGCGGCAGACCTCTCCTGCCTCACCCGCTGCTCCTCTCAGTAGTGTCTTAGGTCCGTCTGCCTGTTCTGCTCCCCGCTCTGTCTCTGGTGAATTCTCTCACCCTCCCATGCCTCTGACTGTACCCCAGTTCTTGTATAAACAAATAAATCTTTAAAAAATAATAAATTTCCACTGTTAAAAAATAAAAGGGAGACTGTGATTCAGTGCTCAACAGGTAGGATAGAAGATAAACATAAACATTTAAGGAGAGAAACTTGGTAGGTAGAATTTGGGTATTGTCAGTATTATGGCCATGCCATTCCTGGTAAGGACAAAAAGTTTGGAGCCAGCAATCCACCTGGGGTATAAGGAATGTTATTGAAAAGGTATGTCATCCCTGCAAGATCCCCAGAACACATATTAAGATACTTAATGTGACTGTGTGATTTAAAATAAATGTTGATAGAAGGAAAGCCTGAGAGCTGAGAGGACTAACTATTCTATTTTAGATATTGGTAGACAAAGAGCCAGACTTAGTTGGTAGAAAGAAAATGGAAAAGAAAGAATAGTTTTGGGGCTACCCATTAGCAAGATTTGGTGTCTACACTGTTCTTCCAATTTTCTACCTTGCGGTAGCCAGAATCAAAGTTTGAAAATTACGAGAATAGTGTTTAAAATGGTGTTACATGTCTAAGGTGTCTGTTTAAGTTGGAGTGCGTCCTTTGGTGATTGAATCATGATGTCCTTATAGTAACTAAATTCCTGATTGACTCTGGCTTGTTTTTCTCACTTGGTCTTTTAATACAATGCTTTCTGTGGAACACCTCATGCCGGTCCCATTTAGGCAGCCCAGCAAATCATTGAACTTCAAGAAGCTGCACAAATAAATGCAGGCTTACAGCCGACCAACCTAGGAAGGAACAACAGCCTGCATGACATGAAGACGGTGGTGAAGACCTGGAGGAACAGGCTGCCCATTGTGTCTGACGACTTGTCCCACTGGAGCAGCGTCTTCATGTGGAGACAGCATCATTACCAGGGTAAACCTACCTGGTCCGGCATGCATTCATCATGTAATTTTCTAGACACCCACTGTTCTGGTTTCATGTCTTGGTTTCGTTTTTTGGTTTTTTTTTTTTAACCAAAATTTTTTTTTACTGATATGGTATTTAGTGGTTGGTATGGCAAGGGTAAAGATGAAGCTGTGAAAGATGGAAAGATTTCATCCCCCTCACACATATGACCCATTATATTTTTCTAGCTATTACAGAACCAAGAATTGCTAGTTGCTCCCTATTGCGTGAGGGGCACAGACCAGTGGGATTAGAGCTCTGGGTTGTACACTTACTGCTTTGCAGCCTTCCCCCCACCCCCCAAAAAAAATTCAAGGTGACTCTGTGTGACCTTTCCCAATCTTCCTGATCCCCTCAACCTGCCAGACACCTATTTGTTTAGGAAAATCTTTTTGATATAGTTAGCCAAGATGGTAACACTCAGTAGTTAGTACTTTTTATATTTTAATTTTGATACAAAATACAGGGGAAAATGATGAGGGTTTATCACAGAACTTCCTGTTTTCATAAGCCGTGTGTGTGTTTTTCATTTTTTACTTAAATCTTATTGTAAAACACTTTCTATAACATATGACATGCACTAATGACTCATTTCTTTGCTCTCTAGCCATTGTAACTGCATATGAAAATAGTTCTCAGCATGATCCAAGTTCAAATAATGCCATGCTTGGAGTTCATGCATCAGCTTCAGCAATTATTCAGTATGGAAAAATTGCCCGAAAACAAGGATTAGTCAACGTAGCTTTGGATATATTAAGTCGTATTCATACTATCCCAACTGTTCCTATTGTGGATTGCTTCCAGAAGATTCGACAGCAAGTCAAATGTTACCTGCAACTGGCAGGAGTCATGGGGAAAAACGAGTGTATGCAGGTAAAGTGCCACAAGACCCAGTGCCTGCCCTTGAGCTTCAGATCCGGTGAAGATGGACATCTTCTGGTTTAGATCATAGGAAGGAAGATTAGAACTTATTTAAATACATCCTTAGTAGTGGGAAACTGTCCTTTCAAAATAAGAAAGAAAAGGAAACCATTTGAGTATTTGTATTTTTTTTTTTAAGATTTATTTATGCATACAAGAACTGGGGTGTAGGCCAAAGGTGTGTGGTGAAGTGAGAGGATTCACCAGAGACAGAGCAGGGAGCAGAACAGGTGAATCTACTGAAATACACTGCTGAGGGGAGCAACAGATGAGACAGGAGAGGTCTGCTGCGCCATGTGGGTCAGCTCCCTGGCCAGGGATTGAACTTGTGCTTCAATGGCTGCCGATAGCCTCATAGTGCTGAGACTTAACCCCTTGTGCCACCAGGGAGGCCCCTCATTTGAATATTTTAATGACATTTTAGGTTTCTATTCTACCGTATACTTAATGTATTTAAGGAACAAAAACTGGGCCTCCCTGGTGGCGCAAGGAGGTAAGCACTGCATTGTGAAGTGATCCAAAGCCTCTGCAGCACGAGCTTGAAACCAGCCGGCCAGGGAGCTACCCACATGGCGAAGCAGACATCTCCTGTCTCTCCCGCTGCTCCCCTCAGCAGTTTTTTTCAGTTAGTCTGCCTGTTCTGTTTTCCACTCTGTCTCTGGTGGATTCTCTCACACCCCACATCTCTGACCTGTACCCCAGTTCTTGTATGCATAAGTAAATAAATCTTTAAAAAAAAAAGGAATAAAAACTGCAGAATTAATAAGAGCAATGGGTAGATTTTGGCTTTGATCAGAGGAGTACTTTAAAAAAAATGAAACTGACTAGACCTAGAAGCTTTGGAGACAGTATTTTAAAATATTGGTTCAGTAAATTACTGATTTGATTGAAATACTAATTTGTCAGTCAACAAACACAATAGGCATGTTTGTTGCCAATTTCAGGTATACTCATTGATGACATTTAGAATTTATCACCTATCTTAGATAAATATTTTAATAAAATTTTTATATAATTGTCTAGGTAGTCTTAATTTTTTTTTAATTTATTTTAAAACAGGGCCTTGAAGTTATTGAATCTACAAATTTAAAATACTTTACAAAAGAGATGACAGCTGAATTTTATGCACTGAAGGGGATGTTCCTGGCTCAGATCAACAAGTATGTATATTACATAGGAGTAGGATAAGAACTTGGTTACTAAAGTTATTTATAACTTGGCGCCAAAAGTGAAGTTTAAGCTAGAAAATGCTATGAATTAGTGATAGTCATTAGATATGACAATGTCAGATGTTACACCTCTGTGAAGACAGTATGTTGCAGCAGATTGAGAAGATAGTTTGATGTGTATCTCTTGAAAGACGAAAAGCAAGTTGCTTGTATGTGGAAACTGCTGATAACATGGATTCATTGCCCCACTTTCTCAGCATGCCATTTTGGAATAGAGTTATTTCCTTTTATGAAGATGATTCTTGTTTTAAAGCCAGGAGATCCGAATCTAACCATTGTATGGTTTGCATAAATACTGTATTGAAACAACCCACACCATTGACGTCTGTGATTGCTTTTATGCTGTAGCCACAGAATAAAGAAGTTGTGACAGAAAATGTGTGGTTCACAAAGCCTAATGCATTTACTATTGCATTGGGACCCATTACTGGATAAGGTTGTAGAACCCATTTTTAGGAAAATGAACAAATGGGATTTTGTAAAAAAATGTAGAGACGAGTTATAGTTTCACATATATCGCTTTAAAGCCCATTTTTCATTTTTAATATATAGGGGTTAATATTTTTCACTCATTTTTAAATAAGGAGGTGATTTTGCTAATATAAAAGGGTTTTCTCTTTAGTATTTTAAAATCATTTGATATAAAATATACCATTTGAAAGTGTACAATTGAATTTTCATATATTCACAATTTTGTACACCAATTCTAGAACATTTCCTTCATCCCAAAAGAAACTCCATATCCATTAGCTATCACTCCCTGTTCTCCCTCACATTGTCCCCTGACAAATCCTGTTCGCTTTCTATCTCTGATTTGCCTTTCTGAACATTGCATATAAATGGTCATGTATAACATGGTCTTTTGTGTCCAGCTGCTGTCACTTAACATGATATTTGCAAGGTTCATAGCAAGTGTCAATACTTCATTCCTTCTTGTGGCTGATAGTATTCCATTGAGTATTCATACATTTTATTAAACCATTCAACAATTGATAGACATTTGATTTGATCCCATTTGGGGGCTAGTATGAATAATGCTGCTAGGTACAAGGTTGTATGTGAGCATGCTTTCATTTCTCTGGGATATGTTCCTAGGAGGGGAATTGCTGGGTCATATGGTAACTGTTGCCTCAAAAATTTGAGAACCTTTCTGACAGTTTTCCATAGTGGCTGGCACCATTCTGTACTCCCACCAGCGTGATGGTGGTTCTGTTTCTACACATCCTTCCCAGCATTTGTTTTTATTATTTTTCTGATTATAGCCATACTTGAGTATGAAGTGGTATGTCATTTTGGTTTTGATGAAGTCAAATTTTCTTTGTCTTTTGTAGCTTGTGCTTTTGATGTTATTTCTAAGACCCCATTGAGCATTTACTCCTGTGATTTCCTCTAAGAGTTTCATAGGCTTACCTCTTCATAATCTTACTTGATAAAATCCAACACCCTTGCATGAGAAAGAAAAAAAAAAACAGTTTTACTTTTTCTTATTCCTGATCTCTCTTTTCATGAGACAAGAGGTAATGGTTCAGTTTTCGCAAATGTGTGTATCCCATTGTCTCAGCACCATTTGTTGAGAAAACTATTCTTTCCCTATTGAGTGGCTTTGGCACCCTTGTTAACCATCAGTTAACTAGGATAGGTTTATTTCTGGACACTCAATCCTGTTCAGTTGATAGTATCCTGCCACTACCACACTGTCTTAATTACTGTGGATTTGCAGTCAGTTTTGAAATTGGGAGGTCTTCAACTTTGTTTTTTGATTTTCAAGATAGCTTTGGCTATATTGCATCCCTCCATTTTAATACGAATTTCAGTTTACCCATTTCTGCCAAAAAAAAAATAAAATAAGGCAGTTGGAATTATAATAGGGATTACAATGAATTGGTAAATTAATTTGAGAAGTATTGTTATAGTAGTAGTATTAAGCCTTTCATCCATGAACACAGGATATGTTTAGTTACATCACCTTTAGTTTCATTTAAGTGTTTATAGTTTTCAGTGTACAAGTGTTATATTTCTTATGTTAAAGAATGTTTTCTCTATATGAGATCATTTCATCTACAAATAGTTTTCACGTCTTCCTTTCCAGTCTGGATACCTTTGTTTCCTCATTTAGTTGTCCTGGCTAGGACTTCCAGTACTATCTTAAATCTTAAATAGAAATGGTGAAAGTAGGCATCCTTGTCTTATTCCTGATCTTAAATGAAAATCTCTCAGTTTATCACCATTGAGTTTGATGTTAACTATGGGCTTTTCATAGATGGCATTTACTATATGGAGGTAGTTTCCCGCTATTCCTAGTTTGTTGCATGTTTTCCTTGTGAAAGGGTGTTGGATTTTTCAAGTAAGATCATGATTTCTCTTTCTTTTCTGCTTATGTGGTTTATTCCGTGGATTGGTGTTTGTGTGTTGAACCTCCACCTTGCATTGCTGGAAAAAGTCCCTCTTGGCCATGGTGTGTAATCTTTTTAATATGCTGCTGGATGTGATTTGCTAGTATCTTGTTGAGTTTGTTTGCCTCTAAATTCATAAGGAATATAAGTGTAGTTTTATGATGTCTTGTACATTGTTGGCATGATAGTAAGGTGGTGTAACTGTTGTGGAAAACAGTTTGTTTGGCAGTTACTAAAAAAAAACAAAACAGAATTATGACTCAGCAGTTACTCTCCAAAAATATTGAAAACAATTGCATATGCAGGTACTTGTTCATGAATGTTCCTAGCAGCTCTTTAATAACCATCAAAATGTCAAAACAAATCAAATGAATGGATAAAGCAAATGTGCAAACATACAATAGTATTGACCAATAAAAAGGAATGAAGTACTGACACATAGGCCACATGGATAAACCTAGAAAATGCAGAAACTAGGCACAAAAAAATCAATTTTGGGGGTTCATTTGTCTGAAATATGCAGATTAGGTTAAGTCCGTAGAGAGAAAGCAGATTTGAGGTTGGAGGGAATGGAGAGTAGTGACTGCATGTTTAGGGGTTTTATTTTGGGGTATGAAAAGTTTTGGAACTAGATAAAAATGATAGTGGCATAACATTTTGAATATACTATATGCCACTGAATTATTCGCTTTAAATGGTTAATTTTCCATTGTGTGAAGTTCATCTAAAAAGGATTTTTTTTATTATTTTGTGTCCTTGCAGATCTGAAGAAGCAAATAAAGCCTTTTCTGCAGCTGTGCAAATGCATGATGTGCTGGTGAAAGCATGGGCAATGTGGGGCGATTACCTAGAGAACATCTTTGTGAAGGAACGGCAACTGCATCTTGGAGTGTCTGCTATCACCTGTTACCTGCACGCTTGCCGGCATCAGAATGAAAGCAAATCAAGGAAATACTTAGCCAAGGTGAGACCAAAAGTATTCTGGTAGCCTTCAAGTTTGCATAAAAGTTCAGCTATATACTAATTCATGCTGTGTGTGAGATGTTATTTCATGCCTTAACACTTGAAGTCTCTTCCGTAATTCCATTTTAAAGCTCAGGAGGTGAACCTGTATATATGGGGTCACAGGACTTGTGTCAAGACCAAGCCTGGAATCTGGGTCTTAAGGTCTCAAGTTTAGTGTCTTCTGTGGGATCTCATACTGAACAGAGATTCCTACAGACTGGTAAGAGGTCTTGCCAGAATTTACCTGCTAGATGCTCGTTAGAGTCTAATCTCTTACTGAGGGGACAGAGCCATGTCATTGAATCATGTGATTTCTGCACACACTTCAGGGTGAGGTCTGCCTGCCATTCTTGTTCTACCTCACCCCATATAGCACTGGCATAGGGTCACAGCATACGCGGCACAACAGGTGTTTGCTTGAGATTAAGATTCCTTCTCGAGGTTGCTCCTCCTTACTCCTCCCAAGAAACACAGAAATAAAACTCAGCATTAATTCTTGCAGGGAAATTAAGAAAAGGTTGTGCTTTTCTGTTTTGTCCACTAAATGTGTGAAATTTTTAGAATTCCTTGATTTAATGCCATAATTTGAAATGTTCATCAACACCTAGTACTTCTACCTGTAATTTTTTTACTTCTACCTGTAATTTTTTCCAGACATTCATGGATATATCAGGCTGCCACCACTGCCAAACACCACTGTGGAGATTCTTAGCAAAAGTCTATATTATGATTTTGGTGAAATCACCAAGTGTAGCAGGTTGGCAGACTCTTGCCATCACCTGTAACCACTTTGGCATCACTGGCCACCACTAGCAAACAGATTGGATTCACTTAGTTACTGGTATTAAAGATAAATCTAGAGCCTCCCCTGGTGGTGCAGGCGGTTGAGCACAATGCAGTGAGGCTTTCCACAGCCTCTGCAGTGCTGGTTCAATCCCGGCCGGCCGGCAAGGGTCCCACATGGCATGGTGGACCTCTCCTGTCTTGCCCACTGCTCCTCAGCAGTGTATTTCGGTCCATCTGCCTGTTCTGTTCCCTGCTCTTTCTCTGGTGAAACCTCTCACTTCCCATGTGTCTGGCCTGTACCCTGGTTAAATAAATAAAAATAAATAAAAATAAAATAAATCCTTTAAAAAAAAATCTAGATAAAAACTGTATTCAAAATTTAGGTTTTAGGGCCTCCCCGTTGGCGCAGCGGTTGAGCGCTGGGTTGTGAAGCTGCCTGCAGCCTCTGCAGCGCCAGTTCGATCCCCGGCTGCTCCCCAGCCACCAGAGGAGGGTCCCACATGGCGCGCAGACCTCTCCTGCCGCCCGCTGCTCCCCTCAGCAGTGTACTTCGGTCCTTCTGCCTGCTCTGCTCCCCGCTCTGGCTCTGGTAAATTCTCTCACCCTCCTGCACTTCTGACTGTACCCAGTGCTTGTATAAATAAATAAAAAATAAATAAATCTTAAAAAAAAAAAAATATTAGGTTTTAGTTCTCTGTAAATTTATGTTAAGTTTAGAAATATCATTGACCCTCATATAGCTTTCTTTCTGTATTGCCAGTAAAACTACTTAATATAGTGTTTTAATATTGGGGAAAGGATATTTGATTAAGGGGTCTCAGAACTTTTATTCAACTGAAGAATTTTTCCTTCTATCTTCATAGGTGCTGTGGCTTTTGAGTTTTGATGATGATAAAAATACTTTGGCAGATGCTGTTGACAAATACTGCATCGGCGTGCCTCCCATCCAGTGGCTGGCCTGGATCCCACAGCTACTCACTTGCTTGGTTGGCTCCGAAGGAAAGCTGCTTTTGAATCTTATTAGCCAGGTGGGAATAACAGGATGTTTTTTGTTCACCAAAATAAGTATGTTTTCATTTCAAACTCTTTTTTTCAGAAAGAAAAGTGAATGCTGAAAGCATTAAAAATAAAGAGATGAAAAGATAGACACAGATATCATTATATAAAGCCCAATTTAAAGTGATTAAAAAAATATATCAGGGTTGAAATTAATCAACTACAGTGTTACTGTATTAAAACTGTAATGTCTTTGCTTGAACATATAGTAAGATGCAAGTGAAAATACACATTTTCTTAAAATGTAAGCTGTTGCCCCCAAGTTACTCATGTGAGAGGTACATGTAATTAGCATATTACAACTGATTTCCTGTCATGTACTAGGAGCTCTGAGATTTCCCTTAAGATGCAGTTTGGTCTGGAATACAGTACCTTTGGCTGTACCTTTTTTAATAAGAAGAAAGTCAGGTAACGTTTCATCATTAAATAGCACTTAAGGGACATGATGCTCATTGTTCTGTCTGTCTGGTTAAATTGCTGCTTACATGTGGTATACCAAAAATTTTGAACATCACAGTGGTTTCATTTTTTCTCTTGGTTTATGTTCCTGGATACCAGCATTTTTTTCTGGAATTTTATCTGTCAGGATGGAAAGTCATTCTTACTTGGTATGTCATTCATTGAAGTATGTTAGCCAGCCACCCTGTGGCTAAAATTAGCTATTACTCCTTTTTCTTTAATGGGCGCATATTGAAGGATCTGAATAACTTGATATCTTCTCATCTATAAAACCTCAATTTAATAAAACTGGTGTTCTTGTCTTCAGTAGAAAATTTTTGGTTATGCAGAGAAAATTTTTTTGCTGATTAACCTAGTTTTTAGTTAGAATCACTTTACATCCCTCAGTGCCTAATATCAAGACTGACTGGAATTATTTTGTGTTTACCTATTATTTGCCTAAGATCCAAGAACTTAATGTGTTTTGCCTCCCTCAGATTTATTGAATCAAATGCAAGTGCAGTTTCTCAGTCATGAATAGTCCCAAGGCAGAATTGATGAAGTCACCATGTTGGTCATTCTTGGATCTTTTGAAGCTAAACTAGATGTTTTACCTTCTGTTTCATCTGCCTCATGTGCAACATCAGTGGCCTAATAATTGCTTTCTTGGTTCCAATGCAAGCCAGCAACCCACCTAGGAGAACCATCACTTATTTTTAGTCCAAGTTGTCTTCATGCAGAAATACAGTGGTGAACAGTGCTCTTCATTCCTCCTGTCTCTGAGCAGGTTGGACGAGTGTATCCCCAAGCAGTCTACTTTCCCATCCGGACCCTGTACCTGACTCTGAAAATAGAGCAGCGGGAACGCTACAAGAGTGGTACGTGTCTTTCGGGAAAGCTGGCTAGGTCATGAAGGGTTCATTCCAGGGGGCATTTCGTGTCCCAGCTGCTGTGACACACTCCAGTTCCATGGTAACTTCCTAGTATGTGGCAATCTTTAATCAGTGAGAGGACACTTTGGAATCAGAAGGCAAAAACCCAAGTCTCTGAGTGATAGTTCTCCTTCCCTGTGAGATAACAAACAGGGTATTAGTTTACCTTAGTGATTTGGTCCATAAGTCAAAGAAGCATATGAAACTGTTAGCTATACATAATAATTTAAAAACTTAATTTGCCTCATTAGGTAGGATGCATAAGTGCCTCCTGATAAACAGCATGAATGTCATTTACTCTGTGTATGTTATTAGGGTTATATGGAATATCTTCAGCTGTCAGAAGAATCAGCATAGAAGTCAATCTTAGCACATGTAAAAATTTACTCAAAATACAAGCTCTTATACTGAGTAGTCCTAGTATGTAAAGAAATAACTTATTTAATAGTTTCAGTTACCCACTAAGCATGGGCTTTGTAAATAATGTTTTAAACCCAGACTTCATGCTTCAAGATAGAGTTTTTGCGAGAAGGTGACGTCATCCACTGGGCTATGGTGTCAGTGCCCACTTGTGACCTGTGTGGGTTCGGAGATTGTGCAGTAAATTTCAGCTCTGATCTTGAGGTCTGCCTTGCTATATTCATGTTTTGTTCATCTGAAAGTTAAGATATTTTTGTTCCAGGTGAGCTGAAAATGAAAAATTGGCATCATATTTCTCATACAGTAGATGCCTGTGTTTCTCAAAATTAGCATTTTGTGGAAGTGATTTGACTTTCCTAGATGAAATAATATAGATCTGCTACTTAACCTCTTCTAGATTCTGTGATGTGTAGTATAAAGATTGTATTATAAAATATTTTTTCAAGTATGAAAATACTTAAAGTTAAAAAGGGAGTGTACCATGAACACTCAAACACCCTCACTTTGATTCACCAGCTAGCATGCTGCCATGTTTGCTTTCTCTCCCAACATGAATGCTTTTCCATTTCACTGAACCATTTGAAGCCAATTTGTAGATGGTCACACTCTCTATAGTTGGTTTCCACAGCACTCCTCTCCTTAGAGCCAAGATCATCTCCCATGCAGTTCCAGGGGACAAGGTCTCGTGATGTGTAATGCCCGGCAGGAACCAGCGTTCCTCTGGCCGGTGGGTCCTCTAGAGCATGAGCTCTCACATTGGTCAGTTTTGCGCTGACATTGGCGTTGTGTGTGTTGCTCTCAGATTCTGGACAACAGCAGCCAAGTTCAGTGGGTAACCAGTCCCATTCTGCATCAGATCCAGGGCCCATTAGAGCAACAGCACCCATGTGGCGCTGCAGCCGAATCATGCACATGCAGCGGGAACTCCACCCAACCCTTCTGTCTTCTCTGGAAGGCATCGTCGATCAGATGGTCTGGTTCAGAGAAAACTGGCACGAAGAGGTATTTGGATATGACTCGGAAATGCTGGCTTCTTGGGGAGGCAATGTATTATTTTGCATGCTTTTGCAGCTATATTATCTCTAAATCAGCTGCCTGGTTATTTAAAATATTTATTAGTGTTGATTGAAAAATGGAACAGGCAAATAGTTGATATCTGCACACTAGTGCTGGCTCACATATTTGAAATAGAAGATTCCAAAAGAAAGTGAAATTGAGAATGTCATTTCTGGCCTTAAAATGTTTACTTGGCTCACTTGTGGGTGCAGTCATTTAACCACCACCAGTTGCAAGTAGCAGTGGAGGGTGTGAGAGGAACTGGGGCTTGGGTAACTCCAGAAGTGGGAGCTGGTTCTTCATTGATCTTGTCAGCAGCCAGGCCACCTTCATGGCATATGCTTAAGCTGATGACATATAAATCAGCCTTCATTGTTCAGATATTCTCCAGTTGGCCCCAAGCCCACTTGTTATCATCACTGTGTTTTGTGTGCGTACACAGACATGCAATAGCACTAAAGCTGTTTGAAAATAAGCTTTTTTCCATAGTTAATCATCAGAATAGTATGTGTATGACAAGAAATGGTTTTTGTTTTATGTTCTAGTACACACCCTCATTGTTAAAAATAAGACTCCCAGTGTGTGGCACAGAACATTCCATTCGTTCTGATTTTATACCTGCTACATGCTAGGTGCCCAGAGAAATAGCCCTGGCAGTGGCAGGAACGTGTTGGACAGATATATTTTGTCAGCACTGAGAACTCTTGTGAATTTTCTCTACTCTTTCCCACTAGGTTCTCAGGCAGCTTCAACAGGGCCTGGCAAAATGTTACTCGGTTGCATTTGAGAAAAGTGGAGCTGTATCTGATGCCAAAATTACCCCCCACACCCTCAATTTTGTTAAGAAGTTGGTGAGCACTTTTGGGGTGGGCCTGGAGAACGTGTCCAACGTCTCAACTATGTTCTCCAGTGCAGCCTCCGAGTCTCTAGCCAGGCGGGCGCAGGCCACTGCTCAGGACCCTGTCTTCCAGAAGCTGAAGGGCCAGTTCACAACTGGTGAGTCTCGCTTTGCTCTCCCTATACCTAGGTAAAGTTCCTCTTGCTGTTTTTCCTTAGTCTTTAACATCTGGTTGTATCCATTTGTTTTCATTATCACTGTATCAGGTGGACTGGTGGTACTGTGTCAGTAGACACAGATAACAGGGGACCCTGCTTCTAGCTCCCATGGCTTATATTTCCAACAGAAATGGTTGCTTTATCCTGACCTTCGCGATCTGGCCTGTTGGGATAAGAGTACCTCCCACCAGTGGTGCTAATCTGGGAAGGAATTGAGATTTTTATATATATATATATATATATATATATATTTAGATTTATTGATTTATTTATTTATTTTATACAAGCACTGGGTACAGTCAGAAGCGCGGGAGGGTGAGAGAATTCACCAGAGCCAGAGCAGGGAGCAGAGCAGGCAGAAGGACCGAAGTACACTGCTGAGGGGAGCAGCAGGCGGCAGGAGAGGTCTGCATGCCATGTGGGATCCTCCTCCGGTGGCCGGGGAGCAGCCAGGGATTGAACCGGCACTGCAGGGGCTGCGGGCAGCTTCTCAACCCAGCGCTCAACCACTACACCACCAGGGGAGGCCCGAGATTTTTTTTTTAAGGCAGAATTTTCCGTTTAATTGACATTTTACTCTAAATAAAATACGAGAGATTGTTCAGGGTTTTTTTAATTGCTTAAGTGAAAAAAATGCATGTTTCCCATTTTTGTCATTTGACTTCTTGCCTTAATTTCTTCTGATGAATTGACTTATAATTTAGTATCCTGGAGACATCCCCTTTTCTTCTTTAGCTTCAGGTTGATGCTGTGTTGGCTTTAGACACAAGGGTCTTATTTTGTCCTCATGATGCTCATTCTCAGAGGCAGCACTGCCATTGGCGCCATGGGCTCCAGGCCCCCTTCAGAGAGCTCCATGTCTCCACATTGAGATGGGGCCCTTCATCCTTTCCTGATGGGAGCCTGTTGTGACTGCAGATGCTGCAGTTGTTTCTCTCCTGCCCCTCCTCCCAGCCCACACTAAGGCTTCTGCTCTTTCAGACTTCAGTTTACACTTTAAAAAGCAGGGGGCATTTGAACTGCCATCTCCAGATGTAGGAGTAGCCTGTTTGCTAGCTGGGACGTGATTGAGCAGTGACTTTGTTTGTAGTGACTTAGAAATAACCCAGATGATTAAAAATGCTTTTCATGATATATTTTATTTTGAAGATTTTGACTTCAGTGTTCCAGGATCCATGAAACTTCATAATCTCATTTCTAAATTGAAAAAGTGGATCAAAATCCTAGAGGCTAAAACCAAGCAACTTCCAAAATTCTTCCTCATAGAAGAAAAGTGCCGGTTTTTGAGCAATTTCTCAGCACAGACAGCTGAAGTAGAAATTCCTGGGGAATTTCTGATGCCAAAGCCTACACATTATTATATCAAGATTGCTCGGTGAGTAAGTGTGTCTGACCCTGCACATGATCACTGATGTCCCTCCAGGCAAGCAGCATGAGGCCTTACTGTCTTCTGTCCCCTGGTTAGAAACAGCTCTGCTGCTTTTCACATCCAGAATTGGGTTTTCCCTTCCTCCAAAATGGGGTAGAAATAAATTAGCAAACGGCTACCTACTGAGTCCGTTTTTCCTTACCAGTTCTGACTTTATGAAGTTCCATTTTTGTCTCAAGAAGCATGGGATATTGAGAGTCAAGGAGTTGGTGTTTCACTGTTTATTTTGGTAGGTTTATGCCCAGGGTAGAAATTGTACAGAAGCACAACACTGCGGCCAGGAGACTGTACATACGCGGACACAACGGCAAGATCTACCCCTACCTTGTCATGAATGATGCCTGCCTGACTGAGTCACGGAGGGAGGAGCGTGTGCTGCAGCTGCTTCGCCTGCTAAACCCCTGTTTGGAGAAGAGAAAGGAAACCACAAAGAGACATTTATTTTTCACAGGTACAGGAGCTGCACTTGGGGGCACACAAGCAGCTCACACTGGCATCTGAGCATTTTCTATGTCAGCAGCTGAGGATGCGTGAGCTGTACCATAGAAGGCCTAAGATGAGGTCAGGCACTCCCAGGACAGAGCCTCAGCTCCTGGAACTGGCCTCTTTGGGCCTTTAGCTGCTCCCTGCAGAACTGGTACTTTGAGGAGAGTTTGGAAAACGTGGCGCTGTTCTGTGCTTACTTCCATGGGACCAGTGCACTCTCCAGCAAAACCACGACCAAGTGGAGGGCCCTTCACTGGTGCTATTAACACTTCAGTTTATAAGTGGGTTTTTGAATCTTCCTGGAACCCACACAGCCTTCCTGGGGTGAAATGCAAGACTTGGGAGGTCAACAGTTGGCAGCCTCTTATTTTGCAAGATTGCCTTCTAAAGAATTTCTGTTCATCTGTGTCTGAAACACAGAGTGATTGACAGTTCAGGCTCTGTCGTGCGGTAGGTTGAGCTTTGTGCCACATGTGAGTCAGTGGGGTGGTATTGACCAAAAAGTTCTTTAGATTTGCTTTCACACATACATCTGCTCTCAAAGACTGAATTGTCTCTGTTCCTGGGACATCCCTAAAGGTAAAGTCAAGTGATGACCTGTGGTTATTCTCTCTCAATCTGTCCTCCATTTCTCTTACCCTTTCTCCTCAGTACCACGAGTTGTGGCGGTATCGCCACAGATGCGCCTTGTGGAAGACAATCCCTCCTCCCTCTCCCTGGTGGAGATCTACAAACAGCGCTGTGCCAAGAAGGGCATTGAGCACGACAACCCCATCTCCCGGTACTATGACAGACTGGCCACAGTGCAGGCTCGAGGGACCCAAGCCAGCCACCAGGTATGAATCAGACACAGTCAAGGTTGTGAGCTGCCACCATGTGCTTAGAAAAGTAGCAGGGGTTTTCAGAAACTGTAATGGTAGAAATTAGATGAAGTGGCATTTGCTGCAGACCATTTGTTGTGCAGAACAAAGGGGTAAGCTTTCAGCTTTGGGAAGGTTTATTTGTTACCTATATATAAAGAAACTAAGAAATTAGGATATTAAAAATAATTTTGTGGTAAACTTATTTGGTAACAAGATCAGATCTAAGCAATATGAGGCTCTTCCTCCACTTAATGCTCACAGTCACCTGGGTTATGGCTGGGAGAGTCAGGGAACATAAGTCTCTATACCATATGTACTTTCTAAAATAAAAAAGTGGTGAACCCCAAAACACATCGACTCCAGCTATTCAGTTACCTGGGGAGAAAGTTGCCCACAGTGGGAGTTCTGGATGTGCACTCAAGGGCCTATTTGCAAACAGATGCTTACATCAGAATTTTCCCTACTGTTTGATAAACAATGTGTATAACTGATGAAGCCCATGATTGATCCAGCTTATCACAGTTCCAGGGTCCTGCTGGGCCAGATAGAGATGCTGACAGTAATATAGAATAAGTCTGCGCCATGCCCTCTTACTTTTTGTTTCATTATTAACTCTTCCTTCATCCTTGCATTTTTAACTTATTGCAATATAACTCAGTGCCAGAAAATTGATCCTTTAATAATGTACAGTTCAGAGTTGGGTACTATTCTTAAAACATTGCAGCACCCCTCAAGTTGTTGCAAGCCTTTGTTTAATTTCCAGAGTTCTAGAAAGGTTTATCTTGATGATTTTGCCAGTGTTCTAACTGCTCTCATGAAGGAGCAGATTTTGGAAGTCCTCTCCCCACTTGCATTTTTCAGGTGAGGCCATGAACTGTACCCCGAATGTGTGGTTGGTGGTCTGTATGGCTCTTAGTTGCTTAAGGACCTGTGTTTCATGGTTGTTGAGAGCACACACATAGGATTTAGTCCACAATAGACCTTGGGCCTTTCTTTACCAGTTGGTCTAACAGGAACTAAATTAACACAATCAACTTTATTAAGGCTGTCTCTATTTTTGTGACATTTGAAATAAGGTTGTAGGTCTTCCAGTATAAAATTCAGATAATAGTGTTGCCTACCATATGCTGTAATTCTAGACTAGCTCCTTCAGTTTATAAAACTTTTGTCTTTAATAATCTTAGCTATGAAGTGGTGGTATTGGTATCCAACTATTCTTTTGTTCTTTCTGTTAACTGGCCAATAGATTCTATAATTAGCAAGTTATAGTATTCAGAGACCTATCTAAACCCTTGATAAGACAGGTACCTTATGTGATGCAGCTGAGACTTTTGTTCCAATGACTCTTGTTTTGAGCATAAGACATGGAACCCTCGAGGGAAATTGACCAGTCTCATGCCTCCATATTTAGTCGAATGACATTGCATGTATATTTGTTGACAAAATTCCCTCTGCCAGTACTAAGTAAGAAATTACAGTTTGAGGGCCTCCCCGGTGGCGCAGCGGTTGAGCGCTGGGCTGCGAAGATGCCCGCAGCCTCTGCAGCACCGGTTTGATCCCTGGCCACCAGCAAAGGTCCCACATGGTGCGCAGACCACTCCTGCCGCCCGCTGCTCCCCTCAGCAGTGTACTTCGTCACTCTGCCTGTTCTACTCTCCACTCTGGCTCTGGTGAATTCTCTCACCCTCCCACGCTTCTGACTGTACCCAGTGCTTGTATAAATAAATAAATAAATCTTTAGGGGAAAAAAAAAAGAAATTACAGTTTGAGAGTTACCTTTTAAAGAAAAAAAAGTGAATTGAATGAGTGTCTTGGAGTGGTATATTGTTTCAGGTCCTTCGTGATATCCTCAAGGAAGTTCAGAGTAACATGGTACCACGCAGCATGCTTAAAGAGTGGGCCTTGCACACCTTTCCCAACGCCACAGACTACTGGACCTTTCGGAAGATGTTCACCATCCAGCTGGCACTGATTGGCTTTGCGGAATTCGTCTTGCATTTAAATAGACTCAACCCTGAGATGCTGCAGATCGCTCAGGTAATTTTGTTGTGAACAGCCAGACCCTCTCCTTTACACATCTGTTTTCTGCTGCTTCAAGTTCCTAAAATGTCTTCCTTTGAAATGTAGGACACAGGCAAACTGAATGTTGCCTACTTTCGATTTGATATAAATGATGCAACCGGAGACTTAGATGCCAACCGTCCTGTCCCTTTCCGCCTCACACCCAACATTTCAGAATTTCTGACCACCATTGGTGTCTCTGGCCCATTGACTGCCTCCATGATTGCAGTCGCCCGGTGCTTTGCCCAGCCAAACTTCAAGGTAAGTCAGGTGTCGTCTTGTGAAAACCACAGACTGGGATTCATTGTGGCCTCACAGGAACTGCCCTTCTGCTTACAAGAAGGGAGAAAGCAGTCAGAAAAACCCATCATTTGCAGTTCCTCGTTGGTCTAACAGGACGTTGAGGAAACCCAGTTTACAAAGGAATCTGGAGTCTCTTGGACAGTTTTTCCCACTGTTAACCATTGCATGCCAGTTTCGTTTACTCCAGTTCATACCCACCTTCCATTTCCCATTTTGCAAACCTTTTTGCAGTAAAAGGGCTGAAGTGTTTTCTGGAGGATGGTGCCTATCTTACTAGGGCTGGAGTGATCGCCCAGTGATGTGGGCCTTGGGGGGTGTCTGACATCTCTGCCCACAGTGGTGGGGCCACAGACACATCTACCATTGCCTGCCCTGTGCCCATTACTGCACTAGCTGCTTTGAAGGATTCCTATCCAGGTCTCCCAGCAGTTGTGCAGATGGGGGCAATGAGGCCAGTGCTGGCGTGACCCCTCAGATGTCATGTAGCTGGGGGGAGGCAGACTGGGATTCAGGTCCAGTTTGTTTTGACCCCAAACCTTTGTCTTCCCCACCAAAATAATTTCCTTTTCACAGTCGGGGACTGAACACAAATTAATTTTTTTTTAATTATGAGAGCAATTGTAACTTTTTTTTATTAGATACGCAGCTTGTGTCTAGAGGCTGTTTCAAGCACTGATTGCTTTCCAAAAAGTTTACTCAGAAGTTTCTAAATTAAATACTCTTAACTGTGAACAAGGATTTTACATTATATATACGTGCTCTTTCTAATGTTTATTGTACATACATGTTCATGAGTAAAAATAGCCTTCATTTTCCTCCTGAGTTAGGAATCCATGTGGTAACACAGGAGAGCAGAGCCGCTCAGGCACTACCCTCGGCTGAGGCATTAGTGATGACACTCACGCGGGTGGAAATGCTGTACTTCTGCAAGTAGTCATAGGATAATCCTTAGGATGGCATTTAATTGGAAAAGTTAAGAAGAGTATAGAGGGCTCTCCTTGTTCTAGGGGCTGTTAACAACTTGGAGTGACTCTGTTAATCTCTCACAGATGTGCTGGTGTAGGTGGGAAGAAGCTGGGTCTTCCTCCCAAACTTAGGACCCACATTTCTTAGCCCCCTAAATGTAGTGAATGCCTTTAAGTTAAGCTAAAATATAGAGCATTTTGTATGAGAATATCTTCTAAAAACAGTTTTTTGACAGGAGGTAGAATAAAACCCTCAGTCTGTTAGTCTAAAGTTACTTTTAAAGTCCTGGGTCCCACAGTGGGAGCCTTCTGCATTCTTTGAAGGTGAGAGTGGGCTGTGGTGAGAGCTCTCTTCATGGATACTTTCACATACTCTCATCTCTTGTAAGTGCTCCTGTCTTGTCTTGGTGATCTCAGTGCCAACAGCTGGTAGCCTTCTCCACCTGTCTCTGTCCATCCTGCTGGGAGCACCCTCCAGTCACAACGTCTTGCCTGCTAGTACTGAAGATACCAGTACTGAAGATTCCTGTGCCGCCTCTGGTTTCTCTCTCTCCCTGCTCCTCTCTTTAGCTTAGAGTTCATCGGTGCTCCTTACACTCCCACTCACCGTACTTGCTGAGCGGAAGCCCAGCATTGGCAAAGCCCAGACCTCTGCAGAGTCCTTAGTGCTCATGGGTACACAAGTGAGGGCAGAAATATATTCAACCATGCTGGCTGACGTGGTAAAGCTCCGTGACCCCACAATAGATTGGCCATCATGTCTAACAGTCAATTTTGGCATCTGTTGTCATGAAATACCAAGCTGTGCTTACAGCTCTGCCTTGTCCTGCCTCTGACTGGCTAAGAAGACACTCTCCATCCCTTCCTGGTTTCCAGCTCTTCCTCCTCTCCCTGCCTTCAGGATCTCCCTGCTAATTCCTTCATTGTCCCCACACCATCACCAGCCACCACTCCCATCAGTGATAAGACAGACCACCCCTTCTGTCTCAACCCTTCCCCTGACTCAAGCACAGCTCTCTAGCTTCAGGCTGTGGTCTCAGCAGCGTCCCCTCTCTCCTACACCCTTAACTTTTTTCATCTTCACGTAATTTGGGGGGAGACTTCGTTGGTATGCTGTTTATAAACAGGCACAAAAGGGTTAAATACCTTTCTCAAGGTCACCATGATAGAAGTAGAGCGGTGACCACATGAAGGCCTGGGACTGACTATCCCTCACCCACTGGTGTTGCCAGACTCCCAGTGCTTGGGCCTCAGTCCTCTGTATATTGTTCCCTCTAGGTGACACACCATCCTACAGCAACCACATCCTTTGCACCCTTGATTGCAGTTTGTCTCCCCCTCAGTGTGACCTCATTACCAACTCCCTTTGGGACCCAATCTCTCCAAGCCCTCCTTACCTGTGTTTTCTCCACAGCACCAACAAAAAGCACCTTACACATTTCTTTGTTGGGTCAGGGAACGTGGTGTTTCTGTTTTGTTCACTCTTAGCTGCAGTGCCAAGAATAGCTCTGCCTGACAAGGCCTTGGACATGCACTTGAACATGTGGATTAGATAGATGGCAGCTGGGTACAGTAAGCAGCCTGGTGTAGGTCGGTGCCTCGGGTATGTGCACCTTGGCTCTGTTCAAGACCAGACGAGAGATGCTCCACATCAGGGAATCAGCTTATGCTCCAAACGGCTGCCCCAGTGCATCTGCAAGGCCCACACCCAGGCCCTGCTGCTGAGGCCAACTGGGCTCCGTGCCCACCACAGCTGAGCTCAGTAGGCTCCTTGGCAAGCTGCCCCTCCCACTCATTCTTAAACTCAGGTGATTTCGTTCACTCCTCACACAGGTGGACGGCATTCTGAAGACTGTGCTTCGAGATGAAATCATTGCTTGGCATAAAAAAACACAGGAAGACACTTCCTCTCCTCTCTCGGCTGCCGGGCAACCTGAGAACATGGACAGCCAACAACTGGTGTCCCTGGTCCAGAAAGCCGTCACTGCCATCATGACCCGCCTGCACAACCTCGCTCAGTTTGAAGGTGGGGAGAGCAAAGTAAACACTTTGGTGGCTGCTGCAAACAGCCTGGACAACCTGTGCCGCATGGACCCTGCCTGGCACCCGTGGCTGTGACCACAGCTCCTCCCGCCACCCAGAATGTGAAGGGTGCCTCTCGAATGCTGAGTCCATGCCTTTATGGCTCCTCTCTGCCTTGTTCATTTTATTACAAAGGTCATGCAGTTTGACTGGGCTGCAGTTATCTTCCTGGTAGTTTGTGTGTGAAAGAGGGTGAATTTTATTTTAGAAGGAGCTGAACTATGAGAGTGAGGCCATTAGAAATGGCAGAGCTGAAACTGTCAATTTTTAAATAACCTTTTAAGAAACCAGGATTCCTAGTCTGGAATTTCTTTGTGAATTCTTTTTTACTGTACTCCTCTCTATGTGAATGTACAGATTGAATTTAGAGAACAATTCCTCTTGTCCTTTTTTAACTCTTTACAAGTGACACTTCACAGGAGCGTCGTGGTTCTGAATGGACCTTCACGCAGCGTCCAGGGAGCCCGCATGGTTAGAAACAGGACTTAGCAGACAAGCCGAGCCGAGGCTCCCCTAAGCACAAGCTTCCATGCTGTAAAAGACCAGCTCTGGGAAGCTCCTGAGCATTTGACGTGCATCAGAAGAGCCTCGTCTCCTGCTGGGGAAGTCGTTTGTTGTACATTCAGAGTTGGATTCAACTGGGAGAAAACAACTGTGAAAGTTGGCAGGTGAATCTTACGCTTTTTATCAGCTAGCTCTTTGGATGTCTTCTAGACATTGTACCTTTAAAAAGAAAAAAAAGACCTACTTTTTCCTTCCTAACTTAAAAAGAAACAGCAACGAATGTTTCTGTTAACTCCAGTCTGTTGATGTTCACATTTTTATAAATATGAGCATTGAGAATGTTCTGTCTAAATTTGTACAGTGTGATTTTTTTAGAATAAATATTTTGTAAAAGGAAGTGTTGTCCTTTATTTTGGCGTGAGTGCATGTTCTGTGGTGCTGCTTCTGCCGAGCGTCTGGGCCCGTCAGGCACCGGAGGCCTCCAGGACAGCGTGGGCTGTGTGCGCACTGCCTGCCGGCACCCTGGCATGACACGCGGTCTGAACGCAACAGGCAGCATGTTTGTGATGGTGATGAGTGCTGACCTGACTTTGAAGGCAGCATGGGAGTGTGCCCAGAAACCTGGGTGCTTTCCACTCTGCTGACATCTTTCTGGGCTGCTGTCATGTGACCTGGGTGAGCAGATGGGGAAGACAGGCAGGCGAGCAGCCAGCTCTGTCGCTGCATCTCTGGTGGAAAGGAAGCAAAGCAGGAGAGCCGAGCACCTGCTGGGATGACATCAGGACGCACCCCGGGGCCCTTCCAGAGCCTTCGGGTCTCCTAGGCCTGGGACACTCCGCCTTGGACTCCGTTTGACCCAGGTTGTTGTGGGGTGAAGCCTGCAGCTGAGTTCACTCAGATCACTCCAAGTCCAGCCCATGGGGCATAATTGGACGTGCCGGGAGAGGTGCAAGCTTTGGTGCTGGCGGGACTGACACTACAATGTGATGAGATCTTTATGCTGGTCTCTAGTCTTCAGAAGGAGGTGAAGGTGGCCGCACCCCTTCTTCATTGGCAAAGGAGGGACTTTCTGCTCAGGTGAGTAACTCATCCAAGGTGCCAAGCCAATCATGGAGAAAGATTGAACTTCATCCAACTTAGCTCCATCCCCTGCACAGATGCTCCTTGGAGCAAAGAGAGGCTGAGGCGCCCGGTTTTTAACCATTTTGATTGGACTCTCCCCTTCTTTGGATTATAATTGTAAGTCATTTTACAGTGTTGATGGACTATTTGTGGAAAGCATCATGGATTCAGGAATGACACTTAAAACAGATGATTGGCCTCCCCTGGTGGTGCAGCGGTTGAGCACTGGGCTGCAAAGCTGCCCACAGCCTCTGCGGCGCCGGTTCAATCCCCGGCTGCCGGGTGAGGGTCCCACGTTGTGCATAGATCTCTCCTGCTGCCCACTGCTCCCCTCAGCAGTGTATTTCATCAATCTGCCTGTTCTGTTCCTCGCTCTGGCTCTGATAAATTCTTTCACCCTCCCGCACTTCTGACTGTACCCGGTGCTTGTATAAATAAATAAATCTTTAAAAAAAAAAAAGGAAAAAATATTAAAAAAAAAACAAAGGTGATTGCAGACTGGCAGGTAACGTGTGAACGAACCGTAGGCCAGGTAGGGAAGGTGCTCACAGACTAGGTGAGGCGTCCTTGGAAACACACCACCACATTGCCTCTGCACATTTGGAGAGTCGGCGTGGAGACTTTGGACAGCATTTGGGTAAAGGAAGGATTTGTTTCTCAATTCTGCATAACTGGAGTGTGGAGTTAATGGCTACTGGTGGGAAGGGGACTAGGTTCCACGCCAGCTTCACCTGTAGCGCACCCCAGGTGCTCCCTGGTTTCTAGGAAAACCAGCCTTTGAACAGGTGGGGCAGGAGCATTTCCCCGTGGAGATCCAGAACTTCCTTGGCTCCACCGGTAAGTGCGAAGCTCAAGGACTCAGAGTCGGGGGACCTGACCATAAGCCTTGGCTTTCCCACCTGAGTGGGGTGTTGCTGGGGCCTCAGGATCCCTCAGGAGCTGGGAGGGCAGAGGAAGGACTCGCTCACCACAGAGAACTGTGGGCTGCACATGGCATGTGCTCCCAGATTTCCAAAGGATTCAAGTTAAGTACAATTACTACGATTTCAGTTATGTGTGCTATACAGTCTAGCTGAAAGGTTGGTTAATTTTAGTGTTCTTTGTTTAGTTGATTTATCTATCTCTGCTCAAGCCTTTATTATTTCTCCCCTGTTGCTAGCTTTGGGTTTAGTTTCTTTTTTTTTTCTAGTTCCCTAAGATGTAAAGTGAGGTTATTGACTGAGATCTTTCTTTTTAAATGTGTTTATAACTGTGAATTTTCCTATTAGCACTGTTTAGCACTTAGCTTTGTGTTTCCATGTTCATCTGTCTCCAGCATTTTCGAATTTCTGTTGTGGTTTCTTCTTGGACTCATTGGTTGGTTAAGAGTGCATCATTTAATTTTCGCATTTTGTGGGTTTTCCTGTTTTTCTTATGTGATTATATTCTACTTTCATTGTGGTCAGAGAAGATGCTTTGTCTAATTTAAATATTTTAAAATTCATTAAGACTTTTTTTGGTGGCCTAACACTCTATGCTGGAGAATGTTCCATGTGCACTTGAGAAAACTACGTGCTTACTCTTGTGTCAAGTGTTCTGTGTCTGTCAGATCTAGTTGGTTTACGGTGTTAAGTCCTGTTTTTCCTTATTGACCTCCAGTCTGATGGTCACTGTTGAAAGTGGAGTCCTGAATTGAAGTCAGCTCCTGGTATTTAGAGCCATTTCTCCCTTCTATCCAGAGGGTCTGTGCCTGGGGCACACAGGGCTGCTCTAGGGGCTGTGCCCTCAGTCCTCCCACCATCACAGCTCAGGTCTTTCCTTGGGAATCTGGCTCCAGCTTTGTGGGTCCCTCGCAGGCCTTTCCAGGTACTTCTCCTGAGACATCGATATATGTTAAACTTTGATTTCCTAATGAGCAGTTTCTGTTGAAATCTGCATTATCTTGTCCCTAAATTATTGTTTCTTTAATGGGTTTTGACAATGCCCAATGAGAGTTTCTGATGTTTCCAGAAAAACTGTGGTCTCTTTACTGGTTACCAATTCTTCACACCCATGCCACATGCACGGTGCGCCATGAATTGCTTCTGAGAGATTGTCCTCTCTTCACAGGGAATTTGCTCTTGATTGAATATTTGGTAGAAATTAATTTATCTCAATGTAGTTTCCATTGGCTTCTACATTTAACCTGTCTCCTGGCTTTTTCTTTTTCTTTTTTTTTTTTTCAGTCATAAAAGAAATGGGATGCTAATAATCTCCAGGTTCTAGTCTTGGTATAAGCTTTCTTGGTTAAGTGATCATGAGCCAGTGTCATTGGTTTGTTGGTTTGTTTGTTTTCCCTCAGAGTAAATTTGTTCTCTGACTCAGGAATTAGGACTGAGTCCTGTAAGGAAGACTTAAACTACCCAATCCCATCAGGTAAACACCATCCTTCTTTTCAGGTTTTTGCAAACCCAGAAGATCTATACTTTTTATATCTGAATTATTGATATTTTTTAAATGATTTCTAAACTTCTAAGTGTCTGAATTTTAATATTTTCCCTCCTTAGTGATATAATGGACATGTAAGAAACGTATTAATCCAAGGTATACAATGCAATGATTTATATCAGTATCTACCACTTTTTTTTGACTACAGTGATTTGGGGATTTTTAGTACTGTCTTTACGACACTGACCTCATCTTCTCTACTCTAGCATTCATTTGGTTTCATTTGGATGATTTTAAACCAGTGTCTAACCCAGTCAAATTACTTTCTTCAAAAATCCCTTACCTGCCTTCAGAGGGGTTTTACCCCCGCTGTGGAGCTGTCACAGCTAGCCTGTGTCTTCACACACTGGCTGGTCCGCCCCAGGCTGAGTGGCAGGACCAACCCAGCCTCTTGACCAGGCTTTTGGTGTGAGCAGGAACTAGTCCATGCGTCCTCCAGGCTGGCTAACACTTTGTGCCTCCAATACACCATCCATTCCTCTCTCCCACCCCTCTGCTGCTTTTGAAAACAACTTTCTTCTTCCCTGAAGCTTGTAATTTGGCACAGAGCACTTTCTGGGGCTATCAGGAGTTGTCCACCATTCTTCTGAAGATGTGGAGGCTGTTTGAGTTGCAGGTACTGGACACAGGGTGAGCACCAGCTTACTTGTTCATATGTTTACATTTCTCTTTGCTTAGTTCCTTTGTAAAATTCTCAGCTTTAAGCCCTAGTTAAGAGTGGAGCTTTCCAGGTCTTTATTAAAGACTGATTAGTTAAAGCCTTATTTCTTAGTTTCCCTTCCGCCAAGCTTCCATTAACGTTATGGCAAGGCCTCCAAGTTCTTCTTGTGTGAAGCTGTGCTGTCTTTCCTCCAGAAGGGCGGACACTCCAGTGGCAGTTCCTTGTCTTGACTGCACAAAGAAGGCTTTTCTGATGAAATCGTAAGTGCACCCTGAGTGTCACCATCTCCCACAGCTACCTCTTGTTGCTGGGCCAGGTCTTAGGTCCCCTTCTGCAGTATCACTACCTGGACCATGACTTTGCCTGATGTACTAGCAGGCCTGTGGGCAGCCCTCTGGAGCCCACAGGGCCAGTGCCCACCTATGTTTTCTCCTGGAGACCTACAGGACGAGGATCCCACCCCAAGCCCCAGAGCTGGTGGACAGGATCACTAGGGTCAGCCTCAGGTTACGCCAGCCCTGCATGACCAATGTTTTTCCTCTCCCTGAGTCACCCTATGACCTGAGCCCACCCACCCTGTGGAGCTCACAGGAAACTCTCCTTACAGCTTCCTTCTGGTTCGAGTCAGGCAGACTTTGAATAATCATGGGGAGCGTCATGAGAGGGAGTGTAGAGGATCCTATACAGTGATTCAACTTCCTTACTACTGTCCCCTTAAAAGCCAAGGGAGTTTTTTTTTTTTAGATTTATTTATGCATACGAGAGCTGGGTGTAGACTAAAGGTGCAGGGGCGGTGAGAGGATTTGCCAGAAACCGAGTGGGGAGCAGAACAGGCAGATTGGCTAAGCCAAGGGAATTTTCAATGTTCATGTTTCAGGAATGTGTGGTCTGAGACTGATCACCAATGCTCTCTCGACAGAATCTTCACAATGCTGTGAGAATGCGGGTCTTGGGCTGGGACATCAGAGCCCACGAGGAGGCCGATGGGCAGCCTGGGGGACCCCACCCTGCTGGCTTCAGAGCAGCTCCATCCAATTGACAGGAGTCTGCAGGCTCAGCATTCACCAGTTCGCCTGTAGCCACTGTAGGGTGAGTAGACTTGGGGGGGTGAAGTTGGGGGAAGAGCCCAGTGAGAGGCATCCTGCTGCTGCCGAGGAGGGTTACGTATGGCCAACCCATCCTTCCATGTGGCCCCTGGTTCAAAGGACCCCTTTTTTGAAAGGGCCCCCTCGGGCAACACAGGCCTGAGCCTGACTTGGTGAGGACACATCCCAGCTTGCTTTGTGGCCTTGGTCAGAGAGCAGCGAAAGCCCAGCCGCTACAGGGGAGAGCGCAGGGTGGCAGCTGCCAGGTGCGAGGAGGCTGGGAACTTACATAGCCCTGTATAGAGAAGCAAAAACCTGAATATCAACAAATTTCATCTTTGAGACTTATGGTCAATATGAGCATTCAGAGGCTCCCCCAGTTTCTCAGCACTATCCAGGGCAGGAGGTAGGGAGAGGCCCTGGATGGCAGTGTGGAAGGAGAGGACAGGCCTGGGGGGAAGAGGTGACCTGTCCTCCCCAGGGTGGCTGCAGGTCTGAGGGAGGGCCTTTCTTTTATTTCACTCAGGAAACAGCTCGCTGATGCTTACACCTGTGTTCACTCTCTCACCACCACCCAGACTCAGGGCCCAGGCATCACCCTACCCAGAAGGAAGAAATATTTTAAGAGTGTCATTGATGCTTTTGACATTTTTAATTTACCTGTGTTGCTGTGTATATTGGTTGATCTTTTTATTTTAATCTAATTTTACAGAAAAGGAAATGTAGACTCCAGAGAAATAACCCAAGCCCCACCCCCCACCCCACCCCCCGCAGGTCACAGGCTGGCACTCACCATAGCGGGCCCGACCCAGCCCCCTGCACTTCCCCAAGGGCTGACGGCTGTTTTCTGACAGGGCTGCTACTGCTGACTGGGGAGAAGAGGCAGCAGCCTACCACTCTGTTCTCCAGCTCTGCTGAAGAAAGCAACAGTGCAGAAAGGTAAGACCCTTATGTGGGCCAGAGAGCTGTTTCCCACAGACACTACTATAGAACACCTGTGTGCCTGCACGGTCTGTGCCTTTTAAACAAGGACACATTTAATTGGTACAATGTCCCTGGAAGGAAGGTTCTGTTGTCCCCTCACTTCACAAGTGAGTAACCCAAAGCACGGGTGCTAGGTCAAGTTACAAAGCCAGGATTGAATGCCAGGCCCTAACCCTGCTCTCGCTGCCGCCATCCTGCCTCTTGACATTAGCAAGAATCTGTGCATGCGTGTGCACAACTGACAGCTGCATCTGACCCTCGGGGATCATGGAAGGCAAGTGAGCTGTCAGTACGGCTGCCTCGGGAAGACCAGCGCTCATGTGGTGGATGAAGGAACAAACTAGAACATTTCAAAAGAGCAGATTTTTAAAAATGGTCAGGGCAGATGTACTGCATTGTTTAGAGCCCCAATTATCTAGTGACCGCCCTGAGACAAAACATGAAGTGTTCATTCTCCCACAGCAGGAAAAAAGCCCTGGGGTATGGCGGCCACTCAACAGCATGCAGGACTGCATGTGTCTGCCACTGGAGTGGTAGGAGCTGATGCAGCTGATTTGGAATTCTGGAGTCTGTCAGAATGCTTGCAACTTCTAGTGGAAATCATGACTGGTAAATTGTGGTTCATTTTGATCAATTTCAGCTTTTAGTGTAGTGCGGCCACCCCAGCCCTGTGGCAGCCCCACCTGTGTCTCTGCTGCAACTTGCTGGAGCCATTGGCATCGAGGACCCTTGTCTCCTCAAATGTCAGGTCCTGTGGTGTCATGGATTGCTGCTGTTGATCGAGGAGGTACAGGCACAGAATCAGGCAGTTCCTGTCGCAGCCCCAACTAGTGACTTCCAGGAGATTTAAAGGAACAGCCTCAGTTGTTTTATCATTCCTCTTTTTTCCCATTTTGGGAAACATGTAAGGATTAGGACATTCAAACTGGACAACTGGAGGAAGGCTCTGGCTAAAAGCTAGAAAAAGCCACACACCTGCAAGGAAATGAATTTTGCCAGTAACCTAAAAGAATCAGAGAAGGGCCTCCCTTGGTTGAGCCTTGAGAGGAGACTGAAAACAGGACTGCAGCCTCTAGCCCTGCGCTGAGGGCCCGGCTAAGTGATGCCAGGAGTCCTGATCTATGAAAAATGGGAGCAAGAATAAAAGCAACTGCACATACACAGTAATTTAAACAGCCACGCACATGCCCAGGCAAAGACAGGCTTGGAAGGAGGGAACTGGGCGCTTTCATCTCAGGCTGATGAGAGACACCACCACCTGAGGACACAGCCCCAGGGGAGAGGAGAATCTAATTTCCAGGGTTACATTCACAGAATTAACATCCATTCTTAGACTCCAAAAACTTACAAGAGGGTAAATGCGTCCCAACTCATCCTGTGAGGCCAGATGCTATCCTGATACTAACAACCAAGGACTACGAGGTCACTATGCACCTGGCAGCACTTCTGCTCCACACAGTGCTGGGAGCCAGCGTGGTCGGGCGAAGAAAAAAGGATATCACACTGGAAAGGGAAGCAGTAAAATGATCTGTTTGCAGAATACACGACCTCGTATTTTAGAAAACCCCCAAAGAACAGTTTGAACTAATGAAATCAGCAAAGGAGGATACAAAATTAACACGCTGACATCGGCAGTGTTTCCACACACTAACAATAATCCAAAAAGAAAGTTAAGAAAGCAATTCCATAAAATTAATATTAAAAAGAGCATAATGCTTAGGAACTTTAGCAGGGCGGCAATAAAACCCACTGAGACTAAGCATGACGCTGCAGGAAGGCACAACGTTAGCCGGCTGTCGTCCTGTGAAGTCAGCAATCACACTGAGTGTCCACCGGTGGTGGTTTTGCTGTGGGGGTGGTCATGCAACATCGTGACCATATAATCTCAATGAACTGAACATTTAGCAGTGGTTAACTGATAAAATAGTATACTCTGTAAAAGATATAAAAACCAGCAAATTTGCCCAGTGTGAAGAATAGATTTGAGCTTTCTCGACTCCACAGCCTGTGTTTGCTAGAGACTCTGCCTGCCATGTTCCCATTTGTTTCTTCAATTCTCTCCCAAGCCTGTCTGCTCTCCTTCAAAGGCCTTGCCGGTAATTCTGACCACTGACTTCCTGTCTTGTGGGAAGGTAAAGAAACTGGAATCTCATTTCTACACCAAAATAACAGACACCAAAAATGTAAAGTTGTGAGTTTATTGCATATGTAACAAAATGAACCTGACCTCCCGGGTCCAGCCTGCTGTACAATCACTGTGTTTTGTGTTTCCAGCTGGTTCCATAACCACATTAAATAGAACTAGTATTTCTTTAAATACTTCTGATTTTGACATAAAACAGAACATTAGTGTACAACTTTCACAAAATAAATCAGCAATAAAAACAGTGGGAAGATAACAAGGATAGCAGCAACACTTAAAAACAAGACATTACAAAATAAATTAAAAAATACATTATAAAGTGGTTGAGAAACAAAAATAAACAAATCTTAAAAATTCATACTATGTTTCGGGAAGGCTGCCACATGGCACACGCCTGGCTGCAGATGGGGGAGGGGAGCATTTTCTCTGCAGAAGGCCACTCCTGACAGCTCAGATTTGAGGACCACCTAACCTGAATCGGGCCATGCAGCGGAGCAAGCTTCAGGGCCACAATTCCATCTAGCAAAGAGATTCTCTTTTCAGAAATCACAAGAGCTCGATTTAGTCACCCCGAGCTGCAGATTGGCAGAGCGGCGGCTTGCTGCATCCCTGAGGGTCGGCTGATGACCACTGAGTGAGGCTAGCCTGAACACCGGGCCCCTGAAGCATCTGGGCTGAGAGGTGAGGAGGGATGGGGGGGTGTTCTGGGATGGCTGCACAGGGCAATGGTTAGAACATGTGGACGAGGCGCACACAGACCCAAAGTGGAGCAATTGGAAGCTTTACCATTTGCTTTCCACACTCTGTTCTTTAGGGTGGCTTGTAAGGCCCAGCCACTGCTGATGTTAAGGTTCTAGAAGTGCAGTGCTTCTAGAAAGGGCTGTTTGATCACAGTAAACTGGAGCTCTGGAAAACTCTGCTTTCAGATGCCATGATAACACTCAACTAATGAGGGGGCCCATGCGCCAGCACAAGTGGTAAAGCAGAGACCCAGGCCTGGAGGATCCGGGACACCACCACCTAGATCTTGCTGAGGTGATACCTGACACTCGAGAGCAGCAAGGGCTGGCAGCTGCCATTCCTAAGGCTCGTTCCCCCGACTCTTGACAGCAAAAAGGTAGTTTTAAAGGAACCAAATACATTTCTGCTTCAAAGTCTTTTAAACCTTTGTTTCTTTCCTAGTAACTGCAGGTTTGGGACAGCACTACAGAAGTCAGGTGGTCCTTCTTATCTCCCTCTTGAGGTCCTTTCAGTTCCCTGACCGATGTTTCCTCCTCCTAACACTGAGGTTCACGGTAGAGAGGAGAGGTAACTGGGGAGAGGTGGGTATTTTTCTTCACTCTACCAGGGAAGCCTGGAAGCAGTCATTCAGGAGCCAGTTTCTAGAATACCTTCAGAAAGCATCCTGGCAAGTGAGACACAGGATGAACCCAACTGGGGCAAGGCAGAATTTTCCAAAGACTAAGCCCACAACTTAGCCTAGACTTAAATCCATTCATAAATTTTCCTTCTGTAACAAATCCCCTTGACATCCCTTCTACGCTATAACCTGCTAAGTAGCCCAGAAACACGGCTCTTGAAGCTTTTGGAACCACAGTCAGCAATTCGGGGCCCAAACTGAGCAAACCTCTTGTCCAGGTGTTTTGTATCCGCTAAGAGGTCTGCGCACTACCCAACTGAAACCCAAAGTGCTTCTGGGACAAGCAAAACAGGGGTGAGTGGCAGAAGGTAAGTATGTCTCCAAGCCCACCACAGCCAAAAGGTACTCGTAACAAAGAGAACAGGGAAACAACCAAAGCATCTTCCAAACCCATCTCACCCCGTGGCCAGATCCCAACACTTAACTCGGAACTTGACCACCGGTGAAATGCCTTGCTAACATAGCACCCCCAAAACAACAACAAAGAAATCTTATGTTGCTGCTGCCATTTGTCACTGAAATTTAGCCATCTGAAATCATGCCACTTTGTTAAAATACTGTTTGAACCTCTGTGCAAATTGAAAAATGGCATTAGAAATTTAGGGTCCAGTCTTGCTTTGGCCTCGCTCATCATACAAAGACATCTGGGCAGGTGAACAGAGTAGCAGCTGTTAGTGTCACCATCTGACGTGGCGACAAGCTGAATGAGCAGGGCTAGAACTGTCCCTCTGCTGTCACAGGGTTACAGCCACACCCTGCTTTCTGGAAAACAGTAACTGGGGCGGATTAGGTCACCGAGGTAATCCAGTCCCCTCCGCAGTCTCCCTTTTAAGCTAGTCTGCACCAAGCCAGCAGCCGTAGTCGGATTCTGTTTTGTTAGTTTAGCTCTTAGCAATCTCCGCGCAATAGCTGGTTAGTATTCAAGTGGCCCACGTGACGCTCTCGTACGTCCGGTGCCAGAGCTTGCAAGCGCTGCTTGGATCCAAGGCTGGCTTTGGTCTGTTCTTTTGTAAGCTCCATTACGTGGTGATTTCACTGGAAAAATATTTTGAACTGGATAGATAATGAGGCAAAGGGGATTCTTAAAAGGAAAGATTTTTCTCTATGCGAAACAAATTTTTCAGGATACCCTGAAAAGAAATACCCTGGGCTTCCAATGAAAGCTGCCCCCATTCCTTTACCTTTCCAAAACGGAAGCATGGTCTTTGACACCAGCCTCCAATAAGCATATCTTATACAGTTATTTCTTTCAGTTGGAAATTAATCTGCTACCCAGAGCAGGCTGCCAAAATAAGAAATTTGGAATTTGAGCTGCTGAACTCAAAAAAGGGGCCTTTGAGCTAGAATAGCTAGTGTAGCTACCAGTCACGGGCCCTCATCAAGCCACTCAGTTCCGTAACCGCGGCCGGAACCCCGGGGCAGCAGGCCTCTCACAATGTGTGGCACAACCGTAGTCATTTCCGGTGTGACCGAAGCCAAATGCTAAACCTGGCTGCATTTTATTGGATGGGTGATGGCAGGGGGTGGGGGCACTGTTATAAAAGAGGAAGATAAGGGTGGGAGCCACCAACCGAAGTCCCCCCCACCCCCCTCGCTCCCCCAAGGAAAAGGAGGGGAGATAACCGCTTCTCTCGGGTTATCTAGGATTCCCACGCCTCAGCCAGTCTCGCGGGAGGCGCAGAAAGCTGTATGCTTTGGGTCTGGTGGTCATGAGCTAGAATCTGTTGCCTTTGGTTGCTCTTCACTCCACAGCAAACCCACAGGTCTCTTCCACCGCTGTCAGCAGCTTCTCGTAGAGCTTCTCGTACGACTCATAGGGTGGAATGTCAATCCTGTTAAAGCTGGGTCGGGACAGAAGAGTGACAGCATCAATGCAGGCCTTCTGGCCCTTGGACCTGCCAGGACAGGGAGGTGCAGATCACGGCCCCACAGCTGGCAGCAGCTGTGTCTACCAGGTGGGGACGGGAGCATCTCATCACTAAGCTTGGGGGGCTGGGGAGGAGAAGAGGTTCGATACTCCCTCTGATGCTTTTCTGCTTCTACTGCAAAGATTTTCCAGTCCACATAGCAAAACTGGATCTTTAAAACAAAATTATTATTTACTGGTTATATTAGGACAAAGCTCTTAACTTTTTTGTTCTTGTCTTTGGGAGAAATTACTTCTCTGTAGTAGGAATATCACCTTTGCGACCACCATAACCCAGGCTGGCTGGCCAGCAGTAACAATCTGTCGATGGCTGTTTGTTCCTCAGTGACTTGATCTAAGACCAAACTGGAGCTGTCTTGAAAACAGTTTGTTTTTGGAGGAAATTTTCCAAACTAGTGTCAAATCCCTGATAGATGAAATGAATACTAAATTTCTGACTCAACAGTTCCATGGGGAAGTTAATTTCCATTGTTTATGCAAAGAAAGACACCTTTAAGAAGCGATTATCTCAACAAATAAACACAAAATTGTGACCCAGAGGACACAGAGTAGTATGCTGACTGAGTTGGCATTGAGCAATTAAGGTTGATTTTTGTAAAGAAAGAGTCAGACTAAATGGAGCAGCAGCCTATTTGGGGGCTTTAGCATCACAAACCATTTTCTGTACCCATTTCACTGACAGCACTAAACTCTTCCAGGACAGTCTCATGAGAGGATATAGCTGCCAGGTGTCCACATGGCACCTTCCTGAATGGTTATGTGGGGGGCTCGGTGCCTCCCCACTGCCCTGTGAACAGCTTATTAGCCCATTTTAGAGATGTGGAAAACCCAGTCAGCATATCAGTTAACACTCCTGAAGTCACATAGGGAGGAGATCAGAGCCAGTTCCAACCCGGAACTTTTCCTTCACTGGGATGCATCTCAGCCACATTTAGAGCTGGTTCTGATCTGGAGGAGGCTGCTCTTCACAACAGACAGTTCCAGAACAAAGTGTACAGACATCTGATTTTCAAATCACAAAGGAAACAATACACTACATATATTTAAGTTAAAATGTTAGAGGATATATTTTTCTGCCGTAGGTAAGATTCTGAGGGAAAGCGGGGCACTGAGAATGTCAAAGCACAGATCAGCTCCACAGTAAATGCTCCAATCTGCTGGACTGATCAGTGCAGGTGTGCGCACCGTCCAGCAAGAGGCAGGCAGCCCCGGTTGCTGCTGAAATGCCAGCTCTAACCACATCTCGGTTTCACACAAGAGACTCTGACCACCTTACAGGTGACACTGCCAGTCACTATCTGGGTCTCTGTGTAGGGAGCTGCAGGGCACTGTGCGCTACCGTAAGAAAATGAACTCAGAAAAGTCAAACCAGTGCCTGCACGCTGCACGGCACTTGTGCTTACCAGGTGTGGGCCTTGGGAAGGTTGTCTGTGTTTGCATCGATCAGGTGGATGGTGAACAGCCGGGGCCCTGCAGCGCCTGTAGAGCCTTACAGACAACATTCTAGTTAACGCACTTCAAAGGCAGAGCCTGGCCCCACTGCCAACCACACCCTCAGCCCAGTGTCCAGTGGGCTGCTCTGACAGAGAGCCATGCAGTTCACACGGCAGCACAACCCTCCCCGCACCCTTGGTGTGCTGCCTGCAGTGGCCACCAAGGACTAATACCAGATTATACAAAGTCACAGGAGCAGATGGAAGGGGCATCTCATGCTGCACCCTGACCAGTGCGGGGATTTCAAGGGTGAAAATCTGTTAAGTCACCAGTGGTGTGTTTTTGAACAGCAATGTTGAGCAGCTGGGCCCACTGCGGGCAGAGCACAGCAGTGTGGTAAGAGAGGCAGGAGACAGGAGCCTCCCCTGGTGGCACAGCGGTTGAGTGCTGGGCTGCAAAGCTGCCCACAGCATCTGCAGCGCCGGTTCGATCCCCAGCCGCCGGCAAGGGTCCCACATGACACACAGACCTCTCCTGCCGCACCTGCTGCTCCCCTCAGCAGTGTATTTCGTCAATCTGCCTGTTCTGTTCCCCATTCTGTCTCTGGTGAATTCTCTTACCCTCCTGTGCTTCTGAATGTACCCAGTGCTTGTATAAATAAATAAATCTTAAAAAAAAAAAAAAGGGCAGGAGACAGGATGCTGACCCCTCTCCAGGCAGAGGCAGTGGGAAGGCACCTAGGCCAGCACCACAGCCCATGGAATGGAGTAGCTCCTCTCCCTCCAAGGGGTCCTTAAAACAAGGAATCATCTACAGGGAATGTCCTATACTGGAAATGTATCTACCACCTATTAATGTGCAAAATTCAATTTATAAATAATCTTCACCTTAACTCTTTTCAGGTACCATTGCTACCAACAAAAATCCAAAATTTTATAAATCATAGGGCCAGGAAGAAACCTATAAGGGCTTTCCAGTGGGCCATGACTGACCATGAGCCCACCTCCATCTCTTCATGAGACCCAAAAGCTCCAGTGTCTACAGCTTTCTAGCTCCCCGCTCCAGCCCAACTCCAGACCTAAGTGAGCCAGGAACCAGCCAGAGCTGGCAGGGACGAGAGACAGAGAGAGGGACACAGGGCCCAGGAGGGCCCTGAAGCTAGTGACCCACATGACAGCAGCAGACAGGCCTTCTGATACTAGAGCAGGCTCCTCTCGCCTCAGAGCCTTGGGACGACACTGAGAACTGTGTAGAAGATTAAGAAATGAATCCATGGTAACACTTTCAAAACCAACTCGTTCTGCTCTTTGAACTGCCACTTTGTCAACCAATTCTGAAGGGGAAGGTAGGGGAAGGCAGGGTCGGGTTGCACTGAAGCCTTCCTTGCTCAGGTCTTTCTAGACTTAGCCAGGGAGGGCACCAGGCTGGCCAGCACCTCCTCTGCTGCTGCAAAAGGCTCAGCCGACCCAGGTGACACCCTGCTGCCAAGACCCACCACTGACAGTTAATGGGAAAGGCGGATCTGAGAAATATTCTCTCCTACAGATTTACAGATACGTTCTTTCAACATGGGCAAAGGACGAGTAGCCAGTACCAGTTGACTGTGTACCCAGTTGGCTGTGGCCCTTGCTGGCCCCTGGGCAAGGAAATGGCTGCTCCTTTGACTGCTGCCTTCCACCTTCTAGATCCATCTCCAGGAAATCAAGGCTTCCCGAGTGCTGCTGAGGAGCATTCTTGCCGGGGGACGGGCCCTCAGAGCCCAGTGTGTCCCTGCCTGCCAGTGCTCGCGCTCCTCACCCACAGCGCTGGTGCTTCCTGCGCTGGGGTGGCCTGTTTGGCATGTCCTGTTCACACTTTGCATGGGCTGACTCGCCTTCTGGATACTACAGAGTCACTGAACTAAAATTTATCTGATTATGGGGAATATTGGCTGGTAAAATCCTTCTGACAGGTTTTTGTTGGTTCTCCCCGCCCCCCCCCCCAAAAAAAAAAAAACCAGGAAAGTTTAGCAAGTGGGCCCAGCAAAGTGCTTCCCTGGCGGATGGGGCTTGGAAGCCCACAGTCAGGAGCCTCTTCCCTCCCAGGCCTGCAGGAATACACTCACTCACGCCCTGTGAGCCTGTGAGCTGAAAGAAACCCTGTGTAAATAATACATAGGAGAGAATATCAAAAGCAAGGTGGGGAAATCACAAAATCTGAATTCCTGCTCCGCTTACTACTTAGCAATTCCTGTTTTTTTTCCCCTGGGGGATACATCAATCCCACGGCCTTCGGGAGTCCTGCTTTCTCCACCTGTGTCACGGGGATACGAATTCCCAGTCAGGCACTCGGGTGGTCAGGAGGGCTGAAGTGCCCAGGAGCTATGGCACAGCTGTCATGGCAATTCTACCGGCAGGTGACCTGGCCATGCATGAGGGCCTTCAGAACCCAGGCCAGGGAAATGGGATGAACCTTTACTCTCAGAGGCTCCCACAGGTTAATGTGGATATTGAGTCACAACATGTGATGTCTAGGTGCAGTGAGTTAAGTGCACTGTCTATGTGCAGTGAGTTAAGTAACAGTAACATCAGCAGCCTTCACCTTATCCCAGGTGTCAGCCACACTCTCCCCGAGCCCTAAGGGTAGGAGGTGACATAACAGGCTGCCTTGCCCATAGGCAATTTGGGGCCATTCCCTTGGAACTTTCCCCAGGAACACAAGGCATTTTCCAGGGGAAAGAATAAGGCCACAGGGCAGGTGAGTCTTCCCAACAGCAACAGTTCCAAGTAAAGCTGGAGTGTGAGCATGACCGCTGTCCTCAGAGCAGGCCCTCTGAGCCGCCAGTTGTGGGGCCAGAGACCAGGAGTAGCTCCCCACAACTGTCCAGCTGGTTTTGGGTAAGCCAGCCCCACGGAGATAGAAAAGGGTGAATGGGCCTGACCAGACAAACCCTCAGCTTTCTAAAAGCAGTGAGGGTGCCAGGATTCATGTGCCCTACAGAACACCATGACCTTGTGCTGTGCAGGGAACCTATACATGCTCCCCAGCAGCATCTGCCAGGTGAGCGCCTCTGCAGTGCCGAGCATCTGTGAGAAAAGATATGGGTCACATCATTTCCTACTGGCAATTTCAGGAAAACATCCCCATCACACCGTCCTTCACACGGCCTAGTAGAGCGCACAACCCAGGTAGACGCATAGAGACACTAGCCTCGCCTCCACGTCAGTCACCTTGCAAAGCCTTGAAGCCTTGGAGAGGGACTCGAGTGGATCCGGTCACGAACTGCAGGAGCCTGGCCCTCCGCTCTTCATCGAAGGTCTCCACTGCTTGCCAGAACCACCTGACGATGTTGCTGTCAGCCACACAGTGTTTCAGCCGAGTGTTGGACTTCCAGTCGTTCAAGTCTATCTTATCCAGACCGCCTATTATCAACTGTGAGGGTGTGGAAAGGCCAGTTATTTTAAAAATGTATAAACCAATGTCAAGACATGCCTCATAGGTTCCCAATATACAAAAGGAGCTAAAAACTGGGATCACAAAGCAAAGCAGTTATGCCTAAGTAGACTAGACACATATTTAGGTAAGATTAAAAAATCCTGCCACGACCGTGGTGCCCAGCCACTGTGTTAGGGGTTTGCTCTTCTGGTTGACAGGAGAACTGATTAACTTGCAAGATTGAACAGAGCTGACCATACCGAGGCCACATCGCAGTGATTGCCAGGGATGCTTGGTTTTAAAGTCTGAAGAGAAGAGAACGCAGGAAGAGGCCTGTGCACTTCTACAGCCCGCCTACAGATTCCCTCGGAGCTACTGCTCGCCCAAGGAGGCCCCTCTCAGCTCACATACTCCAGGAATCTCACTGTGGCGGAAGGACTGAACAGCTTTAAAGGCTTTGGCTATCTGATACCAAACAAGAGATGGTAAGGAATGAATCACTACGTTCAAGTCCATGGAGCATGACCAGAGAAGACAAACACTCTGTTCTGAATTTAAAAATAGCCCGAATAAAAACAAAAAGTTGATACTGTGGGAGAGTTTGGTTGTATACGAGATTTTCTCCATCCTGAAATTGACTGCACAGGAGAAGGGTCAGGAACTCCAAGAAAAAATAGGGAAAGCCACAAAACACCTTGACCAACTTCCCGAGACGTATCTAGATTCAGTGCCACCAATGCCATAAATTCACCTTATCATGAACTGGCTCAAACACCCAACTCCCTGCTCACTCAGCACTCGCCGTGCTCTCGGAACCCAGCATCCTCCCAGGCGCAGCGCACGCCTCACTGTGCAGCAGGGAGCAGGACAGAACGCCTGTCGCATCCGCCCCTCCCTGGCACAGCAGAGAAGGCACATACCTCCAGTTCCTTCTGGTCGAAGGGCTTCAATAAGTGTTGAGGGATGAGTTCGTTAAACCCTTTCTGAAGAGCTAAGAACTGGGCTTCTATTCCTCTCATAAACCTCCAATTTACATATAACCTGAAAGAAAAATTCACAGGTTGGAAGCAATACCAAGTGGTCTGTGGGAAAAAATGCTCTCAGTTAGCAGGTTTTGACATCTGCTGAGCCAAACGCATACCCTCCAGGCCTCCCCGCTAGAGGGCACAGCCCCACGAGGCGGCAGGGCCTAGCTTAAGGATCAAGTTCATAATAAATTCTGCTGCTTTGCTAGTAGTAACAGGATTTAACCTGACCTGTTATAGCAACTGCCATAGTTTAAAAGTATCTTTGAAAATACTGTACAGGCCAGTGTGAGAACTGCACTGCCTGACAATTTGCACACCCATGTGCCCATATGTTTTGAGTTTCCATGTAACTAATCATTTGCCTTGATTAGGAGGCAAGAACACCGACTACAGTGGAGTAGACTTGAGATTAATCTCAAGGAAGCTTCTAGGCCTCCTCTCCTGTTCTCCTTTCATACCCAGAATCAAATGGTACCTTGAAAATCCTTCCCTTACTGGGCTCTGAAAACATTATTCTCCCTTCCACAGTCAGCCCTGGTTACATGTGGCTCCTCCAAGCATGGCAGCCACTGCTGAACCCAACAGTTTCTGGAAGTCCCTTCTGTTAACGTGAATTTGGTCACAAATGCTGGCAGGGACAGGTAAACATCACACAGCAGAGGAACCTCAACAATCTAAACTTGATCTCAGCAGTGCCCAGCACTGTCTTGGTGAACCACCAACAGTTTCTGTGAAGTCCCTTCTGTTAACGTGAATTGGTCACAAATCACAAATGCAGCAGAGGAACCAAACTTGAACTCTCAGCAGTGCCCAGCACTGTCCCAGAACGGCGCCGCCCCCTTGGTGACCACCACCACTATTACCGGACATATTCTTTCTTGTTCTCCTCTGTGACAGGAACATTTCTGCCATTGGGTTTCAATTCATGCTGAAGAATCCGCCCGAAAGCATTGTGTTCCACACAGAAGGTATGGTCCAACACGGGGGTGATATCGTTCTCTCTGTGAAGTTACAACAGAAGAGGGGGGTCAGAGCTTTGCCGCCACACAGCAGTGAACAGGAGAGAGAGGAAGACACTGAGAGGAAAGGAGAACCCTCAATAGCACAGAACTCAGGTCGGGGCAGGAGAGCGTGGCCCCATTTCCATGTATCCCTGCTCTTGGCTTTCTCATTCACACGAGGGTGACAGCAGCTCCCCCATTCTGTGATTTTATGAGAAACAGCAACCTGTTTGTGAACTAAGTCTACGGGCAGAAAGGCAGGACACACGCAGAGGTAACAGCCAAATGCAGTCAGCCCACAGGGAGTCACACCAAATGTATCAGTTCAAACAATAAAGGTAGTTGAAAGTTAACCCTGGCTCCTTAATCGGCCATATTTCTGGAAAGAGAGTGGAAGACTTTCTATAGGCAGAATGCCCTCACCCCTGCAAAAGGCCACTTCAAGTTGGGACATGTGAAATGAGGGCCCACCAGAAGGCAGGACAGTCACAGCCTGAGCCTGGACAGTCAGCCAGCTTGTCCTGCCTTTGCTACAGCCTGGATCTCTCCTTTCTGTGGAACTGGCTCATTCACAGGGACCCACGACAGTTAGGGTTTACCATGGAATTGTGCCTGTGGCATTTACTATTTCTAGGACAATTCCAAACAAAGGTGACCAAACATTAACTGGAGATACACCAGAGTATCAAAAACTAACCAACTCCAGACCTGGGGGCCAACATTTGTGATCAGACACTAATAATTCAAGGGAACAACAGAAGAAACTGGCCAGACATCACGAGGAAAGTAAGCCGGTTAAGTACTTTTTAAAAATCTACTTTTAGGTTTCTGGTTGTAAGACATCTTCGTTCTTCAATTTCACATCTAGTCCCAAAATATATCCACATGCATCAGTACCCAGACACACCCCAAATGTATTTAGCAGACATACACTAAGACAGCCGTATGTATGAATTTTCCACCAACCGAATGGTGAACTAATACTTACAGTATCCACACTAAGCTCTTATGTAGTTCTGGGTCCACGGACTCCAAATCCGAGAGCTGGATGGGTTTCCCCAGGAGCTGCTTATAGAAGGGAACCGTGAAGCCCCCGTTGATGTAGTGTCCGTGGAACACAGCCAGGCCCATGATCCGCCCCACGAAATGGAAATAGGACAGATGGTCCTGTAGGGGGCACCAGAGAACATGAATTCGTTAGGAAAATGACCCTCAGGGTGACAATCTCCAAGTTTCCTGGGAGAACCATGCAACAGGGACTCAGTGACTCACTCGTGACTACGTGAAAGGCGGCTGCTCAGTCGAGTTTTAGAGCATGTCTTCTGGATAGATCACCTGAATGACATTTTATAGGCTCTTAGTTCAAATACCTTCTCAGAATTGCTCTGTGATTTTCTGGGCTTAGTGCAAAATGAAAATGTAGAACCCTTCCACAAAAATTATTATTGGTGACAGCAGAGAAAACAAGTCTGGACCTGCACGGGTCACACATCTAGGAAGCTGCCTTCCCTTTGCTCTCAAAGGAAATAAAGAGCAATAGGCAAAAAGCGCCTTCCTACTCTGCCCTCTCTCCCCTGAGCCCTCAAGAAAGGAGAGAAATCTAAAGAAGGAAAAAGCAAACACAGAGTAAAGTAAATGGTTTTTATTTGGATTGTTCATATTTAAAACCAGAGCCATTCTGGCTTTGAGCTATGGAACCTCACCTTTATGCTTTCAGGTCAGATTTATCATCAGAGGATTTCCAGATTGGTAAAAGACTGTAAAAGAGCTTGGCCCTGCCTCACCTCAAGGGCCATGTGCAAGGTACGAACCACAGGACATGGGCGCCTAGAAAGTCCCCCACTCACCTACTGCCCAATTTTGGGTGAGTCATTCAAAAACTGCTGCTTATTCCTCATTTCTACAGCAAGGAGCTAAGGAAGTACTGGGCCAATTATAGAATATTCCAATGTATTGGACAGAAGATGGGCTTTGTAGCTTGCTTCTCAGAATAACATCAATAAATACAGTCATCATACACACATCCCCTCAAATTAGGTGCTTTGGGCATATAAGTAGCTCAATTTCACCCTTGTTCCCCCTGAAAGCAACACACCCAGTGATCCCAATCACTGAAAATACAGGATTGAAGTCAACCATCTCAATCCAGTTCTCTGCCTTTCAGTAAGTCTACAAACTAACTTTCCTACCTCTTTTTTCATTAATACTTACAGGGTTGATTGAAGAGTCTGGGTTGATTTGCAACATGTAAATATTGTCCGTAGAATATTGGAAGAGTCCATAGTATGGATTCAACATTTCATGGCACAACAAATAAAGCCACTCCCTGGAAATAACAAAAAAAGCATTTTATATCTGTTAAAATATCTAGTTGTAGGTCTTAACAAAAGGATGAATTCACTATGCCCTAGAAGGGCAAAATAAAATAAAGTGAAATGAGCAACTGGTAAGGATACCTGGTTCTGAGAAACAGTGATTTTTCAGACTGGACAAATAAGCCTAATGAAGTAAAACTCACTTCCAGTGGGATCAGAAATGACTTCTCTGGCCAAAATGCCAACAACAACTCAAGTTGAGAAAGACTTTGTTTAACTAGAACTCCTGCCACCCCAGCAACTCGTTAGTCTTCTTACCTCTCAGCTAATATTCTCTACCACTTCACAAAGATCAAACTCTCAGGTGCTATTAGTGATGTGGAAATAACAGACAAAAGTACCATAAAAAACAGTAAGATCCCACTGGAATTAAAAAGTGTGTACACAGATACACAAATACATACTTACAGCACAGAAAAGATGGGAAGGATTTACACTAATAAGGTGACAGGAGTTAACTCTAGAATGATGAGCCATTTTTAGTTTTTTCTTTTGCTGATTCTAGTTTCTACTGTAACTTGTTATTAACATTTATAAAACAGGAGAAAGCATTTCACAGCGTAGGGAGGTCCCTGCTGGAGAATTTCCTATCCAGTTGAACTGGATAATAACAATAATAATAGATTATTCATCCTACTCAAAATTCCTTTCAAATGGATACATCTTAAGATAGCAACCACAATTTTTATTCTGGAATTTCTTTTTCAAATAGAAAATATACAATATTGAGAAAGGATAGGAAAAAGGACAAGCACAGATGCAAACAATCTGTCCACGAAAATTGTGAGAATATGTAAAACATAATCAGACCAAAACAAAGTGATGGAATCAAACTCAAAAGAACAGAAAGGAGCTGCCAAAGATGAGACTCCAGGTCTTAGAAAGCCTCTTTACTAGAGAGGCAACTCCCCGATTATAATCCTTTGATTCAACCCCAAGTTTTGGGGTTGGGATTTAAGAAGAATTGTTTTCATAAAAGTCAAGACCTGCAAATGTCTAGACAGGGTGTGATTAAAATACAAGCACACAAGAGAGAAGTGGCTCAGCGTCAAACTCGGAAATCGTGCAAATGGAGCGCCAGCAAGCAGACAAGGAGCCCGTACGCACGTGCACGAGCCTGAGTCTCTACCCCTCTCCCAGACAGTGAGACAGAGGAAGAATCTGAGCACCAAGAAACAACAAGAGCCCAGGCAAGATGGGAGAGCAGGATCTGCAGCTCCCACTACTGCATCCTGTTCAGCCAGGAGCACACAGACTATTTACATCCATCCATTCTTGTGCCTGTATAGTTGGCTCTTCTCTTACTGCTTCTAGAACATAAGTCATATACCTTGTCCACAGCTCGGAGTGTTTGCTTGTATTTTAATCACACCCTGTCATCATATAAACTATGTAGGTACTGACTCTTACAGGCAACAGGTAGACAAGAAATGACTTATTTATTAGTAAATTCTGGTTCCAGACGAGACTATAAGTCTTCAACCTTGAAAACAATATGAAAGTAACATTACGGATAGAATGTGAGAGGTTAAACATGAAAGGGATCAGAAGGGAAAGTCAGGAACATTAATATCCTTTTCTTATGAAAAAGAGGGGTTGAGAGAGAGCTTCTCTGGTGGATAAACCAAAAAGTTGTGAAAACACATTCCATACAGTTACAAAGAAAATAACAGAATTAAAATTATTGATCCTACTTAACTGGGAAGGTAGAGTGTGAAATTACATTCCCCTCATCACCATTATCCAGTCCATCTGTGTCTGTGACCACAAATCATGACATCAATCGTTAATACCTGAACCTGACAGGTCCAGTAATATAAAGATATCTATTGGAAGAAAGAGCTGAAAGAGCAGATGAGCAGTTGGCTCAAAGATGCAAAGAGTAACTTTCCATTATTCTACTCTTAAAATCATTTCATGAATAATTTTGGCCAAAATTTCATTTTCACAAAATTCCTTTGACACAAACGCAATTGACATACTTTTCTCTCACCCGTGGGATTCCTGTAGTGGGGAAAGCAAAGCTGCCTTCCATTTTAACTTCAGGAGCAGTTCATGGTTCGGGTTCATACAAGATGAAGAAAGGGTTAAGTTTAGAAGTTTAATTCCAGCTTTACAAGAAGTAAATTAATGGTGAAGATCATGTGCGTCCTGATCAGCTACAACGCTAGCGAGCAGGTGCACGGCATTCTTAGTCTAAGAAACTCGCCAGAGGCCACCTCTGCAGTCCTGACTGCTCCGAGATCAGCGCCAGCAAGGGGCCAACAGCATCTCTCTCAAGGTATTTTTTACGGTTCCGATGACCCCCACACCACAGCCCCAGGGAGTCAGCCAGCACCTCACCTTGCCACTCCGCCATAATCCAGACCTTCTTCTCCTCGAAATTTCACCATCAGCCGTTTCTTCAAGTCTTTGGGTCGCATCTTCATTATCTGGCGATAAGACTCCTACACAGCAATGTGACCATTTCAGAGAGAAGAAGTGTACTTATTCTTAAAGTTATAAAAATGATAAAGAGTTATGCTATTTTAAAGAGTTACAAAAAGGGGAGCCTCCCTGGTGGCACAGGGGTTAGAGACACAGTGCTACCAAGCTAGCGCCGTGAGTTCAATCCCCGGCCAGGGAGCTGACCCACATGGCGCAGCAGACCTCTCCTGTCTCACCCGCTGCTCCCCTCAGCAGTGGATTTCAGTAGATCCACCTGTTCTGCTCCCCACTCTGTCTCTCACCCCCACACCTCTGGCCTATACCCCAGTTCTTGTATGCATAAATAAATCAATCTTAAAAAAAAATAAAAGGTTACAAAAAGATGACAGCCCAGCTGATCAAGGAGCCTGGGCGAAAATTAGCTTTCCTTCAGAACTGAGGTTTCTCCTGTTCCTACTCAGTGTTTACTTGGCATCTAGTATATATATTGTTGCTTCCCCCATTTTCCCCCATTGTTTCTCCCTCAGAAACAGCAACAAAACCAACACAACACCAGGTAATATTGTCCCTAAAGGAAACACAAGATGTTTATTTTGATCACAATCACTGAGAACTAACATCCTTACTAGAGCTGACCTCTCTACACGCGTGAATTTGATGTATCCTATAAACAATTCATATATTTTCACAAAAGGACACATCACTAGAGAATGGAGAATAAAAATTCTAAGCCTATTCTCATAGCTGAAGTAAAAAATCATGATTCCTGCTGAGTCAAAAAGCAAAAAAGGTCAAAGACAGAAAGGAGTTCACAGAAAACATAGAGTCAGTCTAACATGGCTTCAGAGTGAGCATTTTAAGTGGATGTAGCTAAATGTCTGTAGATATTTTCAGTGATAAGGCACTTAAGAATCTTTCCATGCTTTAAATTTAATGTAACTCAAGCTCTACTATCCCGAGAGGAAACGAGGACATTGATGGGAAATGATCTGCGGCAAAATGTCAATAATTCAGTTCTCCACCCTTGGCAACAATTTAAGATGCTCCATGGACAAAATGGGACACTTGAGCTGACCCACGCTTGCAGGGCCGGCTGCGCAGGCGCCAAGCACAGTGCTGGCTGGTCTTCAGGGCAGCACTCTGTGGAGACGCGCCGGGCTCCCTCCCTGCAGCAGGGTCTCTTGCCCTCCACACTGTAACTCCTAAGGACCTGGGCTCAGTCCTCAGGCAGTCGCATTTGATCATTTCTGCCACTGATTCCACAAAGGCAGGTAGGCCGTGGCCCCAACCTCATGATCATCTTTCCTGAGGAAAGGGTCCTATCCCTGCTTGTTCAGGACCCTGATCCCCCAGGGCAGCTGCATCAGGGAAAGAACCCCTCCCAGGAGCACTTGATCTTCCTATTTCCATAAGAGACAAGAAGGGTGGCCGCTTGGTCACTCAGCTTCTCTGAGCAGACAGTGCCCCTGGATGAAAGCCTTTGGGAAGCAGCACTGGTTCTGAGGCCCCATGCAAGTGACAGAATAATCTGCGGAGTGCAGGTAAAGGGGTCTACCATACGGTTTAGCACTAGTTTCTATACAAATCTCTAGGTTTTCACCTCAGACGCTATCTAGCTTTTAAACTTTGACCATAGGAGGAAATCAATGCCCTCTCGGGGCCTCTGGTCCTAAGAAGCCCTTTCACTGAGTGATAAAGTCAATACCTGAAATACCAAACCGAAAGACCATACTTTTTATCCTCAGGGATGAACATTCTACACCTGACTGCTAGTTGCGCTAAATTCTATACCTCAAATATTTCTTCTCTGGACACTTCGATGCGGCAATGACCAGCTTGTGGTTGCTGAAGTGAAAGTTCATGTCTGAGGACCTTCAGCTTCTGGACTAAATCTCTTTCGTATCTCTGGGCAGGAAGCTCCTCGTCCTCCACAGAGCCCTCACTGGGCAGTGGCAGCGGCTGGCTGGGCTCCTTTAGTTGGCACTGGTGACTTGGAAACAGAAGCATCAACGTCATTCCAGGGGCAGCAAGCAAGTGGTCAAGAGGCTGCAGGCAATGCCCCCCACACCAAAGGAACTGAGAAGAGAGTTCATTACACACAACTTCAAGTAGAAACGGTTTCCCGTGACAGACAGAACGATGTACAGAGATATTTAAAAACTGCTGGTGGCCACTATTAGTTTGAAGATAGGAGATACCCCAATTCTAAGCAATGACTTATCTCATACATAATCACTGCTAAAAATAAAAAGATATTGCAAATATTTATCGTATATCTATTATGTTTCTATGACTAGATCAAGACACTATTAGATGTTTCCTGGTGGTCAGAATTAACTGGAGTTGATGTGAAAAACCTTCAGAGGGGAAGGTAGTGGAGGGGCAGCATGCTCCAGGGCAAACAACTCAAATGAAGTCTCATGCCACCAGTTCTCATTTTCAAAACCATGGGATTTCTAAGCCTGCTCTTTATGAGCAAAAAATCCAATAAAATCAAAGGACCAGGAGTAGTACAGGGACGAAGTAGCATTTATCCTGTTCAAGTTTTGCCACTACTGTCAACAATTAAAGGAGCTACTTGGGCTCTTATGTTCTGAGAACAGACTTGGAACACTGACTGCGGGGGCCCAGGGTAATTCCAGTTCTAATTAACCAGGAACAATGGGACAGGAACCGGGCCAGACGGTGCAGCCTTGAGGGCACTGAGGAAAAGCTCATGTCCCTGCTTCTCACTGGAAGGGCCACCACTCCATCTGAGTGCCATTAGTGACGCTGCCCAACACGCCACCTCAGTGTCTACTTAGGCTGCAAGCAAGAAACTAGCAACATCACATGGCTTTGCTACTGCTCACAGTTAAGAATTTAAAACATGCAACTGTCCACCAAATAGGAATCACATTTTGTTTATGCTTAAACTCTACTAATAACGCAGTAGAAAAACTGAAAATTAGTGAAAACATTAAATTATAAACAGAAAAGGTCAACAAAGAGTTTGTAAAAGTCTTACTTCATGATGTGGTGTAACCTTGGGTCTGTAAACTGGGTTGTTCGGTTATTATGATCTACAAAATATATCCTCCCAGAAACTGTACTTCTGACTTCCCAACCTGGTGGCAGTGGTCCAAGTTCATCACAATTCACACTGTTAAGGTCTCTACCAAAACGGAAGATACAGAGAGGTTTTCCATCTGAGTAAGGAGGCATAAGACCAAAACTTCATCGGAGAAGAACCACAGGGGTCCCTTATCAAGGCAGCCATGTCCCAGTTTGGCTAAGAGGGACAGTCATGGTGCTACTTACGCCAAACCCCCATTGTGTCCAGGCTTCTGGGCTACAATTGGCAGCAAAATCTAACAGATAAAACCAGAACTTTCAGAGCCTATAACCACAGTATGGAACATGGTCTGCCGGGGAAATAGTTTCTCATATGCAAGAGGGCCAGAATAGTAGGAAGTACTGAGTGCTGTTGGAGAACAGTCTGAATTCACAAACTCAATGTTCAAGGTGAGAAAGGTTTCCTCATTGAAAAGTTCCCAGATGCATAAGTTTTTCTTAAAGCTAAAGGGGATGTATTCACATGCATTTGAAATCTCACAACTCTGAACAGCTGCACTGGGAACAGGACTCCTCATGGTTGAGTTGGCTTCTCGTTAAGCAAGTGTTTCTAATTCTAACCTCTTAATAGGTATTTCAATACAACCACAGCCCTGTGGGAGCATAGCATTACTGACCAAGATGCTCTTCTGGTTAACACAAAAGTCTGGTATTTCTAAAAGTGGGTAAGAGACACCTCATTCATTTGCAGGTAATTCCATTCTAATTATAGATACTGAATTGTAAATTGAACATAGACTTGGAAAATCAAAGACAGGAAGCTCATTCTCAGATGAAACAAATCATGAACAAAAAGGAAATGAGCATTACTAAAAATGTTATTAGGTAGTAATGCTATCTAAAACAAACAAAAAAAATTTTAAAGGAAAGCAAAGCAAAGCAAAAAAAAGAAACTTAACTCCATTATGGGGTGGGGGCGGGGGGTCTCTCTGACCTGGGCTCAGATGTATGGCCTTGCAGAAGGAATTCGTATAGAAAAGCTTCATCTCCCCCAGGAATGGTCCCCAAGGGACTGAGGCAATAGGGACAGTAAAGTAGAAGAGAAAAAGGGTAATAGCGTCTTTATATTTCTTTTTAACTTTTTTATTATGGAAAATTTTAAGCATATAAAAAAGTAGAGAGACCATAATGAATACCCAACTTAAACATTCTCATCATCAACCTGATTCAAATATTCCCCTACTCACTGCCCCCACCCCAATTATCTGAAGCAAATCCCAGCCAAGGTATCATTTCATCCCTCCACGTTTTTAGTTTAAAATGAGAGCAGCACATCTCAAAGGGCTTACTGGCTTTCCAAATAAGAGCACACTTGATGATCTAGGGGCTGGGATAGTCTTTCTTCATCATATGATCTGATTTCAAGATATAGGAAGAGTTTCTAAAGGCCCACTTAGTTCCAGCAGCTGCCACGGGACAGTCGAGCAGGGCCTCCCACCCAGCTCCAGAGCTGTGGCCCCCGTGATGACCTCGCTGTGCTGCCATCCTCCAAGTTTACACGGTCAAAGCTAAGGGGCGCTATATCCACAATCGGACGTGCAGGCAAGTGCTGGAGAAGCCTGCTGTGCCTCTGAAGGTTTTCAGAAAACCTACCTCGGTATCCTGGGGTCGTGCCACGTGCTAACTCCAGTCTGGGTGTGCAAAAAGTAAACCTGCCCTTGCACCGTTGTTCTCTGTTCTGCACAAGAAATTGGGGGACACAATTAGTGAGTTCAGTTCCAAGGAGAGTTTTCAACCAGCCCTCTAAGCACGGGGTCTAAGCGTCCTTATGACATTCTTTACAATCACTGAGAAAAGGATGTGAAAGGGCAAAGGCGGGTTCCCAGATCCGGGTCTGACTTTCTCCAGTTCTGCCCTGGGAGGCAGCCCCGCCTCCAGTGGCCATACCCTGGGTGAGATGCTCCAAGTGTATCCGCCACCTCAGCATGAGTCTACGCTGACCTCTGTCATCTCCATATGCTCTTACTTCTGGAATGATCTGCGACATCTAATTCCACTCCTTCATTTCAGCTCCCTCCCTGCGATGATGATGATGATCCCTTCATTCTTACCCCTGCTGTCCTTTCCACATTTCAAGCCACAGAGCACACAAAAACCCTCACAGAGCCCACGCATCATCTTGGTTGTCTTTGGTGTTAATTTGCCTAAAATTTTCACACAAGTGCTAAACTGGGAGATAGAACGATTGCTGACAACTTCATGATGAGCAAGATTTAGCATCGTCTTTTTCTGGCTACTTGCCTTTCCACTGACATTACCACGGCACACAGCGGCTCTGCACTGCAGCTAAGGTCCGAGCTACTAAGAAAGGCCCACGAAGTGACAGCTCCTGCCCACTGCAGATGACAGCGGAGCAGCCGCTGAGTTCTCACCGTAGCCTTCGGGCAGTTCTGGTGACTGGTGGCCGTGGGGTCGGTTCTGAGGCGTCTGCAGTGACCCTCGAACCTCAGGGTTTCGCAGTCGCTGTGTCTGAAGTCTTTGATCTTGACTTGGGGACTCCACAAACCTGCAGTTCCCTCCACCAGCAGCAGCACCGGTACTGTCTGTGTAAGGGGCCGGCTCCTCCATGAAGCAGCTGAGGGGCCTCCCAGGCCCGGAGTCTTCATACACGGTTCTGCAGGAGGGAAACGCACACACGGGAACAAGGCTGAGCACACGTGCCTTACGTTTCAACTTGACACTCTCACATCCATTTATCTTGCTTTTCTTGAAGAAGTCAGTGTCCCAAGTGCTTAGTTTTTAAAATTTGCCCTGTCCTAGTTAAATAGGCTCTTTCAGAGGAACACGCAGACAAAAGGAGCCACATCCGCAGGCTATCAAGGCCGGCCATGGGAACTCATCCTCAGGGAAGAGCTGGATAACTGGGGGCGCCCAACAGTGCACTAAGGAGCTTGTGAAAGGAGATTTCACTGACTTCATTTTAAATAAAATCCATTTTTCTTGTTATTTTATTCGACCAAAGAACTCCTGGTAATACAAAAACCACAAGACTATTTTTTAACATGAAATCTTTGCCCCTGAACAATTTTCTAGAAATTTACCTTAATGGGCTATTTCCCCTTATAAGCAAATGCATTTTACATTGAAAATTTTCAAATATACACAATTTAAGAGACTAATACAATCAGCCCTTCCTCCCCCAGACCCATCATCCAGCTACAACCACCACCACCGCGTGGCTACTCCTTCCCTCTACTGGCTTATTCTAAAACCGTTTTGTCATTTCGTCCTTAAATATTTCAACATCTATCTCTGGAAGATAGAGACTTTCCCTATTATTATAACTTAAAAATGTACATTAATTTTTTAATATCATCAAATGCCAGTATTCAAATTTCTCCAGACAATTAACTCATTAATTAGGATCCAAATGAGGGCCACACATTGGATTTAGTAGGTATGGCTCTTAAGCCTCTCTTATTACTAACTTGTGGGTTCTCTTCATTGTTTTAAATTTTTCTTGCTATGTATTTATTGAAGACACTCTACAGAGCGGCCCCGTTCTGGGCGGTGCTTACTGCACAGCCCTGGGGCTGTGCTGGATTTCTGAGAGGTACGTTAATCTCATCCTCTCTCCCATGGCATGTGAGCAGCTACTAATGATTCCCCATTAGGGTCCATCCATTCTCTGGGTGGGTCACAAAATTGTGACAGTGACCAAAGAAAGGTTTTGAGGTTTTTTTGGTATGTGTTTTGCTCCCTAGGTGTCATTATAAACTATGAATTGTTAACATATTTGTTGATGTGTTTCAATCCATTATAGTTATAATTCTTTGTGATGTTCGACCCCTCCCATGTTAGGCAGGTGGGCACCTCTTTAAGTTGGATCCTAAGTCTTTCGGGCACAACCCAGTAGTCTTTACAGCTTCCTTTACCAACAAGGAAACTGACCACAGTGGAGAAGGGATGAAGGATGCTTTCAAATAGGGTGAGAGCCTAAGGCAGCAGAGAGCTCAGCCCGCACGCCAGTCATACATACCCTTCATTTTCTAACAGTCCTCTGCAGTCTACCACAGACCCTCCAGTGCCTATTCTGTCTCGTGTCTGTAAACTGACTAAAACAGAAAAAAATGTCTTGCATTAAAATCCAGTGGTATTTTATACAATTGTAATACAGTGAACCATTGTGAATTTTTAATTTATGTACAACATTGTTTTTAAAAAGCAAAGCATATGTATATACACACAAATACACATTCTTATGCTCTTAAGCACAAAGCAGTTACTCCAGTAGCTGCATACCACTGCACACTGCTTGGAACATTCCTTGTAAATGTGGAGCAGAAAAAGAGACTGTGTTTTTCAAGCTCTCCATAAGAAGACAATAATCCTTTCTCTAAGTTACCTTTAAAGATGATTTTCACTTATGTTTAATAAGTGCACAGAGAGTACTCTGAGCACCTGCAAGGTCTAGATGAGTCTCAGTATGTATTCTCTAGCCTTACTATGAACAAAGACATTTGTAAAGTTATTTCCAGTTATTCATTTTTCCTGGCACAACCCTCCAAAGAAAAGAAATCACAAACAGAAAAGCAGTAAATGAGAACTTTCTCATTATGATACTTTTCAGGATTTACACCCACTGTTTATTTATCTTGGGTCAAGAGTCAAATCCACAGAAAACAACACCTAAGAGGTATGGCGTCCTAAGCCACTCCAGGGTGCTGCTGAAACACTGTTTTCTTTCATTCCTTGCAAAGCAGTCAACATGTGATTTACCAGAAAATGGGGTGGATGACAGGATGAGCTGCTTAACAGATAAATCACTTCCCATGGAACATCTCCATCTCCAGTCAACACTTAGCAACATTAGCACATTTTTAAAATTCTAAATAATTCAATCCTGAGTCTATAAAACCCTATTAGATGGATGCTGCCATGTTCATGTACGTGCCTTCTCAAAGAAACTATTTCTCAATGTTTGCATCTGTGGCCACCATCCCTGTCATCTGCACTGGAAGACAATGACAAATTAATGGCCCATTAATGCAATGATTAAAATTACATTTTAAATTATAACCCTCTACCTTTTTGTACTTAGTCACTATAATTCCCTTTGAATAACAGGATGAAGGGAACTAGATAAAATAATAAAACCGCACAGGATGAAACTTTTTAGTACAGAAGAGATGGCCCCTGTGTGTCACTTGTGCTTCCAAGTGCGTCACCACTGTCAGTGCCCGTGTGTTTCCTCCGTGCTGAAGAGCTGAATGTTTTGTTCTGTAAAAGCATCTCTTTATACAGATGAGATGAGAAAGTTCTTACCCACTATTTGGCCACGAACTGCATCAGTATCTGAGGGATTTAGTTTGCATAGATCCAAACGCTGGTCTGCAAACAAACAATTCAAAACTTAACCCAGGGAAATGTTAACTAGGGAGGAAGGCAGGAATTCTGTATTCAGTATTCAAAAAAAAAAAGATGCCCCATAAGCCTTCTTCAGTTGCATTAAGAGGCAGAAAAGCTTCCGGTTCTTACATCCAGTATCTTTCAGTCTGCTGATGGCATTGGAGAGCAGCCGCACACAGCCCAGGAAGCCAGCTCCCTGCTTCTTGTGGATTTTCTTGTGGTTCCAGACGCTGATGGTGATGGAATCTGTTTTCCCAACATATCTGAAAACAACATGCAAACTTACTTTTAACTTTATTTCTGAATTATGAGAGTCCACTGAGATCTTATCTGATTGACTTATTAGTACAGAAGAATCCCATTTAAAATAATATTGTAACAAGCACTCGATAAATACAAGTCAACTAACCTCAATGTGTTGGGAAAAGAACTACACAATGGCTTATGTAAGAAGCAAATATAGACAGCCATACAATGACTGTAACCTCCTAACAGAGATTCCATAGGACAATGAAATGATTCATAAATTCCCATCAATTAGACTTAATCTGGAATACTAGTTTGTAACAAGGGACTGCTAGCAAACCTATAGATCCATTCACAGTAAACTAAAGACATTCAGTCTCCCCTTCTCAGTGCAAGTCAAACACCCAGGGGAGCTTTCAGGACAACCACTTTCCAAGCCCCTTACTTTCCAAGCCTCAGTGTAATTGAAACAAAGCCTTAGAATTCAACTTCCAAAAATCCCACCCAAACATAGTATAATTTGTGTTAATAAGAAAACAAACACTCAGTATTACTTTGATGAAAATTTCTTGCCTGCGACCTGAAAACATAGGTGCATATAAAGTAGTGGTTTCCAAACTGCAATCCGTTTTATGAATGAATTTAAGAAACTGCCTGATGGTACAGACAGAATGAATGTAGGCGGAAGGAAGGAATGTATGGAATGAATGTACAGTCCATCATTCTCAACTATACTTTCTCCTACAGAAAATATATTTGCACTAAAAAGCAGAATTTTTAAAAATCAATAAATATATATATAACATATTTACATAATAAATATTATAATAATGCAAGGTGAAGGTAAAAATTCTCAGCGCTACAAGGTTTTGGGTTTCACTGAAAAGGTAGCATATAGAGGACATGATCTATGGCCCTTTTTTCTGTTAGAATGGACAAGAGATTTAAAGTTTAAGGATCGGGCCTCCCCTGGTGGCGCAGCGGTTGAGCGCTGGGCTGTGAGGCTGCCCGCAGCCTCTGTAGCACCGGTTTGTTCCCCGGCCGCTGGCGAGGGTCCCACAAAAAAAAAAATTTAAGGGCCTCCCCGGTGGCGCAGCGGTTGAGCGCTGGGTTGCGAAGCTGCCAGCAGCCTCTGCAGCGCCGGTTCGATCCCCGGCTGCTCCCCGGCCACCGGAGGAGGGTCCCGCATGGCGCGCAGACCTCTCCTGCCGCCCGCTGCTCCCCTCAGCAGTGTACTTCGGTCCTTCTGCCTGCTCTGCTCCCCGCTCTGGCTCTGGTGAATTCTCTCACCCTCCCGCGCTTCTGACTGTACCCAGTGCATGTATAAACAAAACAAACAAATGAATAAATAAATAAATAAATAAATAAATAAATAAAACAAAAAAAAAAAAATTTAATTAAAAAAAAAAAGTTTAAGGATCACTATTACAGAAGCAAGCCAGAAAAAAACCTATGAAAATGTCAAATGCAAAGTCTTCCAAGAATATAAACTCTAAAACTAGGTAGTATGCATTCATTCAGCCATCCACTTTTGTTACCAAGAAGGTGACAATCTTTTTTTTTTTTTTTTTTTTTAATTAAATGCTTCTCTTAATAGCTAGGTTCTTACTCTCCCACCTCTCCCAGAATGGCTTAGAGAAAGTTCAACTCACAGATCGTAGTGCTGGTTCCACTTTGGGTCCAACGTGTTTTTCACAGTGTCCGTTGAGTGGCACTGCCCAGATCCATCCACAACAATCTTTGCAAAAGGATCAGGGAGCCCTAAGGGGGAGGGAGAGCCACTGCTGAGCGAGACTACACACCCGTCTGCACACCCCGGAACACAGTCCTGCAGGCCAAGGGTGCTTCAAGATCCCTTTGTAAAGAAAAGCACCCTTGTATTTGTCCTCTAATTTAGGGTTAGTTTCAATCAGTAACAGAAATAGTTATTTCTACTTAGCTTTCTAAGAAAATAATCCAGTATGGTGTTACCCTCAGGTTGTTAGAGGCTAAAAAACTATAAAGTATGCTCAAATTCAAATTTCCTTTTCTGATGATCGCTAAGTGGAACTAATTTAATGGAGAAAACTTGTCTATACTTAATTGTATTTATGCTTCTAAAAAATAGTAATGCCCAGATACTTTGTCCACTGACTTGGTCTATTCTGTCTACGGCAGTCAGTATCCAGCAGAAAGTAACATGAAAAGTCCCTAAATGCACAAGTATGACTCAGACAGGCTTATAAGATCAAGAGGGGAGAAGGTAAAGGCTGCAGAGACGGGCATGGGGTCACCACTCTGGAGCTTCCCAGATGCTTGAACAGAGCCTGGGAGTCTAGTTCCTTCAGCTTCGAAGTGTCAACAGCGCCACTGCAGAGGTGAGCAGCGGTCTCATGAGGACCAGCAAGTATGTATGAAGAATTTCACACTGCATGCACCTACCTTATGGTAGGTGAAATTAAAGAATGATTCCTTCCTTTAGAAAAGGATCCTTATGTTTTATATTTTCTTTAATTACAAGGCTTTAGAAATGTGATTTGATTTATAAAACCTAACAATTTTACCAAATCCAGCTATTTCCAGAAAAACATCTCATATGTATTTAAGCTCACAACATTTCACCTAGCACAAAGTAGTATATTAATGGGTGAAAAGACAAAATTTGGCGTGGCCAGAAAAGGGAATAAGAGTTTTTCTTTAATAACTTATAAACCGTGCCTTTGGGCTAAGGAGCCTTTTTGTTGTAGTCAACTCGGAATGAAGTGGGTCAAACCACAGATTTTTAAACTTTGGCGGGGTGGGGGAGGCCACATTATCAGGTACCTGTAAAACCACGGATTTCTATTCAGTAAATTGCTGCACTTTTAGAAGAATATACACAGTATTGTTGCTTTTAAGTTTAAAATTTCAGAAACAAGTGAATAATAATATATGAGAGCAGAAATGGGTATTTACTTACTGAAGAAGTCTTTCTTTGCGAGGTTCTTGGCACACAATACTAAAAACAAACAAACAATGAAGGATTAACATTTTGCACAAGAACTAAATTATGGGTCTCCCCCACCCCATATGTAGAAGTTCACACTCCCAGTGCGACTGCTTCGAGAATGGGGCCTTTGTGGGAGTGGTTAGGTTTAGATGAAGTCATGAGGGTGCGGTGCTGATGGGATCAGGGCCTCCGAAGGAGACCTCGGAGCTGGCTGGCTCCTGCTCTGCACAGCGCCCTCTGCAAGCCAAGGAGAGGCCCTCACCAAGAACCGAATCTACCACCCCTTGTTCCTAAGACTTTGCAGCCTCTCAAACTGAGAAATAAATATTTGTTGCTTAAGCCACCCAGTCCATGGTATTTTATTATAATCCAAACTGCCTGAGGCACTAGTCTGTAACTGCAATGGAAAAAAAAGAGCCTGAAAATTATCTTCTGATTATTTGTCTTTCAAATTTTGTTCCACATTAAATAAAAAACAAGTAACTAAGAAGTCTTTTTTCTCCTCAAATTGGAAATCCACTATAACAAATGCAAACATTTTAGCTTAAACTTAAAATCTTAAACACAAACAAATGGACTAAGACCTGAAGCATTTGCCTTTATAGCTACTGTTAACAAAACATCAAAAGGAGCTGGGTGTTTTTGATATTCTGATAAATAATACAATTTTGTAAATGTAAACTGGTACACTGGAAACTAAAAGGAAAGGGAAAGTGGCAGAAAATAGGGGCCATCATCATGGTTTTATGAAAAACAAATGACAAAAATGCATGTTATTAATGTTGACATAAAAAAAGAGTGCAATAAGTGCTATTGCTGTTAATACCATGTATTAATGAGGTAGTATTAATTAATGTAAGGAATTTTGTCACCAGATCTATAACACGATTAAAACTACTCTATCAGAGGAAAATATAGCAACGCCTCTTTTCCAATGCTTCACAGTTTCACTAACTTCTAAGAATATATGTTTTCTAATACACTTATATATTTTACAAAAGCATATTCATGTAAGATAAACTGTTCTGTAAACTTTTTACTTAGTATATTTTATATAACAGCTTTATTAAGATATAATTCAATTACCAGACAATTCATTCACCTAAAGTATATTATTCAATGGCTTTTAATATACTCAGGACAATACACCTATCACCACAATCCATTTCAGAACATTTTCATCACCCCCAAAAGAAATCACAGACCATGAGCAGTCCCTCTTCAACCTCAAACCTTGCCAGATTCCTATGTAACCGTTAATTCTACTTCATGTCTCTGTGGATCTAACTATTCTGCATTTTTATTATTGAGTTGTGAGAATTTTTTATATATTCTAAATACCCACATCTATAGATACCTATATCTATATAGCTATATAAGATATCCTTATGACATACTGATATGCAAAGAGCTCCCATTTGTATGGGTTGTCCTTTCACTTTTTTGATGCTGCTCTTTGAAACACCAAAGCTTTTCATTTTAATGAAATCCAATTTATCTGTTTTCTTTGGTTGCTTGTGCTTTGGGTATCATGTCCAAGTAAGGCTTTGCCTAACAAAGGTCTTAAAGATTTATTCCTGTATTTTCTTCTTGCGAGTTTTACAGTGTGTATTCTTTTTTAATACATTCAGCAGTTAAACAGAACTTCAAGTCTAGCACACAATTTGAGTTCAGTTTGGGTGGTGTGAAGAGGGTACAGCTTCAGGATTTAGCAGGCAGATATTCGGCTGACCAGCACCATTTGTTGAGAGGACTACTTCCTCCCCACTCACTCTGTCTTGACCATCTTGTTGAAAATCAATGCACTACACGCTGAGAACGCACTCAGGTCACTGATCTGCACGACTCTCCTGGTGCTATGCCCACACTGTCGCGAACTGTTAGTCTGCTCAAGCTGCTATCACCAAATACCCCAGACTGTGTAGCTTATAAACAACAACCAATTATTTTTCAGTTACAAAGGCTGAAGTCTGAGATCAGGGTGTCATGGTGGTCAGGTAGGGGTTCCCTTCCACGTGACAGCATGGAACACTCTGGAGTATCCCATCTATGAGGGTTCTACCTTCAAGACTTAAATACCTCCCAAAGGCTCTACCTACTACAGACGTCCTTGAATTACAATGGGGTTACTGCCTGACAAATCTATTAGTTGAAAACATCCTCAGTTGAAAATGCCTTTAATGCCCTAACCTACACATCATAGCCTTGCCTAGCCAACCTTAAACATGCTCAGAACACTTACATTACCTGCAGATAGGCAACATCATCTAATACAAAACCTTTTGTAATGAAGTGCTGATTATCTCATATAATTTATTAAATGCTGTAGTGAAAGTGAAAAACAGAATTTATTAATTCAAAGTATGGTTTCTACAGAGTGCCTATCACTTTCACATCATTGTAAAGTTGAAAAAAATCAGCCAAACTATTATAAATTGGAGACCAGGGGCCTCCCTAGTGGCGCAAGGGGTTAAGCACAGCACTATGAAGCTATCCACAGCCACTGCAGCATAAATTCTATCCCTGGTCAGGGATGTGACCCACATGGCGGGGCAGACCTCTCCTGTCTCGCCCGCTGCTCCCCTCAGCAGTGTATTTCAGTCAATCTGCCTGTTCTGCTCCCCACTCTGTCTCTGGTGAATTCTCTCACCCTCCCGTGCCTCTGGCCTGTACCCCAGTGCTTGTATAAATAAATCTTAAAAAAAAAACTTATTCATAATATTATTTTTTATGTTATTGAAAATGGAATTGTTTTAATTTCCCTCTCAGATTGTTCATTGCTAGTGTATAGAAAACCAGTTTCTTTATATAGAAAACTGGTTTTTGTATATTTAACTAGTATCTTACAACTTCATTAAATTTATTAGTTCACATTTTTGTGTCCTTTTGAATTTCCTATACTTAAGATCCCATCATCTGCAAGTAGAAACAGTTTTAGTTCTTCCTTTCTAATCTTGATGCCTTGTACTTCTTTTTCTTGCCTAACTACCCACTACCTCCAACACAATAATGAACAGAAAGGGCGGGCATCCTTTTCTTGTTCCTGACCTTAGAAGGCAGGCATTCACTCCTCCAGCCTCTGAATACGATAGTAACTGTAAGCTTTTGTAGACGCCCTTTATTAACTTGACGTTTCCTCCTGCTTCCAGTTTCATGAGTGTTTTATCATGAAGGGGTGTTAGATTTTGTCAAATGCTTTTTTCTGCAACTATTAAGATGATCATTTAGTGTGTATCCTCTGTCTACTTATATGTGGTGCATTAACTGATTTTCAGATAGTAAAGCAAACTTGCACTCTAAAATAAAGTCCATTTAGTTACGGTGTAAATTCTCTTTTTATGCTGCAAATATACTGCTGAGAAATTTGTGCCTACGTTTGTAAGGGATACTGGCTTTAGTTCTCATTTTCTGTATTGTCTTTGTCTAATTTTTGTATCAGGGTGATATTGACCCCATAAATGAGTTGTGAAGTGTCCCCTTCTGTTTTTTTTTTTTTGGGGGGGGGGAGAATTTGTAAAGAATTATTATTCATTTTTCTTTAATGTTTAAAAGAATTCACCAGTGACGCCATCTAGGACCTGGGCTTATCTCTGTAGGAAGTGTTTTTAATTACTAATGCAATCTCTAACTTTTTGTAGGTCTATTCAGTTTTTCCATTTCTTTTTTCATCAGTTTTGGTAGTTTGTGTCTTTCTAGAAATTTGTCGATTTCACATAAGTTGTTCATTTGCTGGCATACAGTTATTCACAGTATTCTTTCATAATCCTTTTTATTTCTTTATAGTCAGCAGTAATAGCTCCTCTCCAGTGCAATCTTTATTCCCTTCCCTCCCAATGGAAACACACACACACACACACACACACACACAGAGTGAGTCAGTCAGTCAGTCAGTCAGTCTCTTTTGTAGATAAATCATCATTTGATAGTTCCTGCTGATATTTTATTGTTTCTCTAATTATGAAAGTAATACATACTTTAAAAAAGTAAAAAGTAAAAATAGAAAATGCACGCCTCTTAAGTCTCATCATCAAATCTAGCATTTTCCTAGCTAATCTCTCATACTTATTTTTCTGAGTGAACTCAGAATCATGTTGAGCAAGTTTTTTTAAAAAATTGCTTCATAAATAAATGTGAAAAGAATTTACCTCTTTGCAATCATTGAGTATTCACTTTTGTGAATGTAGCATATATATTCATTTATTAAATTCTTTACCATTCTGAAGTGAGGTTTGAAAGTTTTATAAAATTTTAATTTCTAATCAGGTTTAAAATAAGTGTGTCCTTTCTGTTGTTGTTGTCACTAATGTGCATGAGGATGTTCCTTTCATTGCATTTTCTAATTGTTATTTGGATATATGAAAGCAATTAATTTTAAATCAACCATCTTTTCGAACCTGCCTCAAACGGGCCCATGATGCCCTGCTCCTTCAACTTCCCATTTCTTTTCCACAACTCTGAATGCCTCAAAAGCTCTCACATCAAACACAAAAGCATACAAAACGGAAGTTAAAAAATTCTCTCTCTGCCGAAACACCCAAAATCAGAAAATCCTTCCCCAAGATCCATGCTTCAGTGAGCGCCAGCAGCACAGCTAAAATCAGCAACCTCCATGTGTCCATTTACCTCTCAAGCTCTCAAATGTGTCGATTTCACCTCTAACCGGGGTGAAGCTCCCATATCAACTATCACAAGTGATCTTTGCAAAATGTATCTATCTCCTAATGCCTTTCCTTAAAAAAAAACTGCACAGTGATTCCTCCGCAGGAAAGAGACTGGTACAAGATTAAACACCTCTTGCTAAGAGAAACAGAAAGTGGGCATATCTGTGACAAACAAGATATAGTCTAGTTTTGTTTGGCTAGGAGATGGTCCATTTCAAAACAAATTATGATTTGTTAAGTGTTTTGGCCTAGGGTGGAAAAATAGGGTATTTGAGTAAAAAAACAAAAAATTCCACCGTGGCTTCCCAGAACAGCACTCCAGGGTTTTCACGCTGTGGCACCCACCCC